AGACATAAATTACACATTGTAAGAAAAAAGTGAATATAATCAGGAATAAAAATGCAATATTTCAAAGTATCGTATCTCAGAAATTAGAAGATCTAATTAATTCTAATAAAAATTCGATACAAATAAATATGAAAATCGAGATAATCGATATTAAATCGAGCAATCTGACAACTAAAAATAATGGAGCGAATCTTACATGTGAAAATTAATTTGAGGTGGCCTCGCAAACTATAAGTAGCCGATCTCTCGATTATTTACGCTTTTCGGAAGCAAGTGCTCGTATTAATTGATTATAACTTCAAAACTTTTGATTCAGTATATTTGTGAAAAATTTTGATAACTAGTCAATAAAAGAGTTAGTCGAATCATTACAAGTCTCATCTATTCGTGTTTCTCGATTTTCCGCAGATTGTGTCTAGTCGTGATGGTAAATAATTTTTAATAGCTTTCTTGAATAGTAATAAAAATATTAATAGGAAGAAAAGATTGAACAAAATATTTAATAATAAATATCAGAAATATTTAAATTCAAAATTTATTAAAAAGATAAATACGTTTTTTCTTGTTCAATTAAATAAACTAAAGAAATTTAAAAAAAATGTATATTAAAGAAATTTTACATATAAAAAAAGATTTTTATTAATTATATAAAATAATTTTACAATTATATAAATTTATGAAAATCGTAACGGAAATATTTTTATATATGAACTCTGAAAGCTTATATAAATTAATAAATGAACGTAATAAATACAAAATTAATTTTATTTGGAAAATATTAATAATGGTAATAAATTCAGTCGTCACTTTCATCCGAGCAGTCTAGACTCTGATTAGAGTCTCTATTTATTCAAATATTTGTCATCAACGGAAATAAAATTTGCAAATTCAACTAGTAAGATGAAAAGTGTAGTTCTAATTCTATCAACTTAATTTCTGATATAATCCCAATGAGAAGAGCAGAATATTAAACTTTAGAATATTCAGAATATTAAACTGATCATTTGAATTTCGAAATAATACTTAAAAAATTGTTCATTTATTTCTAATTTGAAATATAAAATAGAAGTCTTATTCTAATATAACTTTTACATTTCTAATGAATTAGATCAACTATTTCAATATAATTATTCAATTGTTTTTTTCAATTACATTGAATTAGATTAACTATTTCAATATAATTATTCAATTGTTTTTTTCAATTACATTGAATTATTATATATATTATATAATATTACAGAATATAACTAAAATATAACTATATATATATATATATATATATATATATATATATATATATATATTACATATTATACTAATGAGTAGAAATTAACAAAAAAAACTAGTAACTTAGAGATACATAAATTTCATGTAATATGTATTATATTCACTTTTATCGTAGTTACATAACATAATTGAGTTCATGGAGAAGCGACAGCTAGAACTATTAAATTATTTAGGGTCATGATTTTAACAATGTGTCAAGGTTACCTACAATTACATAATATATGAAGATACATATATGTATATATTGTTCAATTTTTTAGATAAATTTATGTTTGTTACTTTTTTATATACATTTATGTGTTTCTTACGAAAATAAAATTTCTTTACAATATTATATTTATTTAAAACTTATTAATTATTAATTTTCTTTAATTATTAATTAATTCGCAAGACAGCATTTTAATACAATTTGTTTTGTTGGCTTTATTTTGGTAGATTAGTAATTGCATCATGGACATTAATATTGAATTTTTATATTAATAGCTATCAGATAGAAGCCACATCTTTTTCTTAATTACAAAATTTTATATTATTCGCCAGTATATTTTGCGAATCAATAGTCTGTAATATTTTATTGAAATGCAGATAGACACGATGAATTTACGAATATACGTATAAAATAAACGTGAGAGAGAAAGAAGGAAAGGAAGATTACTAATTGTTAAATGGCTTATTTAATAAAACATTCAATTCTTCAATAAATTCATTGTGTTTTTTATTATTTTGTTTGTTAAATGTATACGATATAAAAATATTGCACAATCTATATTTTCTAATTAAGAGAATTCTAAATTATTAAAGTAATTATGCAAAATAAAAAAATAATATAATAATTATATATTTTCAATATTTTAAGAAAATGTATAAAGCTGAAATATAATTATCTAAAATATTTTTGAAAAATAGCTATGTGTAATTTTTTTACAAAAGTAACGTTTATCTAATAATTATTTTTATCATACAACTATAAAAAAGTAAAATGTGAAAAATGCGATAAAATGTGCAATTATTTTCTTCCTTTTTTTATAGTACAAAATGTTACGTAAATGCACAGCATAAATTGTAGAAATTTATAAAGAATTGCTAGTATCTATTTCATTGAGGTTGATTAATGATACGTAGTTGGAACTTAAAATTTTTTTTTCTAATCCCAAATTTCTTTCCTTTTGATTCTTTTTTAAGTGAAAAACGAAAATTTTTCCTAAAACATTTGGATGATAAAAAAATTATTGATTGTTGGTAACATACTTTGCTTTTCAATCCATAATTTTATTATTATTAATATATCAATTATTTTGTTTTTATTAATTACAATACAAATACATATGAAAATCACTGCACACACGCCAAATCTTTTTGCATTATTAAAGATAAAGCTATTTTCAAAATTTTTAATTAATGTTATTACTCTTTTATTAGCATATACATATGATTTTATCATGTCTTTAAAAATAAGTAATTTTTTAATACATGTTATTGAAAAAATTTGAAGGCTGAAGTTGATGAAAATATATCATAAACTGTTATTAGCGCTGCGTTTACACATCAAAAAAAAGATTTCTTTATATGTATAGAATATTTCTATATATAATATAATAACGTGTAATATAATGTAATTTGAGAACATCATGGATATTAAAATTTAGGATGTTTGACATTTTAAAAATTTAAGCTTCTGTTGATAAAAATTTTCACTTGTTTTTGAAGATACTAATTCAAAATTATCACTCCGATTTTACAATAATTCAAATTTTTTAATCTGTTTTTATGATTTACTTTATCTACTATTGCATAAAAGAAAATTTAAAATAATTAAGTTAAAATAATTCTTACTGTACACAAAAAGTAATAAAGATAAAAAGGCTAATTCAATAAAGTAAGACTAAAATGGCTACTCGCTCTCTTGCAAAAAAAGTATAAGCTAACAATAAGTACAAAATATCTAATAAAATATAAGAATATTCGCGAATATCGACACACTTTTTTTCCTAAAACGATTAGTATGATCAATATGAGCACATAGCCCCTTTCATATTTAAAATAATTTTGATTGAAATATGATTTTAAGACTTCATTCAGTCAATGTGTCTTAAAATTGCACTTAAGATGATCTTGAATATAAATTATAAATACAAGTTTTATAAAAAAAATTATCTGTCAAATATCCATTCAGTTCTCTAGAAAGCGTAAACTGGGTACAAGCAGAGATATTATCAGTATGCATCTGAGTATCGATTTTTTAAAGACTCGTTACTTCTACCTTGTCATCCTTACGTGAAATGAATGTAGAAACAACTTCAATGGTCAGAAGTTATAAAGGAAAAAGTTTAGGTAGATAAATTATTATAAAACATATTATTTTTTATCAGATTTATACAAACAATTACAATCAAAATGTTAGAAAACGATAAAGGATATTTTTTAATAATAACATTAATTACATATATATTTAAAAAAATGTATATATATCATATCTGTCATTAATTACATATAATTACATATAATTTTTATTATTAATTTTTTATTATTAATATAAATATAATTAATTTATATGGTAATTTATTACGCATTCTACAAATAATGTAAACCTTTTTAATCAATGGTTTATATATAATGATAGAAGCGCAATAAAATAGCAGTGGAGAAAAAGATCTAGTAACATTTAAGAATAATAGTATGCAAGACTGCAACCACCTGCGGTCGTTCATGTTACGACGAGAAGAGAAGAAAGAGCAATGGCAGATGAGGGGGAAAAGGAGAATGAAGATAATGAAACGAGCATAGCGAAAAGATACATTAATAGACGAAGTAAAAGAGGAAAGAACGAGAAAGACGGAAAACGTATAAATACGAAAATGGCGAGAGGATGGAAAGAGAACGTAAAGAGGGTGGGAACACGATGGTAAAAGGCAGCGTGACGATATAATATCGATTCGGTAACAAATCCATATGATGTTAATGTCTGCTGTCTATCCTATAACGCAAAGCCAACGTGCGTCGCGAAAAGGCGGCGGAAAATAACAGACGCCCTGACGCTTTATATATAGAGACTGAGCCACACGACAGACGGCCCGTAGTGCTTAAATATAGACAAAATGCAACGGAGTGTCTTTCATATACAAGAGAGAAAGATGGAAAAAGCAGAGAGGGACTCTCGTATATTCGCACGAATATATATGAGAGCTAGACAAAACGCGCGTAACAAACGAGGAGGGAAGACAAAGGGAAATAAAAATAAGAGAATGAACGAGAAAATATAACGGATAGAGGGAGAAGGGAAGAAAAGCGGAAAAAAGACTCCGCATATGCAGGACACCATTATGGCCGATCACACAACATCATCTGCTCCGAATATAATTCACAAAAAATATGATAATCGCGCCAGTCGCAAGAGCTTTTATACATGATTTATGTCTGCGGGTGCAGGAAATATGCGAGCACGCCATTTATCCAGTAAAAAAGAAAATGTTTCGATCGCAGACGCCAGTATGGACGAAGCAAGGCCCTATCTTTCCCTTGCTGCGGAGAGATAATTATTTATTAGTTAAATAATAGGAAAGAGAAATTAATTAGACGACGAGGCGCCTTGGCAGCGAAGACGGAGAAGAATATACAGACATGCGTAAGCGAGCGAACGGTGCCGTAAAACGGAGTAAGAGTACTTCACTTACTTACTCCGACACGCGAATAAGTGCAAAAATTGTCGTACTCACTTGCCAAGTTCCTCCTTCAAATCGTAGTTGTCACTAAATCGCGTACAAGCCGCTGGCACGGCCATACCGAGGCTATTCGCGATTATTTAACCGTATCACCGGACTCAAAAACGTAAACGCAAGAGACTGCCACTATACTGCACACACGCGCTAGGGGAAACTTCGCAGGTCAAATTCGATCAATAGAGGGGAACCGCCGCGGCGCTGCTTGGACACCGGGACGGCGGCGGCGGTGACGACGGCAGCGGCGGCGGCGGCAGCGGCGGCGGTGGCGGCAGCGGCAGCAGCAGCGACAGCGACAGCGGCTGCGGCTGCGGCGGCGACGGCAGCGGCGACGGCGGCGACAGCGACAGCGACAGAGGCAGCAGCAGCAGCGGCAGCGGCGGCGGCGGTGGCGATGCCGGTGGCAACGACGACAAGAGGTGAGGCGAGGTGAAGAGGCAGCGGAATGGTTCGAGCAGAAGAGGACGGGAGGACAGAGTCTCTGTCTGCGGCAGCGGTGGACGTACGCGTTACCGCAGTATCGACAGATAGCGAATGACAAACAACGAATATCAAGGACGATGCGCGAAAGGCAGACTGTCGTATTCCGTATCAAGCGATTATTGCTCCGTTTTTTGCACAAAATCCTACCACAAAAACACGTCTGTACTGTTCGCTAGCAGACCGTCAACTGATTTGCGTAGTGATTGTAGCCGGATTGATGGAGGGAAGATGAAGAGAAGGGGCAGATAAATCAAAATGGTGGATGGACGGATGGGCGGACGAATCATTGACTGTGCTTCGTGTTTACAAAGAAGAGCACAGAAGTGCAGCCAGTTTCGATAGAGTGATCACTTAGGTTTATACGATATTGGGTACTGCGAGTTGAAGAAATGAATGCAAGCAGTGCTGATGGTCATGAGAAATCGTGCTCCTAATCCTAATAAAAATCCCAATAAAAATCATCCCCGTTTGCGTCTACTTTCCTAATGAAAAGTTACATGCGTTTAGAGAAAAATATATATATGAATCCTAATGAATATTATATGCAAAAACTTATATTTTAGTTTTACCTCTTGTTTTATTAAAATTTTAAAACAATTTTTTAATTTTTAGTTCAGGGTTTCCGGGCAAAAAAGAAAATCTCCAAATTTTGAAAGAGAAAATCTCTGAGCCATTAAAGTATTTCATTTTTTACTTTATTCGAGATAACGTGAGAAAGTTCTTTAGTAATTTTCTATCTTTCACGTACTATTCTTTTTTTATTTTTATAATTATTTATATTGTTTTATTGTTGAATTATTTCTTTTAAATTACTTTAAAATTTGAATAAATAACATCTATTTATTTATTATCAATAATATCTATTTCTTTATTTAACGTAAAAATATTTGTATTATTTTTACGCTAGTATAAGTTGATAGCTTTTTTATATATATTAATTATTTTTTATTAATGCACTGTTTTATTTAAAAAAATAATAACATATATGCATATATGCATTTCTGAAATTTTAATTAATTTTATGTTTTGATAAACTTGACATTTATAGCATTGATTTTGACATCGTTTCGCGTAGACTTTTATATTATTATATATATCATATTTATATTATTTCATAAATCTCCATCATTTCAAATAATAAATATAATTATGATAAAGAAATTATATATATTTTATAGAAAACAGATTTTTAAGTAATTAACTTAAAAATCAATTAAAAGTAATTAATTTAAAAATTAATTATTACGTATATCGAAAAATTAATTATCATGACAGATACCTAGATATTATTCAAAAGATAGTTAGATATTATTCAAAATAAGGAAAAATATTTTATTCTATTTGTTAAAATTAATTTAAAAGAGCTAAAGAAGAATTTTCTTTTCTTAATTTTTAATGAACTAAATATATGTGCTAAAAATCCATTTATAAAACTATGTAAAGTCTATGTAAAAATTTATCTATATATGAATAATATCTAAGTTGGTAACAGCCATATGTAATTTTAATTCTATATTTTTTAAGTAATTTTAAGTAATTATTTAAGTATTTTATTTTAAAATAAAATTTTATTTGATTGCATATTAAAAATGTTATTTATTTTAAACAGATTAAATATATTTATAAAATTAATAAATAAAAAGCAATGGCTTCTCCTTAACTAAAAAAGAAAAAATTGAGAAATAACTAACAAAAGATTTTAAGATAATTGGTTTAATCAAGCTTAATTATCATTATAGTTATTTAAATATGAAATGCGAAATAAAATTAAATAATGAAATTTTTAGGATTTGACTATATGTTCAACTGAATAAAAATTTTTTCTGAAAGAACGAAAGTGCAATATATTGGAGAAAATATGCTTTACTCTAAGTCTATTAAACTGATGTTGGAGGAAATGTAAAATTTGTCATTTTCTATTTCAGTAGATGCGAATAATAAAGGAAATAAAAAATTCTTTTCGCTTGGCAATTTATTATTTCCACAAGAAAAAAAGCTGATATAAAGCTGATATAAAATTATAGATTTTTATGAAAATGTACTAATGAAAATGGCAATATCTAAAAAATAAAATTATCTTCTCAAACTATTGAATGATTGTTTTCTCCCTAGCTTGTGATAGAAAAGTATATTTTAGATTAGGCAAAAAAGATTATTATAAACTAGTTTGATCAGTAGAAAAGAACATGAAATAAAGTATACTCTGCAATCTATTTTATACCCAGAATTGTATTTATATTTTATTAACAAATTATTGTATTTATATATTGTATTTATATTTTATACAATTTTTATGAATCTAATAACAAAATTATTATCAATTGAAAGTAACAATTTAATATGTATTGAATTAAATACAATAATGAGATTGTTAAAAGAAAAATTCGAGTAAAAGATAAATTTTTTTTGGATCTGTCGTAAATTCTGTACTACTAAATACATAGCAAACAAGACTTATTTATTAATAAAACATTATTTGTTTATCGAAAAAAGTTAAATTATCTCGGAAAATGATATAACTATGACATATTGACTTATGAAAAATTAAAAGCTTTTAATAATTTAAAAAATAATTTTAAATATTGAAAATAAAAATGTTTTCAATACGATAACTTGTTTAAATATGATTATTAATCAAGATAAATTATACGATGAAATAATACGTTACAAAGAACCTATTATCTTCTATAAATGATGTTAATAACACACTGAATGAGATATGAAGAAAAATCTTTGTAAATGATAAAAATAATAATTTAATTGAGTTACTTAAAATGATACAATGTATTTTATCGATATCATTGAACAATAGTTATGCAGAAGAAATCTTTTCAATAGTGAATAATATATTGAATAACGAACGAAACCGCTTGAAAATGAAATTGGAAAAAACTGAAACTTTTAATAAATGAATTATGATATAAAATGTAAAGAGAGAGAGGAGGAAGAGAGAGGAAGAGAGGAGGAAAAGAGGGAAAGAGAGAAAGAAAGTTTTATGAATATACAAGGAAGCCTGAATAAATTAGAATTATTAAAGAATACCTTCAGTAATAAGAAGTATCAAAATGAAAATGTAATTATAGAAGTATGGTATGGCATGATAAAATAAATGTGGAAGTGTCTTTTCTTGCGTCGCAATCTTTAAATATGTATTTATTTTTAATTCCAAATTGAAAATTAGTTATAAATCGTAAAGATACTACTTAAATTAAAACTACCAAAAATATTTATACAATATGATATATATAATAAATAATATAATTAGCTTGTAGCACAATTGTGCTAGCAACTCTATTTCCGGTTTTTTACGTGATCGATCTCAAAGATAGTTTAGATGTGGAGATGTTGTACGTAAGTCAGACAAAACATTAATTGATTTTCTAAGACTTCAGATTCATCTTTGGAGTCCTCCTCAAGTTACTTTATGGAATTCAAAATAATTCCCCTCATTTCCTGCTAACTTAATGTTTGTCTGAAGCTATTCTATTTTCTTATTTATCTTTCTAGATCTTATCTGCTTTCTGTTCTATTGGTCATTTTTTTCATTCGTATTTCTCTATCAATAATAGATATCTAGTTCCATCTTTTATACCTATAACTCTTCTATATAATAATAATAGGTACTATTTATGAAATTGTTATTTTCATAACCGAAAATTGTTTAAGAATATTTGCAACAATGATATAGAAGATACTATCTAACTAAACCATAAAACTCTTTTTCTGCATGGGCCTTAAAAACTGAATTATAAGCAGTTAAAGAGTCTTCCCATAATATAATATTTTAGCCATCGTTAATATTAAGCAGTCGTAGTTCAGCGATTCGAGCATTGAGATTGATGAATATTTCATAAGGCGCTGCTTCGCGTGATTAATACTGGAATCTTCTCATATTTTCGTTTTTCTATTTATAATTAATGAGAAACTAAATGATTGAATAAACAAAAAATAAATGTAAATAATAAAATCTAAGTAAAGACAACAAATTAATTAATTAATATATAAAATAAATATATAAAATAAAACACCAAAAAATGGAAGAGAAAAAGAAAAATAACCGTTTCTGAGATTTTATAATATAAGATACTTATGAAACTAAGCAGCTATTCGTCTTGCTATTATTCATCTTGTTCATTTTGTCTCTATAAATAATAATTTTTTTTATGATTCTAATAATCTAATTTGTCTATGATTCTAATATTAGAACAACACAAAAGTTTTGTTCAAAATTATTAATCAATATCTTTTATCTACCTTTTATTACCTTTAAAGAAATTACAGAATTTTGAAATTGTAAAATTTATGGTTAGTTGTTTTGAGAAAATACTAAAAAAAGAATTGCATAAAATTAAATTAAATTTTAATTGTATATATATTTTAATTAATTTTAGCATGTGATACATTTTGAAAAATACATTAACTTAATTACATATTTGCGTATAATGCAATGATTACCATTCAAAGATTAAACAAGATAACAATTCTTTCAGTGTATCATGGTTGTCTTGAATGTATAAAATTGAAAATCACGTCATATAAAAATGTTTTGCCAAATTCGTATTTATTTATTATGCATTACTATGTATTTATATGTATATAGGATTTATATGTAGTTTGATAAAAGATTGAATCAACGCTCATGTGAGAGAGTAAACTAAACAGAAAAATCCTTTACCAATTTGCAATTTTTGCAACAATTATTGACTTAAAAGGACTGGCGAATAAACATGCGTTTTGCCTAGATTGTGGGCTATATACTTTAAGTATGTCAGCAGCGAGTCACATGGCAACGAAAAGTTTGTTTCCCTCTTTTTTTCGTTGCGGTATTTGTCGCTGACATACTTAATAACCATATCATTTTTCGTATGCAGATAGAACGAGTTAAACGCTTAAATAGAAAAGTCCTTTACTGTTTAATTTTCATAGTAAATAATGAGAAATTAATTAAAAATGATCGACCAATTTGCGCGAATATTAGTGAAAAGACACAGCCCGCTGTTTTGCAGTTGATAAGACACGTTATCCAACGTTATGCACAATTTATATGTAATTGTCATTATTTGTAGAGCGCTTCTCTAAATGTTTCGCCACGTGTCTAATTATGCTGCATGCTAATATATTTTCTATTCAGCTAAATTTTTCTACTCAGTTTAATCCGCTTTACCTACACACGAGAGGAGATATAATTATTAACGGACATCCAGTACATGTGTGTGTGTATTTTTATCTTTTCCTTGTAAAATACTTAATATGGACATATTTTATAAAGAAAAGAAATATATTAACACACACATACACATATTTTATATCTAATTATATATATTTATTTATTTATATTTATATTTATATTTATATTTGATTATATATGGATTATTCTTTCCATGGAGGATATTTTGAAGGATATTTTCCATGTTATATTTTATTAAATTTATCAAAAGATTAATTTTTTGATTTAATTATGTTTATATAAAAGAGTCATATTAAAAAATTAAACATCTATTACACTAACGTATGTTATAGGAGTTAAAATACAATATTAAATGCAATAAAATCATATACATTTAGAAATTCTTTCATATAATATCGTGTAAAAAAAAGAATATTATATTAATATGAGACATACTAATGTAAGTACTTACATTAGTATGTCTTTCACTAATAATTCGAATGTTGAGATATATTACTAAACTCATAACTCGGATTGTGAGTAACGAGTTTTAGCTATTGCTTTATTATTATTATTATTATTCAAAATTTAGCTATTGCTTATTATTTAAAAGTTATTAAAAATTATTAAAAAGTGTATATACACACTTGCATATGGATGTCGTATCACCAATATAAGTAGAGCAGATTAAACTGAATAGAAAAGTCCTATCTGTTACGATTTTCGTAATAATTAATAAGAAATTAATTAAAAATGATCGATCCATTAATGCGAATATTAATTTACGGCTAAAAAAGACAGCTCTGTCATGTAGTTGCTAAGATACGAGAACTCACGTACAACTCGCATGTAGTTATTACTTGTTAAAGCGCTCTCAATACTTCATCGTATGCTTTAGTAACCATGTAACAGTGGGCTGCCTTGTAGTGTGCTACAATGTCATTAAATGAAAATTTTTGTTTTTGGCCTGTTTAATGGCCTCTAACATTTTTGGCCAAATTATGATTATAATAATCAAATTTAGACGACAGATTTGTGTACAGCAAGTAAAAATATATCAAAAATAACTTTTCATAATGTACTCGTATTATGAAAATGGTATTAAACAGTGTAATTATATAAAAATAACATATGGTACATGTCACAAATTATTGTCAACAAAATTACAATTTTAATACAAGAGTTGTTATTCCGGATTAAGTCGGCAGGTGGACGATAAAAACTCACAATAGGCTTTATTAACATTAGCAGTAGAAATCGAGAAAGATCTGCATTTCTCAATTATTTGAATGAAATAGATTCTTGTATTTAAAAGCTTTTAATATTTTGTTGAATAGTTTCATTGCATATTGATATGCTTATTATATATCTTTTCGCATTTAAAAATTTCTGTTAGAATAGATATAAAGTCTATAAAGCGTGATTAGTAATATAAAATCGAAAATATAGTATAATTGTTTCTATCAGTTTAATTTCTGACAATTTAATTAGTTTAATTTCATACAATTTATGGCCGTTTCTACCAACGTCGCTTAACTTTAATCTTAGCTTAATTCTAATATTCTTTGTCTTTTTCTAAAGAAACAGTCAGAAGAAGACGAAGAGCGAGTTAAACTAAGATTAAAATTAAACGACGTTAGTAGAAACAGACATTAGAACATTAAACTAATTGAAGTCGACAGGATGAATGGGTTACTGAAATTATTCATTTGCTGCCTATTTTTAAAACACAAAGTAGAAGTTTAATTTTCATATAATACACAGATAGCATTTATATTTATACACAGATATATAATACAGATACATTCCATATATTTATATATAGATAGCACATATTTAATTTAGAAATGTTTTAAAATTTTAATTTAAGAAATATCTTTTTCTAAAAAAAGTCAAATTTGAAAAAATAAAAAATTGCCCACATACATATATAAATTTGTATATAACTATTGTATATAGACTATTTTTTATCATTAATTTTAAATTAAAAATAATTTTTTTATCGTAAAAATATAAAAATGTTTCTTAAATTATGCTTTCAAGCAGAGTATGGTTTTTGTTGAGATGTTTCTTATTGGTGTTTAACGTTTATAATATATTAGATACGTTTATGCAACCAACATAGGCTACCTAATTATATTTCATGTCTTATAAATTAAATTATTTTTGTAATTTATTTTATTATTTATTTAATTATTAAATTAAGCTGAAGACTCAAGATAGAGTTTGGAAACGGAATGTTGAATTTCTGATTTGGGCAACTATTTTGCAGTAAAATATATTAACATTTTAATGAATTCACGTTAGCTTTGAATATTAAATTAGATAACAATTTATATGTTATTATTCTCTTGTATTTAAACGGCTAGGAATTGCAGATCTTAATCAATTTCTGTCGCCAATTTAACATTAAGTTGCGTTAGCAGATTTTACTCAGTTTTTATCGTTAATTTATTATCAAATTCTTTGTCGACAGATCGCAAGTCTAACTTTAGACCAATTTGCTAGCATCTTTTGAGTGAATTTGTTACGAATTTGCTAACATATTAACAATTGATAATATATATATATATATATATATATCGAAGTTAAGATGATTGGCGGAGGACACACTAATGTAAATATGTACTAATATTTACTCCCGATACCCATACAGCACAAAACATTGCAGCAATATTATTAATATTGCAATATTGCTGCAATTTTCTATGTTGCATGGGTAATAATGTTTTCTTCTTTTTTTATCTTCTTATTTTTGTTATAATTTTCTCATCTTCATATAGCTTAAAAAATTTAATAGCAATATAAAGTCGTAGTAAATTCATATTTCAAGAGAATTCATGGATCCATTTGATCTTTATTCGACCGTGACTGATTTCGCCAAGTTTCGTGGACAGTCGACGTTACAACCACGCAAAACCGCAATATGGAATGACAATAATTGCATGGGAATAACAGTGAGAATTCCTTGCAAACAATCGACTGTTTTGGGTATCTCGAGAGCCCTATCGGCAAAAGCTTTCGTTTCCTCATCTCCTTCCTCGCAAACAACGATCGGTTTACCATCCCGCGCGGTAACTTGTTGCAGTGCGTTCATGCATTTCTGTAAAATAAATCCATAATAATCAGACGATAATAAAACAATTGATATATTTATATCTCTTTTAAATTCGTCTTGCATGTAATAATCCAAAATTAAATTCACAGATGTTTTAGATAGATTAATATTTTAATTTTTAAAATTACTTGAAATTTAGAAAATCAAAATTTTTATATAAATTTAATCAAGAACCTTATAAATTAAATAAAACTTGACCGATATTCTACATGGATCCTTCTAAAAATTTTTATAATATAAAAAAGAAAAAGTTAAGAATAATTAAAGAGTATTCGTAAATCTTACGTTTTTTATATAATATTACTAAACTGATTCTATTAAATACTCGAAATCTTAAGAAATTTAATTAAGCATATTTATTAAAAGTTTTAAATTTATTCATCAATCTCTTAGAAATAAGAAAGAATTGGGACAATTTTAATCAAAATAGATAGCTTGAAAGAGTTTTATATATAGAATTCTTTTTTTAGATTACTTAGTCTCGTTTGTACGAAAGATTACAAACGGAAGAAAGAGAAAAAGAGAGTGCTTATATAAAAAAGTAAAAACATTTCTATAATAAAATATCTGGAAAAATGTTTAACGTAAAAATTTTATAGAAAATTTATTATTCATGTTATTGAAAATAGATCTTGAATATATGCATGTTCTTATTTTTTCTAAATTTTCTAAAAAATCTAATCTATCTATCTTCAAATTATATATTTTATATACAAATTCAAAAAATATGTAATAAAAATTATCTATGTATTGTAAATAAAAACAAAACGAAGGAATATTAATGAACGAAATTATAATGATTGAAACTAATAATATTTATTTTTTTTGTAGTGAATATAAATGAATATTTTGATGATAAAGATAGAAAGAAATAAAAAAGTATACGAAAATTTTTTTGCATGATGTAATTCTCATTCAATTCATACTTTAAGTGATAAGTCGTCTAGCTTTGTGAATGTTTTTTCTAAAATAATGTATCATGAAAGAACTAAGAGAGCTAAACCGTTTAAGAAAAAGTATGATAAATATATTTTTATAACATGATTGATTATTAAACATAATTATTTAATAGACTTACCATGTATACCGGGTCTCTCATCACGATCATAATTACCGGCATGGAATCATCAACAAGAGCTAATGGACCATGCTTTAATTCACCAGCCATAATTCCTTCGCTGTGCATATATGTCAATTCCTTCACTTTCTGCAAGTACAAAAGAATTATTCATAGTAACATCAATTGCAAGGAAATATATTTTTGCTTCTTAAAGAAACATATATTTGCTTGTGAACTTACAAGTGCGCCCTCCATACATGTAGCAAAATTATATCCACGACCCATAATCAGTAGAGATTTATGTTGGAACAAGGATTTCGCCAGTTCTTTTACTTTATCATCAAGCTTTAATACTTCACGAATGAGGTTATCAAGATTTTTTAAGCCTTCGATAATCTGAAAAAAATATGCGTATGATTAAATCAGATTCTAATTTAGCAAAGATAAATATTAAACACAAATAAACGTACCTGTAGGCGTCTTGCACGAAGAGAGATTCTATCTTCACTCATCACTAGTGCAAACATCACTAGAGAAATAAATTGTGAAGTATAAGCCTTAGTACTTGCCACACCAATCTCGGGACCGGCATTTATATGCACACCACAATGGGACTCACGACAAATGCTACTACCGACCGTATTAGTAATACCCACAATAAGAGCCCCGCGACTTTTACAATAACGCAATGCCATTAATGTATCAGCTGTCTCGCCTATCATTTATAAAAAGAAATTATTAATTATAATTTCTAATTTTATCTACTTATTATCAATTATTAGAAACATATAAAGTTAACTCGTTAATTTATTATTATCTTATTATTATCTTATTTATTATTATCTTACCCGATTGAGAAATAAAAAAACAAACGTCGTCTCTAAAAACTGGAGTATTACGATCCAAAAAATCGGATGCAAGTTCGACCATCACCGGTAATTCTGTCAATTCTTCGAGAAGCTGTCGCGTAGCTATAGCAGAATGGTAGCTTGTACCACAGCCAATCAACATAAGACGTCTGCATCTTTTAATCTCGGGGATATAATCCTAAAAAGATTAAAAGTATTACTATTCTTTGCTTAATAAGAATAAAACTAAATGTATAAAAATATTTTTTCTCGCAAAAATTACTTTAATTCCACCCAAAGTGACAGAATTATCTTGAAAATTCAAACGTCCTCTCATGGTATTCACAACTGACTCCGATTGCTCGAAAATTTCTTTCTGCATGAAGTAATCGTAATTGCCTTTCATGATCTGCTGAATCTCCATCTTTAATGTCGTTATTTCACGAGCATGTGGATCGTCCATGCAGCGACGAAGACGATGAATGCTCAATGCGCCTTCTCTAACAGCCGCTACATCATCGTCCTAATTGATAAAAAGTATATCAGAATATATTGGATAAAACTGGGATAATATATAACATTAATTCTCGCACTTCCAGAAATATCACACGATTTGTGTGCTCGATTATGGCACTCGCATCAGAAGCGAAAAAATATTCAACTTCCTTGTCCTCAAGAGGTTGAAATTCGGACGTGCTCTCACTACGCGGCATAATCGGAAGTTCCGGATTTCTGCCATGTGGACGATGATCTGCACAAAGTGAAAATTTTAGCAATGTATTCTATTTTGCGGAAATATATAAAGATTTATTTTTTTTTAAATATCCTTGTAATTACAATTTTAAGCAAAATTATAAAACAATAAAATATTGTACATTCTAGTACAAAAGTTTTATTTTATTAACTTTTTAAATTTCTTAAAGTAATAAAAATATATGACAAATACATTATATTAATAAGAATTGCTTGTAATACAATATTATAAAAATATAATATTTATATATATGCAGTAAAAAATGTTTCAGAAATAAATAATCAAATTTTAGAAACATACTGTAATGATGAAAAAGATCCATATAGTTGTAAAAATGTTTTCTTTTCAATTTATAAACATTTTTTATGTACGACAAACTTTGACAAGTACATCTGTCAAAAAAGCTTCAAATAAACAAAATATATATATATATATATATATATATATATATATATCGATTTTTTGAATTATAAATTCTTTTGTTTATATATGTTTTTACAATTTATTACCTATTTTTAGAACATTACAAAATTCACATTAGCATTCAAAATTCACTATAGCATTGTATTATGGTAATAGAAAAATACTCTTTCATTTTTTACACTATGTTAGTGATAACAAAAAATTAGCTAAAATATTTAATTAATAAAATTATTATATTGAACCTCTCAAGGATAAATCGCGAAAAGATACATTACATCCCTTTCATGCATTAACCTACTTTCATGTATTAAGCCACTCCCGGATAATATGAGGGATAACGGTCTAACTGCGCAACAATGCACAGCTGTGGGCGCAATACTCTCTCCTGGCGACATAAAAAGTTTATGTTCATGCAAGTTTTGTGAGTAATTGTTGTGTAAAATGATAAATTTTATAACTCTAAATATATATATAAAACAGAAGTGAGGGTAGTCTTGTTATAGTATACCAGAGTTCCGTTCTATTTCTTGAGAGGTTTTCATATAATTAAAATTTTTTTCTGATTATTCTTTATTACATAGACAAGTTAAATAAAATTAAATTGCTATGTTTTTTTCCTATTTTCTTCTAAACCCCACACCAAATTGGCATAAAATGTAATATCTAATAATAATAATTCTAATGTATAATAATAAGTCTAATGTAATAATATCATTAGAAAGAGATAATAGCGATTATTATTTAAAAAATTCAGATTTTTATATCTTATAATACCTAGAAATATTAACAATACCCAAATGTTAATGTCCAGCTCGCTGTAAAATAATGATAATATCACCGTAATAAGAAAATTAATATAAATAATGCCGATGTCATAATGTAGTACCAATGATCAAGATGCACAATCAATAAGACTATTAATAGAATATATATTTTTATAAATAAACTTCAATAGATATTACATGATTTCTTACACGGATGATATTTTCAATATGGATAGGTGAAAAGTGTGTACTATACGTGACAGAGAATATATATGATTATACATGTAAAAAGACGATTATGATGCACATATTTGAAGCATGATATGATTGCCCATAATCCATTCTTAGCTTTATAAATCGTAAAGGTCGGCAAGACATCCAGGCGCTTATCCAAGTTAGAAATGAATGATTATGTTTATTTCTCATAAGTAAATCATAATTCATTCATAAGATAACACAAGCAGGGAAGCTTAAACTTAATATGAAATATTACCTTGAGACGGTGCTTCACCTTCTGCACAGAATGGGACGCGGGAGGAGAAAAACGAGAAAGAAAACAAAAACAATTAGCGCACAAATAATGCCGCAATAGTAACAGCGTAACAAAATCAATATAAATTCAATATAATGAGTAAATATTGTATAGCATAAAGAACGAGCATTAAGCATACGATGAGTATTAAAACAATATAATAAAAGTTTGAAAAAAGATATTATTTTCTTCTTAAAGCCTCTTAATTTTTTAAATATTTTTTTTATTTTCCAAAATATTTACTAATTAATAATCATTAAATTATCAATTAATAATCCATTAAATTACCGATAACCATTTAATTTATCAACTTTTTAAGCATATCTTTTTACAAACTTCAAAATTCAAATATCATCACAAAGACACATATACTATATCATGTAAAAGCTGCAAATACATAAAGCCAAGTAAATACAAGAAAACATTATATTTTTTTTGTAAATACAAGAAAACAATATATTTTTTTGTTTTTATTGTTTTACAAAAGCTATACTTTTGCACTAGTACTTAGTACTTAATAATATTTCAAACTTTCACATATAATGATTAAGTAGTATTTATCTCTGTTGTAATAGTCTTGTATTTTTTAATATACTTTATCGTAATTATTAAAATTTATTTATTATATCTGTATATATTTATTCATTATATCTGTTTGTTCATGTTAAAAAAATATTTTATTTACATCAATATATTTTATTTATGTTTTAGAAAAATTGTTTGATAAATATTCATAAAAAGAGATACTTTTCCTGATGGAAATATCATGTTGAAATTAGAATCATTGAAAATGAAAATTACTGAATATTTATTAAATCTATTTCAATATAAATCAGAATTTTTACATATAAGAATATAATTCAATACTATGAATTTTAAAGAAAATTAGAGGGAGTAAATATTTTTTTGAAAATTAATAATGATAAAAATGCAGGGTTAAATAAAAGGTACACATCACCGATTTTATTGTCGCTTAAATATAGAAGAAATTGAGTAATTCCCTAAAATCTTGAGTAATTCGCCGCAAAAATAAGTGGAGAATGCCATTGATTTAGAAAATATAACAAGTTAAATTTTGACAAATAACGCTTTTTTTAGACATTACATAACTAATGTTAAAAACATTGTAAGTATATGAGATTTGTTTACACCCATCCCTCGAATTACGCGGATTATTTATTTCACACGTTTTGCGGAAAAAACCGTAAAAATGGTAAGAGCAGCAAGTAAGAACCAACGCAAAAAATTAAGCGCATATTTAAATGTTTATAATTTATATTAAAATATCATTGTATAATACCAGCTCAACATAAAGCGTATGTTTCATCTTATTTTTAAACCATTTTCCACGTAAAAGAACTCAACGAAAAGTATAAAATTATAACGTAAAGTGGTCAAAAAAGAAAATAAAAAGTTAAATTTTAAACACAATTATCAATAATAATAAATTAAGAGATATAGCATATTTGCATACACATATGCACACATATTAAGCAAGAACCACATTAACGAGTAGCATTTCGATTTACATACCACATAGAGATACCGTACTCTTTTTTCATGCTCTCATTATAGTGAGAGATCCAGTGGCGAAGATAATAATCAAGATAAATTTATATAGTAGTGTATGTACCTTTGTTTGTGCAGTGAAGATCATCTGATGGCGTAAAAGTAGTAGAACATAACCGCAAGGTGATCATGCAAAAGAAATACTTATATAGTTATCCACATTAAATTCGCACGGAAAGAATGTAGCACTAGAGTTATCACATTCTAAAAAAAGAGGCAATAAGAATATAAATTAATAATCATGCAACTCTATCCAAACTTTCTAGCAATTAAGATATAAAAAAATAAAAGTGTGAAACAAAATTGCAAGCAAAAAAATATTAATTATAAACAAGATTTTATATTTATATCTATTATTATATTTAGCACTATTTAATAATATAAAATACAATTCAATAAGAGATAGAGAACTATTTTTTTAGTTTCGTAAAATATTTTTACTTGAATAAACACATGATTCGCAAAACTTTAATACGAATATCAGCAGATACCTTTCTGATAAAAATATCAGATAATATTTTAAGAATATTTCAATGATCGCCTCCAATATAATATTTCTAATCTATTTCAGTGTACATGATTAAAATGCTAGATGACATAACAATATAAATAATAAAGCAGAATATTATTTAATTACATGAGCACTAATTTCTTTCCATATCGAATAATTAACAGTTCGGGATTAGTAGAAAAAGCACATGCTTAGTTAGTCATATCAGCTGCCTTTATCTCGAATGTATAATCGCGTGAGACATGGGATCGATATTAAAGTTAAATTGATTAGATAAGGGAAATCTTAAGGCATTACTACTTCCGCACAATTAATTATTACACAAGATGTATACTTAATGTTCTTCATTTCTAAAGATGCTTGACCTTTTTATACTGATATGGCCGATGTTGAAACATCGACAGACTAAGTTAGATACTTGATGTTTAGCATCGACCAAGGATTATTTTTTTATCTCTTCATGATGCCCACCATACTATAGTATAAACCAAAATTGGATTCGTGATGTTTTAAACTTACCTTTCCCATAAAGAATAGGCACATGATCAGTAGCCAATCTCGTTTTTGTTTTGATACCAACAAGAAGCGGTGATCCTCGTCTCGTAGCTACGCATTCATCCGGGAAATACTTGCTTTTGAAGCAAAGAGCAAAAGCTCCTTCCTAAAATATTTTTTTAATTATTATCTCTCTTTCTTATCTTTCATAAATTTATGAAAAAATAATAGAGAGAACGCTTTTTTTTATTTTAATTTAATTTACTTTATCTTTCTATAGAAGAAATTTTTCTTTTTTATCTCTTCTTTATAATTCTTACCAATTGTTGGACAACTTGCTCAACGAGTTCACGAAATGAGTACGTGGGATGCTGTACCCAGAGATGATGAATCAACTTGGCAATAACCTCAGTATCAGTATCGCTTTCAAATACGTATCCTCTCTGTTGCAGCAGAGTTTTAACTTCCTTATAATTTGTCACAATACCTGTTCACAAAATAATTATATATTACAAAAAGAAATCGAGTAACATCGATTTAATCTTATCTACGGTTTTTAAATCACATTAAAAACTTGATTTTTTTTAATTGAAACTTGTTCTTTTCATGTGTTACATCCTGTTGACTTCACGATTCCTTTTGAAGTTGCGGCAACAATCATTCGATTAGTGATAAAGAAAAATCATTCGATAAATAGAGCCTACGATACATATAATTTCCTTGATATTTTATTACTTGTTTACAATCCTTCAAGCAAATAAAGCAATAATATAAAGAAATAATATTATAGTAGGTATTTCCTACAGTTATATCTTTCGGCAGAAGAATAAGAAAATATCGATGACAAAACTAACTAATAAAACAGTAAAAACAAATACAGCATTTAATTGCAGTAATTTAATAAAAGAAATCAAGGAAAATAGAAATTTCATTGACATTCTTCAGGAGATTAACTGAGTCGTAAATTAACTAGATTCACATTCAAAAAACGTTTCGTTGGAAAAGATAACTTACTACATAATTCAGAGGATTTTCAGCTGATATCAGACTTACTAATCAACGATCATTAGAACTACAAAAAGTGGAAGAAACATCCCAATAAATAAACACACTTGAATTCTAATTCTTACAAATCTAATTCTAAAACATTCGCATCTCTAAAATTTTAAAATACATCCTCGAAAAGGGAAATATTTCGAATTGTACACAACAAAATCGACTTTGAAATTATAGTTGTTACAATATCCCTCATCCTTTGCCTGGTCTAAATGTAACACATGAAATTGTTAATCAAAATAAACATTTGTAGTTTATAAATATTTTCTTTAAAATTTATAAATAAATTTCAATTTATTTAGATAAAACAAAAATCATAATCAATTCTTAATTTTAAGGAACATTTTTAGCTCTTTATCCAATAAAGATATAATTTTAAGAAAATGTAAATTTATATCTTTTCTTTGAAAATTTTTACCATAGGTTGCATAATTCTAAATAAAATATTCTGTTCTATTTGCAATTTTGCTCCATAAGATTCTTTTATTTGTTGCAATATTTTATTTAGAAAAAAAATTTTATATTGTAGAAATTACCATTATGAACAACGACAAAAGTATGTTCACTATCGGAGCGTTGAGGATGAGCATTCACCTCCGATGGCACACCATGAGTCGCCCATCGCGTGTGAGCGATACCAACGTGACTCTGAATTTGGGATTCGAAATCAAGATTGGTACCTGCGAGGAAACATAATAAAAGATTTTATATGGGATATATATTTTTTTCAATGACAATAGCAAAAACAAATAGTCTCACAGTTTACAGCCAACACTTACGGCAAAATATCTCTTCCTCGAGAGCCTTAACTTTTCCTTGTTTCTTGATAATCGACATGTCCTTACCATCCGCACTATCGAGAGCGACGCCTGAAAACAAAAGAACACTTCGTGAAAAATATTTTTACGACCAAGATATCGCAACTTTATTTATTTATTTATGCGAGAACACGAAATAGCTTTTCCTTTTTCTTTCAGAAACAAGTTTGCTAATCAGAACGAGGTTTGAAAAAAAACAATATACTCGAATCGAATATAGTCTAATACTAGTTCTTTATTTTACAGTAGATATATTCAAAGCAATTTTACAAACGACATATAAGTCATTTAGTAATAAAATTATTCAGAACAATATTATTTTAAATGACTTATGTCATTTAAAATTGCTTTTCGTACTCGAAATACTTTTTTATGTATATTTCTAAGAATAAAACATAGCAAGAGCATTATACTTTTTTCATAAAATTTAAAGTAAAAAAAAGATCATAAACAATATTATTTTTCAAATATGATTACCTTTAAATATATTTTTAACTTTATAATTTATAATTTATATGAATATTTATCCTCTAGTATAAGATAAATTGTATCAAAATACTTTTCCTACTTCGAAACGTTTTATATTTTCCTTCGTTCTTTTCTACAAATATGCGTGTATAATTTTAGACAGGAAAAAATTTTTGCAACTAAAGATGTCATCTTACCTGCAGAATCATATCCGCGATATTCTAATCTTTTCAAGCCAACAACCAGCAACTCCAAGATTTCCTTTCTGCTCTTTGGCGTCAAATAATTCAAATAAGCAAAAATCCCTGGAGATTCAAAGGTACATAATTATTACTCGAATTGTTGATATATAATATATATAATAAAAATACGATTCAATTATCATTGAGATATCATTGATAGTAAAAGATATTACAATCCTTTTCCTAATAACGCTATAAATTATTTAAATAACAGTATGTATGTACGTATGTATGTGTATAAAATTTCATATTATTGAATGCGCATGATGCAAACAAAATCTTGGCAATGATATTAGTATAACTTACATTATAAAATACATTAAACTTATACTTGTGTACTTTTACTGCTTTACATGCAAATCATTCAGAAAAATATACTAAAACATTCACGCCATTAAATAAAAACAGATCATCTATTAATTTTACTGAACTTTACTTTCGTTTTTGAAGATTGTATTCCTGATGGAACACAAAAAAAATACGAAATTTGATTTATTTAAAGGCACAAAAAAGAGAAATCATAAACAAAATTTTTTATTTTATTTTCATCAACATGCTAATTTATCAAATAAGATACGTAGACGTAAAAGTATAAATATATATCAAGAATATGCAAGCTGCAGAAAGTTACAAGTTTATATTTAAAAATAAATTATATATTCATGTAAAATATATAACACCATTCGATTAATTTAAAGAATGACGTCTACTTTAGCCTAAATTTTGGCTTTCGAATTTTGGAGTAAGCGAGGTATTGTCAAAGTTTGAAAGCATATCAATCTGCGCAAGTTATAAATGCAACTTTTGTACTGTTCCAGAGAAATTTCCAAAAGCTTATCATCGATAGATGGCAACCTATCAAAATCAGTTGTAAACTATTTAATCATGATAAAGCTTCATAGTTATTGATTAATCTAAAATCATTTTCTGTATATATATGCTACTTTATGTTATTTGAACATTATATATAGTGATTGTTAGTATGATTGATTATGATGGCAATAGTAGCAGTGATGATGTTGGAAAAAAATGATTGTCGATGAGGATTAAATTATATTAAATTAGATTACTGCTCCCGGATGGTGCACCTTGTCATAATAGCCTTCGAGCAATCGCTAAGAGCGCACACAAGAGGAAGGAAAACTTCGATAAATAATCCGGCTGAGCAGCCGTAAGCTTCTGGACGATTTAAAGGACTACGTTCTAAAGAAAGGAAAACCTTGAGAGAAAACCAATTTTGGTGCAACATGAAAGGCATACGTGATCGATATTAATGTGGTTAATATCAATATCAACATGGTCAATTGGTGATCAATATTATAACGTGGTCAAACGAGTGTCACTCGCAGGAAGGTCATTTAAAGCTTTCTAGAATCCTGCTGAGCCCCTCCTTCTTTTGTGGTAAAAGAAAGAAATCAAGTACGTCGGAATGGGCAGTAATGCTCAACCGATCCGGAGCTTGATAATATGTGCAAACGGTGTCCAGGATCCAGATAAAACGACCGAAAACAAACTACAAAAGAAAGATTTTTAGTGGATATACTTGGCATTGCACCCATCGCTGGGAAGTCCCACATTCCTCATCGGACCGGGAGTGCATAATGCATTTTCTCTCTTCTTGCAAAAAAAAATGATTAGGAGGATTAGGTATTGGCGATGACGATGAATATAATGAATATAATGTAATGAATATAATCTGATCATAAAATAAAGATTTGATAATCATAAGAATAACAATACAAAATAGAATCAAATGGAATGGCGATTCCAACAAGCAATTTGTGCTTCTATTAGCAATCGATACATGTGTAGAAATGAGAATGTTCCCTGCAGCATTTAGATTAGGTTACCTATAGCTTATCTATATGAAAAATATAATTATTCGATTAATTTATATTTATTTTTTCGGATGGATGTCACAATATATATAGGATTATGTCCAGAATTTATTCTACAAATTTATTTACAAGTTTATTTTTACTTATAAACGAATATTAAAGAAGTAATTTAGTTTAAACAACAATCTATTCCATAAAATTTAAATAAATTTTCCGCGCAGATATACACACACATAAACACATATATATACATTTGCAACTAAATTATATTATAATATAATATTGATTTTTAATAAATATTATATTATATTGATTTTACGATGATTTTTAATAAATAAGATCAGATTTTTTACATATGTAATACAAGTATACTATAGTTAAAAAAATTTTTTTAAATGTTTCATCGAAACTTTTCTTATATTAAATTCCAATAAAAATTTTGTAATAAAAATTAACACAATTATATTGTAAAACTTCTTCTATTTTTGACATTACAAACAAAACTATTAGCTTGCAATTGCAAATGAAGTGTAATATCCGAATATATTTTTTGCACGATCTATTATTCTCATTGCATTGTAGATGACTGTCCCACTTTTAGTCTCAACAATCAGTTGATTTCACTCTGAAAGTCTACCACTTAATTCTCCTTCTCTTTCCTTTTTTCCTTCTCTTTCCTTTTTCTTTTCTTTTTATTTTGTTCTTATGTTCCTTATTTTTTCCTTAAGCGAATACAGTTTTACCGATTATGGTACACAGCACAATATTGCCTATTTCTTTTTTATCACATATTTATTTATTAAAAAAATGTTATTAATTTAAAAGTAGAGAATTATTGAATATTTTCATATAAAACATCTATATCATCAACAATGAAAATAGTGACTTCATTAAGCACAGATACCAATATCGGTATACATTCAATAATGATTTGAATATTCAAATTCTTTGAAAATATTTAAAACTCGAATATCTGAAAATTGAATTTGAATCTGAATTAGTTAAATCTCGCGCGACAAATGAAATGAAAGGATTGATCGAAAAGAAAGAAATCGTGTCTAAAGGTGAACATTTCTGCTAAATGTCATATGCTAACTATCTTATGTTTCTGCATTCTCCCAGGTTTGCCGACCACGAAAAGACTTTCACTTGACCGGACTGATCGTCGTCGACATTTCCTTATATTAAACCAGAAACCTTCTCACCAACAAATATATTAATAAGTAGTTGTAATACAAGAGCACACTTACAAGTCCACTTTTTAATATCTCTTCTGTAGAGATTAAATGAGTAATTGAATTGGATGTTTCGTTTGCGAAGATTTACAGAATTTAAATTTAAGTCTAAACTATCTGCAAACATATTGCAGAGCATTAGATATTTATTTAAGATAAAATTGTTTAAACAAATGCAATAAGAGTTATACGTTTTATATTCTAAGTATATAAAAACATATAAATATATGTGTTATCGCGATAAAAAGAGAAATTACAAATTATAAATATTTTATACATATTTTATATATATTAAAAGAATGTTTCTTAAGAAAGTAAGAGAAATAAATTAATTTCGCAATGTTATTACATAAGACATTTCGAGATTTTGGAAACTGGAATTATCAATGCTAATTTTGATAAACATATAATTTTTTTAACCAATATATAAACAATAATATTTTCTTTATCTAAATAGAACTGATAATTAATAACAGAATATATTTAATAATATTCAAATTAATAATAATGTGTGTGTGTGTATATATATATATATATATATATATATATAAACACCCACACACACACACACACACACATATACACATGTATGTTTGGTGTATTTAATCTATATAAATTATCGAATATGAATGCAACATTCAAGAAAACTTATTTATTTTAATGTTTCTTATTTTAATTTTTTTAATATTTCGCAAAAAAATTATATGATTTCTCGCTTCTAATATTATTTCAATCAATATGAATTCAATAAAAAATCCAAAATCCTAAAAGAATTTTAGAGAAGGAAGAATTTCAGAAAAGGATAAAAAAGAAATTGTATTAAGAAACATTTTTCTTTCTTCATTGATCTTTATATAAATTACAAAACATTATAGAAAATTTAATATCAGCTTTCTAAAATGTACAATTCTATGTTCCAAATATTAATAATTTTTCATTAATTTATTAACAGTATTTGTCAAAAAAATATTTGAGTCTAAAATTAAAACGTATGTGCATAACGTATCGTTATGTGCTTTATGATAAATGGTCACTCGATATGTGCTATTCCCGTTCATATCATGCCCTTGATATATTAAATGTTATCATTATCTTTCCTACGTCTTATCCTTTCTACTTTGTCCTTTCAAAAGAAAATCATTTATCCGATTTATGCATATAAAATAATAGAACCGGTAGTTGTAGTTGAAAGTGCATCAAAGTATTCTCTTGGAAATCCAACAACTTTTAAATGAAAAATTTTTTTGTTTAACAAATTTCTTAGAATTTAAATAAAAATGGCGATTTCTAATGTATGATTTTCTCTTTATATCAAAATTCTTTTTTTTGTTATAGATAATAGAATTTAAATATTTATTGAGGAAATATATTAGAAAATATCTTAGATTAAACAAAAGTTTACAAAGCAATAATTATTTTAATTTAGATTAAATGGAAATATATTTCACGATTACAAATATATATATTTCATATGAAAATATAACAGAAAATAAAATAACATAATGTAACATAATGATATTTAATCCTTTTCTAAAATTTAGCTTTGAAATTTTTAAATTTATTCTTTATAATACAAGAAGTATTATGCTTAAGAAAATTTTTTAAGATTTTTATATAATTTTGTTCATTTCTATTTTTCTGTTCATTTCTATTTTTCTTTATTATGCCAATTGATAATATAATAATATATCGACATATGCATTCAAACAACAATCCATTTTACACTAGTGTCATCACAAAAAACTTCATCGCAAATATACATACTATAGATTTCTAAACATGATTAAATACAATGTGTTAATTTTCGAGTGGTCAAATAGAATCTATGAGTAAGTGATATCTATATAACGAATTGAATTCGCCATTTATTAACTGCGATGTCAAGCCGGTGGTGAAAGTCACGGCGGTATTTATGCATGATATGTGCAAAAAATTCAATACTTACCACACATGTTATCAAAATTGTTTTATCTGCCACGTAAACACAAGAATATAATGAATAAAAAGACGAATAGCAGTGAAAAATTAACAGAAGTAAGAGGCCCGTCACTCGTAGAGAAATGTCACTCGTTTAACATCTGGCGCGTGCTGCTCCGAAAGACAATCTGAACTGTGCGGCAGCGTGTTTGCGACTCTTATGACGTGTGAGCAGCAGTACTGTCAATTCGTAGGACATGGGACGTGGAACCCCCACCGCCCATTTGACACAGAACATCACTACCACTAATGTAGTACGTATGGCAACCGAAATTTGTGCAGCTTTGGACAACACCGAGCATAAATTATTTAAATCGAGCCTTTATTTGACAAGTAGAAGTAAAAGTATACGTAGAAAAAGGCTTATTCTATTCCGTACTCCTCGCATTCTCTCTCGCTCATGCGCATAACGTTTTCTCTCGTTATGCTATGCAAATGAGAAAGAAGGAGCACAAAACAGAGGGCATCCTTTTCTACGTACACCTTGATCCCCACTCCTCAACATTTGGTCTAGATGTAGTCATGACATAGATAGAAAGGTATACCGTATCTTGTGAATTCGAAGTCGTCCACAAAATAGCCAATCAGAAATAGCCAAGAATGCTAGATTCAATGTGACTACAATAAATAATTATAATAAAAAGATTAATAAAAAAATTTTAATATAGATTAAAAGCAGTACAAAATAAAAATTGAATAATAAAATTATTTATTATATAGAAAGATATTCGAATTTAGACTGTGGAACTTGTATATATTGTATATATTTTCGTGTAAAGCCAGCGACACACGATTGCTACTTTATTTGGATTGCTTGCGCCAGTGATGGCAATTTTACTGTCTGCTAGGCTGATGAAGATCGTGTCTCCGTTGGCGTCGATGCTGCTGGTTACGTTGCTGACTGATCTGCTGGATTTCTGATAAACCAGGTGCTATTTTCTTGTATAATTCTGTGTTCGCTCATTGGGAGAGCAAATCAGACAGCTTTAATTTTTAGATTAGGTTATGTAAAAAAGTTGTATTTTCTCAGTATTGTCAAATGGAAAAGAGTATGATCATCACAAGTAAAGAAAACGAAGAGGAAAACTGGTCTAAAGAAGCTATTTTGTCTTTAATAAAAGCTTATAAAGAAGAACCATGTTTATGTCCGGAGGACGCGACTCATTATATTCATAAATATCTTCAAAATAAAGCATTAAAAAAGGTGTGTGCCACTGTCAATTTTTAAACCTGGAATTACAGAAAGCATGTGTGCCGCAAAGTTTCAAAATTTACGAAACCAATTTTATCAATACAATATTAAAAATGCTAAAATGAAAGCGTCGAAAAAATCTGAAACTAGTACTGACGATGTAAGTATGAAAATCTAATCTCTTTCAATTCTAATATTTTGTATAATGTTTTCTATAATAATTTTTATATAAATATGTGTCGTATTTTCATTTTCACGAAATTTTCTTTTAAAATTTTTACAGGTGTACAAATCGAAAATCTCTGGTATTTTTACTTTAATCATTTGAAATATTTAGACACTTGTCTTATACCTTACCTTCTCGAGTATGAGAAAGAAGAAGTTAAAATAACAGTGCTATATGAGAAAAAAGAATTTAAAAAAACAGTGCTAGAATATAGATGTAACTTTGCACTATTACTATTCTTAAGTATATGTATTATCATACATATTATTTGTCTTACTTATTTTGATTATTTTTACTAAATATATTTTACTAATATTTTACTAATTATTTTACTAAATATTTTTATTATTATGTATTATTATTATATCATAAAAATAAATTTCTGTTTTAATGAGATATACAATGTCTATGGCATCAACCTTTAACAAATGTCAATACATATGACTGGACAAGATAGAGGCAGAAGCACAGATTTCTATATTTTATAGAAACTGCTAATACGGCTTAAGGCTTAAGGTCCATAAATGAAGAAATTGGACAAAATAAGATTTTTGCATCCGCTTCATATAATTTGGTACAAAAATGGCGGCAATCATGGCTCAGCTGATTAACCAAAAAAACATTAATTCAAATGTAGATTATTTTCGTTTCATACATAGATTAGATTTGTAAGAATATTGCAGGAATTTTTTTATAAAAAAAATTTAACAATGACAATAATTTTAAATAGTTTGAATAATATAAAAAACTAATGCTAAGTAATTGAATAGAAGATTATGTAGAAAAGATGATGTATTTTATACATGTATATTTTTGTAAATAGAAATATATATACTATTGAAAAGTTGTATATACTATATAAATATATATATATATATATATATATATATATATATATTTACATTTACGAATATACAAGAAAATAATTGGTAATAATTCCAAAATAAAATAAATTATTTTGGAATTATTACCAGTTGAATCTAAATCATTTAATATATTTCCGGAATTAATTATTTCGCTTTCGAAAATAGTTGGAATACCATTGGATTTCAGTTTCCGCGATTCATCTTGTCATCGATTTTTGAAATGCGAATCATTAAAATGATACTGTAAAAACAAGAGAAAGCATTATAATTTTTTAAATAATATATTCTAATAATTATGCAATTTTTAATTGGATGAAAATAATTATATATTTTCACACCTCACATAACCTAGCACTGTGTTGAATTTTTATCACATTTCTCAGCCCATAAATGTTTTTGTTTCTCATCCTGAGGAAATAAAAACATTCGAAAACCATGTTCAATTTTTGCAATTTTTTACAACATGACATCGTAACTTTTTTCTTATAAAAATTCTCATTCTTTTTTGGATTTAAATGCACAACGTATATATACGAGTGTAAACTGTTCATTATGCATTCATTCATACAACTAATAGCTATAATACTATGTATAATATAGGCTGGCTGTCTCGAAAATGGTAACTATGCAAAGACCTTTCCTTGTCCAGTTCCTCCATGGCTGCGTTCCGTTTCACGCATATGCGCGCATTATTTATAGTATGCGTTACATATACTATAGATAAATGCGCGCATATGCGTGAAACGGAACACAGCCCATCTATGAGCCCATATCTCATATGGAAAGATGCGGAACAAAGGCAGCCATTTATAATTGGGCAGAATTTATGTGCGAATTTCTGTGTGCTTTTCGATTTATTTTAATCATTTTTTGATTATTAGATCGGCATTCTGTTCGATTTTATCATAAATATTTTTACGATTTTATTATACTTTCAATAGAATTGATATATGGTATTCTCCACATTCCATTTTGCATTTTATACTCGAATTAACAAACCTTTTAATATAATTCTATACCTAAAATTGAAGAATAAAAATTATAAAGATTACAAATGCATTATTTGAGCATTTTTGCAAGTCTTGCTATTTGTTCGAATTATTATTTAAGTTTAGCCATAAGGATATTGTACATAAAAAGATAAATGATGAAGATGTATGAATAAAAAACTGTATTTATTCAAGAAAAATTTAGAGTTAATTTTTTTAACAAATATAATAGAGTTAATTTTTATAGAGTTAATTTTTTTAGCAAATATAATTTAATATTTGTTTGCTATTTTTTATCATATCATTAATTTTTGTGTGTGTGTGTGTGTGTGTGTGTGTGTGTGTGTGTACGTGCGTGCGTGCATAGGAAAGAGAAATACAAAAATAATAGGTTATACAACAATGAAAGTCTTTTTTAATATAAAAAATGTAAGTCATAACAATGCTTTGAATTGATTCTATTGAATACATAATATTTTCTTTTTATTCCCTTTTTCTTTTTTTCTCGAGAAGAACTTTAAAGATAAAAGTAAATCGTAATTTGCATGTAACTGCTAATTTCTTAATCATGTTTTTCTTATTTTTCAGAGCATCTTGGACACATCTGGAATTAGACGACATAGCGTTCTTGGTTTCTATTTGCGCCCATAAGTAAGCATTTTTCAGACATTTTTTGGCTTGTAGAATTACAGAATCTGATATGGGTGAGGCAATTGTCCTGAGATATTTTACGTTTTCCTTAAAGTTTTTCACATCATTGTTGATTGTTCCCAATTCAGTTAGAATACAGGCTTGCATTTTAGTATTATCACTGTCATGACAGTTTAGGAAGAGGTCATTCAATTCCGTTATTAATGTTTCCCCAAACTGTGAAGGCGAGAAATTAAAATGATTAGAATTTAGTCTGTGTTAGGCTCAGTTGCATCAACGTTATTTTAGCTTTAAGCGAGCCTTAAATATATGTCTATCTTTATCTTTTTTTCTAAATAAAAAAAGACAAACATATATTTAAGTTTCGCTTAAAGCTAAAATAATGTTGGTGCAACCGGACCTTAGTGTTTCGTTCAGGACTCCCTTTTTCGCATATGTACGACATATATATTCAAACGATTTATTATTTAGGAATGTACCCTCTAAAAATTATTCGTGCTGTGTAACTTAAACATTTGCCAATTATGTAAACTTTTTCAAAAATATGTGTATTGCACATTCATATGTATTGATTTTCTTTTCGAAATTTTCTTGCGCAATATTTTGTCGTCTATAATATTTCTATTACAATATTTCTATTATAATTGTCTATTATATTTTGTGTTTTTTTGTCGCACGAACATGCATGTGCAAAAAAGGAATCGGAACATTGCTTTATAATTATTATTTAGATAAAAATATTTTAAATAAAAATTATTCAGGTAAAATATATGTATGATAACAAGTGAGAATTTACCGAGATATAAGAACTGACAAACTCGAGATTCTTTTTAGTGGAATTTGTAGCTGAATCTTCGCATTTTGTTGCAGCTTCATATGCAATATTACTGTGTTCGGTTATGGCACAAAAATTAGCATCGTAGCAATATTGCGCATCTTTACCCTGCATCTTAGCAGTATTCACTTCTCTCTAAAAATGAATAATTTGATAGAACAATACAATAATATGTTTTAATATATTATTAGAATAATCAAATGCATTCTGTACATTTATGAGTTTTATTGAATGTCGCGCTTTGCAATTATCAAATGTATCATATATCGCGTTTTATGAAGTAATGATCTTTATTCAACAGATTTATAGAAACTCCTTGATGATTAGAATTTTGTTTTGACTTATAAAAACGAAACAATATTATAATAAAATTAAAAATTATAGTATTCTCTATTATTTCTTATTATCAATATAATATCCTTTCTTTAGCGCTTATTTCATTATCAATACAAAATCAATAAGTTAACAATATCAAAATATTATCTTATCTATATTTTATTATCTTTAATTCGAATTATTACTCACCTGCATCGAAACGACCACTAGATTTACATAATCTTTAAAGTTATCCATTTGATCCCACCATTTTTGTAAGACTGTTCTATAAGTATCTTCTTCTATTTCTGTACGAACACGTTTAAATTGTTGTATGATATCTTCTACGTTGTTTATCGCATTTTGCACTTGAAGTCTTAAATTGTTCAAATCCTTCAATGATGGATAGCGTAGATGATTAAAAGATAAATATTGTATTAATTAGTATATTATTTTAAGTAAGTGTAACATTTTTGTCAATTGTTTAAACTTAAATATCTAAGTTTAGTTAATGAAAGTAAAATAATGAAAGCTTTTATTTTTTAAATGAAGGAATATATTTAAAAAAATTTTTTAAACATGTGGCATGAATAGGTAGATTATTAATCACATTAAAAATGATATATTAAACACTTACATTTACAAAAATGCCGCTTGGTTCCACGATATAATTGGATATTTTAGATATTAATTGTTGATTATTAGGCTTCGAATGAACATTCTACGAAAAAACAAAAAAAGTATCATGCATCATTTTCTAAAACAAAGAGAAAAAGAACTTACAGATAAAAATATGGCAAAAAGATGTAATGTTATATAAATATTCATGCTTGCTCGCTGATATCACTTGGAAATGGCTGTTAACCCGATAAATCGATTATTAATTGTGAGAAGTATAATATTAATTGCGTCTTTTTATTATAGGGTGATAAAAAATATTTTGACAAGCTTTGAGAGATAGTAAAGGAAGGAGAGGGAATTAAGATAAGCAATTATATTGCTTAATAATATTCAGAATCAGTGTCTGATTTCGCAGATATCAAATGAAAAAAAATGTATATATATATATATATATACGTGAAATATTTATGCAAATGTGTATTGAATAGTTGAATTACTTTCATAAATAATAATCTTATTCAATTTTGCAATTATATTTGTTTGATCACTATGTAATTATAAAATGTTTCTTGTTCATTGACATATGAATAAAAGTTTGTTATAACGAAATATCAGAATAACTTTTTATCAAAATGTCTTTTTATCTCCCTCTGTATCACATTTTAATGAACTACCGATAATACTTACTTATATAAGTAGCATGAATAAGTAAATACCTTTAATTATAGATTTTAGTCATAGATTATTAATCAATAGATTAGATAGTTGTATTTCACGAAAGAGATAGCGCATATATTAAAATCTATAAAGATAAGCTATAACTTATCCTAATTTCATCTTGCGTGAAATGAATAATAAAGATTAATCGCAAGCAATATAAAGAATCATATTGACACAAATAATTCTTATTTTATAATTATTTTTTTATTTCTTTCTCTTAGTCATATTACATAAAATCTATCTCTTATAATATTACTTTTATACTATTATTCTTATATAAGTTATTTTTCGTTTAAATTTTAAAATAGAGAATATACATAATCAGAACGATGCTTTTTTTTAATTAACAGTCTAAAGTATATTTCCTTTCAAAAGTAATTATAACTAAAGATTAGTTACGGTTGAAAATACGAAATATAGTTGAAAATAGTTTCTTAAAAATCTTATAATTTTACTGCTGTTGTAGATTTTATCGGAGCTTTTGTCGTAGTAGTTAAACTTTCAGTCACCTCGTTCTGTTCAATGCACTGAGAGAGTCTGTTCTTAATTGTGATGCCCGCCGAATATATGAATGAATAAGCCTTTTTTAGGCAGTTGGTAGCTTGTAGAATAACATTGTCGGACACATGCACGACAGTAATCTCAGCAGAATTAGCATCGTTATTTAAAGTTTTTATGTCATTTTTTATATCCGCCAACTCAGATACGATGCAACTCCGCTTCTTTGATTCATCACTATCGTGACAATCGAGAAAAATACCGTCCAATTCTGATGACAGCTCATTTCCAGTCTATGAAGAAGAAGTTAACATGATTAGAATCTTAGTTCAATATTAATTATTCAAAACATGCAAGATCAATTTTGATTGTAATATGCAATAATAATTGTGAAAACATACCGAAATGAGATTGTCGAGAAAGCCAAGATTCTTCTCAATCGAATTTGAAGCTTCATCAATACATGTTTTAGCAGCTCCATTTGCTGCATCTTCACTATCTTGAATGCCTTTAATAGCTTCATTGTAACATGCCTCTGCATTCTTGCTCTTACTAGCGTTTACTTCTTTCTAAAAGTATATAAACATAATAAACAAATGACATAGCAAATTAACTAATGTATATTTACGTGTTTATTTATTTTATTCAATATTGATTAATATAGATTCACATATTTTTTCAATAAACTTGAGCTCGACTTTGAAGAATATTAAGATACTAAAGAATATTATTTAAATAATAAAATTTTACATTATAATTACGTTTCATTTTTTAATATAAAAATATTTTATGATTTTAACATAATGTCATAATAATATTGTCATCCCTGATAACAAACACGCATTATTTTGATGATATTTTTGATTTGTTAACATTTGACGTGAAACATGATCATTTAAATTTCTGTACACAAATTGGTATTATTATGCATAATTGACTTTATGATTTTTTCTTTTACAGATTTTTATAAAACATTCAAATATATTAAAATATAAAAATAAATTAAAATATATTAATATGTATTCTGTGTAAAAAATAAAATATTAATATATAACTAATATCATTATTATAATTTAATTATATGATTACATGATTTGTGTGAGATTAAAAAATTGTATTAAGAAATTGCATGAATCATAAATTATAGTTTCTAATTTATGTTATCAAAAAAATTTCGTTTTACCTAATATATACATTTTTTTAGAAATTTCAATAATCAAGATAAATTTATCAAAAGATTTGTGTTTACCTTTAACAATTTATTAAATAAATAATAATTATTGTAAACTATCAGAAAAATGTTACATTACTCGATTACGAATTAATTAAATGATTACCCTGATCGCTGTGAGCAATTGATTTTTGTATGATCTGTAACTGTCCTGTTCTTCATCCCATTTGTCTGTAACTTTTCTGTTAGTATCTTCTTCGGTCTGGGAACGAAGAAGTTGAAGTCGACGTATAATATCCTCTACGTTCCATTTTGCATCTCTTACTTGAGTTCTTAAATCTTCCAAATCATCCGAAAGTCGTATTAAATTAGCATCAACCTGAGATCCACAAATAAACGTAATAATAAGTATTTTGAGCAAATGCATATTTTTGCAATTTTTTATTAATTCGTAGAATTAATTGTTGTATAATTAATGTTTGTATGTTTTTCGACAAGATTATTATACTAAGTTTTAAAATCAGAATTTTAAAAAATATTCAATAATTTAAAAAAAAAGAGAGAAAAAGAAAGATAAAGAATGAGGAAATGAAGAAATACACTTAAAGTTTTTCTTTAACAAATGTTTTAGTTTATAATTTCATAAATTTTTTTCACAATAATTTAAATTTCCGATATTAAATCTTTATAAGTATGTTTGACATATTCTGTCAAAAAATAAAATCTAAAAATGTATTATATTTTTAATTTTTTACAGGGAACTTACGGTCCAAAGTGCAACCAAAAAGCATAATGCTACGGCGAATCTCATGTTTGCTATTAATATTTGGACGTCACTTGATTTCGTACCAAAATTCGGATGACTGACAAATAATATTAGTTACATCGTTTTATATATACAATGTCTTTTAATCAAATACCAGTAATGATTATTCTGATAACGATTATTGAGATAATGAATACAGAGAATTTGTTTCAATATTTATTAGCAATAACGTATTTTATTGCTCTTTATCGACTTTAATCCTATTCTATCAGGATTTTGATGTATGAACCACTTTATTTTAACTAATTTAATTGCATTCCAAAGGAGTTGCGATAATTTCACAAAAATAGCGATGACTTTTAATTTCTAGACTAATATGATTAATTTTATATAACAATCGTAAGTATATTTAATCCCTTACCGAGATTCTTTATCGAGCACTTCATTTTAACTAATTTATCTTTATTGTAAATAAGTTATGGTAATTTCGCGAAAGTATTAATGAAACATATGAAATTTCTAGAATTATTAAATTAATGCTATTATATTTATACAATTTCTATTTTTTTCTTTTATTAAATTAATGTTATATTTATGACAAAATAACGATATAAACAAATAATTCTATTCAAGCTCTAAATCGAATGTCAAAAAGTAAACAGCTATATTTCAAAATTTACAAATATTTTATTCTTTTATAGAAAATTTATCGCATAACATAGATTCTTTCAAATAACAGAAAAAGAAGAGAGAAATAAAAGGAAACAGAAAGAAAGCAGCAGAGAAAAGAAAAACATGGACATGCATATTGTTTAGATATGTAAATATTCGGTAGACATCTTAAATATTTTTTCCTGTATCGGCAGATTCTGTGTTTCATACAAATTAATTAAATTACTGCGATATACAACATTATAGTCTGCATATCGATTGTGAAACGTTTTATATATCTTCATATTATTATCTACAACTTTTTAACACGTCATACAATGACGCACCGTTAAATTCCTTTTCTAAACGCGATCGTGATCAATATCAAAAAATTGTTTGCTATAATAATAAGCATATTTAACTTTTATAAATAATATGTAACTATCTATAGATTGCGATAAAAGTTCTTGAAACGCACTTCGCGGAATTTATTCATTTAATCAAGTAACGGAAATCCAAAGTAATAAATTATTGTTTTGTTGAGAAATCAATCTTTAGCAAAGCATTATTTCTTAAATGATATTTCAAATCATATATAATTTGATCGCAATTTATTCTATTTTCTTAAAAAAAAACTAGTATATCGAAACAGTTTTACCAGTTACTGATACGAAAACTGGTTAATTGACCAATATATTGATCAATCATTAAAATAATCAGTCGATATACTGATTATTGTAAGAACGCGTAATAAAACAATCGAATTACAAATCTAAGTAATTAACATAATAAAAGGCTTCGTGATGCATTAATTAATTAATCGATATAATCTTTACAAATACTTCTATACGTTAATATTCGCATTTGTATGTATTAAAGTATGTAAAATATTTCGAAATGACGGACGGACAATAACACACGGTATTCGGTCTTGACAGCATAAACAATGCTTATATGCCATAGCCTTGGTCTCATTCGTAATCACAACACTCGAGCAATAAGATAATGATGTGAAATATTTCGTACACAATATGATTGAATTAACGATTAAAATATATCATGATTTCTTCAATTACATTAATCTTATTAATGCGAGTTAATATACATATATTATACATAAATCAACAATGAAAATTTACTCGACAACGAATAGTATTGAATTTGACCTCGTATAAATATCGAACAAATCTTATATACTTTTCTCGTGTTCTATCTCTTACAATACAATAAAGTATGTTTCTCATATAATTATTCTGCGATCGGAAATGACGTGAAAATGTCTCGTGATCGTTCCATGTATGATTAATTATTATTAATCATATATTCGAGAGTGAGTGCTACGAAGAAATAGCAAAGAACGAACAATATTTTTATATATAAATATTTAACAAATTAATCGAACGAATACATTCCGATTCATCTTTTCGTTTGGTATATATAAATATTTAATTCACTATTTGACTGATTGCGTTCCGACTCGCTTTTTTATTCGATATATATAAATATGAGTCCAAGAAGCAGATTTCGGATATTCACTGTAAGTCAGCCGCTCCTCGGGCGATCGGGACGAGATTTAAACGGTAATGCCGCGAAATGGTGTAGAATTTTATGCAAAAAGAACGAAATCGCTATCGCGTCCGGAAGTCGAGATATAAATTGGCCGTTTTTCGTCTGCGCGCGGAAGGTCGAAATCGTGCACGACGCCATGTTGTCGGCCTCTCTCGCGCGATTCACTGTAACGCGGCGAGTAAAATGGCAAGCCGAATGTAATCGTTCGATTAATTGATTAAATACTTATATATACCGAACGAAAAGATGAATCGGAATGCAATCGTTCGATTAATTAATTAAATATAGATACTACGATCGCGGCGAATCGGTGGGCGGATCGCTCTCCGAAACATGATGATGGTTTGCGATATATCGCGATTGTTCCGTGATACATCAATCGTTCATAATTAATTAATTTAAAATAAAATATACTTCTATAAATTAAAATGTCGCGTGTATATATAGTACGCAAAATATTTCGGCAGAGAATTATCAATTAATATCATATGTTTGGCCTCGACGACGTATAGCAAGCGGCTATACATGTGATAGCTTTGCCATTTGTCACACGGTGACACTCGAATATAGAAAAATATTTAACAACATGATAATTAAGTAAAGAGCATTAAGAGCCCACAAACCAATTCGTTTCTTATAATTTATATTATCAGGAGAATATATTTTGCGAGGAGGTCGATGATGCGTTGATGACCTCTTTACAAATCATGTTCTCCTAATAACGCAAACGTGAAAATTTTCGAAAATTCGTTTCTTATAATTTATATTATCAGGAGAATATATTTTGCGAGGAGGTCGATGATGCGTTGATGACCTCTTTACAAATCATGTTCTCCTAATAACGCAAACGTGAAAATTTTCGAAAATTCGTTTCTTATAATTTATATTATCAGGAGAATATATTTTGCGAAGAGGTCGATAATGCGTTGATGACCTCTTTACAAATCATGTTCTCCTAATAACGCAAGCGTGAAAATTTTCGAAAATTCGTTTCTTATTATTTTATATTATCAGGAGAATATATTTTGCGAGGAGGTCGATGATGCGTTGATGACCTCGTAACAAATCATGTTCTCCTAATAACGCAAGCGTGAAAATTTTCGAAAATTCGTTTCTTATTATTTTATATTATCAGGAGAATATATTTTGCGAGGAGGTCGATGATGCGTTGATGACCTCTTTACAAATCATGTTCTCCTAATAACGCAAGCGTGAAAATTTTCGAAAATTCGTTTCTTATTATTTTATATTATCAGGAGAATATATTTTGCGAGGAGGTCGATGATACGTTGATGACCTCTTTACAAATCATGTTCTCCTAATAACGCAAACGTGAAAATTTTCGAAAATTCGTTTCTTATAATTTATATTATCAGGAGAATATATTTTGCGAGGAGGTCGATGATGCGTTGATGATCTCTTTACAAATCATGTTCTCCTAATAACGCAAGCGCGAAAATTTTCGAAAATTCGTTTCTTATAATTTATATTATCAGGAGAATATATTGTGCGAGGAGGTCGATGATGTGTTGATGACCTCTTTACAAATCATGGTCTCCTAATAACGCAAACGTGAAAATTTTCGAAAATTCGTTTCTTATAATTTATATTATCAGGAGAATATATTTTGCGAGGAGGTCGATGATGCGTTGATGACCTCTTTACAAATCATGTTCTCCTAATAACGCAAGCGTGAAAATTTTCGAAAATTCGTTTCTTATAATTTATATTATCAGGAGAATATATTTTGCGAGGAGGTCGATGATGCGTTGATGATCTCTTTACAAATCATGTTCTCCTAATAACGCAAACGTGAAAATTTTCGAAAATTCGTTTCTTATAATTTATATTATCAGGAGAATATATTTTGCGAGGAGGTCGATGATGCGTTGATGACCTCTTTACAAATCATGTTCTCCTAATAACGCAAGTGTGAAAATTTTCGAAAATTCGTTTCTTATTATTTTATATTATCAGGAGAATATATTTTGCGAGGAGGTCGATGATGCGTTGATGACCTCTTCACAAATTATGTTCTCCTAATAACGCAAGCGTGAAAATTTTCGAAAATTCGTTTCTTATAATTTATATGATCAGGAGAATATATTGTGCGAGGAGGTCGATGATGCGTTGATGACTTCTTTACAAATCATGTTCTCCTAATAATGCAAACGTGAAAATTTTCGAAAATTCGTTTCTTATAATTTATATTATCAGGAGAATATATTTTGCGAGGAGGTCGATGATGCGTTGATGACCTCTTTACAAATTATGTTCTCCTAATAACGCAAACGTGAAAATTTTCGAAAATTCGTTTCTTATAATTTATATGATCAGGAGAATATATTGTGCGAAGAGGTCGATGATGCGTTGATGACTTCTTTACAAATCATGTTCTCCTAATAACGCAAACGTGAAAATTTTCGAAAATTCGTTTCTTATAATTTATATGATCAGGAGAATATATTGTGCGAAGAGGTCGATGATGCGTTGATGACTTCTTTACAAATCATGTTCTCCTAATAACGCAAGCGTGAAAATTTTCGAAAATTCGTTTCTTATTATTTTATATTATCAGGAGAATATATTTTGCGAGGAGGTCGATGATGCGTTGATGACCTCTTTACAAATCATGTTCTCCTAATAACGCAAGCGTGAACATTTTCGAAAATTCGTTTCTTATTATTTTATATTATCAGGAGAATATATTTTGCGAGGAGGTCGAAGATGCGTTGATGACCTCTTTACAAATCATGTTCTCCTAATAACGCAAGCGTGAAAATTTTCGAAAATTCGTTTCTTATTATTTTATATTATCAGGAGAATATATTTTGCGAGGAAGTCGATGATGCGTTGATGATCTCCTTACAAATCATGTTCTCCTAATAACGCAAACGTGAAAATTTTCGAAAATTCGTTTCTTATAATTTATATGATCAGGAGAATATATTGTGCGAAGAGGTCGATGATGCGTTGATGACTTCTTTACAAATCATGTTCTCCTAATAACGCAAGCGTGAAAATTTTCGAAAATTCGTTTCTTATTATTTTATATTATCAGGAGAATATATTTTGCGAGGAGGTCGATGATGCATTGATGACCTCTTTACAAATCATGTTCTCCTAATAACGCAAGCGTGAACATTTTCGAAAATTCGTTTCTTATTATTTTATATTATCAGGAGAATATATTTTGCGAGGAGGTCGAAGATGCGTTGATGACCTCTTTACAAATCATGTTCTCCTAATAACGCAAGCGTGAAAATTTTCGAAAATTCGTTTCTTATTATTTTATATTATCAGGAGAATATATTTTGCGAGGAGGTCGATGATGCGTTGATGACCTCTTTACAAATCATGTTCTCCTAATAACGCAAGCGTGAACATTTTCGAAAATTTGTTTCTTATTATTTTATATTATCAGGAGAATATATTTTGCGAGGAGGTCGAAGATGCGTTGATGACCTCTTTACAAATCATGTTCTCCTAATAACGCAAGCGTGAAAATTTTCGAAAATTCGTTTCTTATTATTTTATATTATCAGGAGAATATATTTTGCGAGGAAGTCGATGATGCGTTGATGATCTCCTTACAAATCATGTTCTCCTAATAACGCAAACGCGAAAATTTTCGAAAATTCGTTTCTTATAATTTATATTATCAGGAGAATATATTTTGCGAGGAGGTCGATGATGCGTTGATGACCTCTTTACAAATAATGTTCTCCTAATAACGCAAACGTGAAAATTTACGAAAATTCGTTTCTTATTATTTTATATTATCAGGAGAATATATTTTGCGAGGAGGTCGATGATGCGTTGATGACCTCTTTACAAATCATGTTCTCCTAATAACGCAAACGTGAAAATTTTCGAAAATTCGTTTCTTATAATTTATATGATCAGGAGAATATATTGTGCGAAGAGGTCGATGATGCGTTGATGACCTCTTTACAAATTATGTTCTCCTAATAACGCAAGCGTGAAAATTTTCGAAAATTCGTTTCTTATAATTTATATGATCAGGAGAATATATTGTGCGAGGAGGTCGATGATGCGTTGATGACTTCTTTACAAATCATGTTCTCCTAATAATGCAAACGTGAAAATTTTCGAAAATTCGTTTCTTATAATTTATATTATCAGGAGAATATATTTTGCGAGGAGGTCGATGATGCGTTGATGACCTCTTTACAAATTATGTTCTCCTAATAACGCAAACGTGAAAATTTTCGAAAATTCGTTTCTTATAATTTATATGATCAGGAGAATATATTGTGCGAAGAGGTCGATGATGCGTTGATGACTTCTTTACAAATCATGTTCTCCTAATAACGCAAACGTGAAAATTTTCGAAAATTCGTTTCTTATAATTTATATTATCAGGAGAATATATTTTGCGAGGAGGTCGATGATGCGTTGATGACCTCTTTACAAATCATGTTCTCCTAATAACGCAAGCGTGAACATTTTCGAAAATTCGTTTCTTATTATTTTATATTATCAGGAGAATATATTTTGCGAGGAGGTCGAAGATGCGTTGATGACCTCTTTACAAATCATGTTCTCCTAATAACGCAAGCGTGAAAATTTTCGAAAATTCGTTTCTTATTATTTTATATTATCAGGAGAATATATTTTGCGAGGAAGTCGATGATGCGTTGATGATCTCCTTACAAATCATGTTCTCCTAATAACGCAAACGTGAAAATTTTCGAAAATTCGTTTCTTATAATTTATATGATCAGGAGAATATATTGTGCGAAGAGGTCGATGATGCGTTGATGACTTCTTTACAAATCATGTTCTCCTAATAACGCAAGCGTGAAAATTTTCGAAAATTCGTTTCTTATTATTTTATATTATCAGGAGAATATATTTTGCGAGGAGGTCGATGATGCATTGATGACCTCTTTACAAATCATGTTCTCCTAATAACGCAAGCGTGAACATTTTCGAAAATTCGTTTCTTATTATTTTATATTATCAGGAGAATATATTTTGCGAGGAGGTCGAAGATGCGTTGATGACCTCTTTACAAATCATGTTCTCCTAATAACGCAAGCGTGAAAATTTTCGAAAATTCGTTTCTTATTATTTTATATTATCAGGAGAATATATTTTGCGAGGAGGTCGATGATGCGTTGATGACCTCTTTACAAATCATGTTCTCCTAATAACGCAAGCGTGAACATTTTCGAAAATTCGTTTCTTATTATTTTATATTATCAGGAGAATATATTTTGCGAGGAGGTCGAAGATGCGTTGATGACCTCTTTACAAATCATGTTCTCCTAATAACGCAAGCGTGAAAATTTTCGAAAATTCGTTTCTTATTATTTTATATTATCAGGAGAATATATTTTGCGAGGAGGTCGATGATGCGTTGATGACCTCTTTACAAATCATGTTCTCCTAATAACGCAAGCGTGAACATTTTCGAAAATTCGTTTCTTATTATTTTATATTATCAGGAGAATATATTTTGCGAGGAGGTCGAAGATGCGTTGATGACCTCTTTACAAATCATGTTCTCCTAATAACGCAAGCGTGAAAATTTTCGAAAATTCGTTTCTTATTATTTTATATTATCAGGAGAATATATTTTGCGAGGAAGTCGATGATGCGTTGATGATCTCCTTACAAATCATGTTCTCCTAATAACGCAAACGCGAAAATTTTCGAAAATTCGTTTCTTATAATTTATATTATCAGGAGAATATATTTTGCGAGGAGGTCGATGATGCGTTGATGACCTCTTTACAAATAATGTTCTCCTAATAACGCAAACGTGAAAATTTACGAAAATTCGTTTCTTATTATTTTATATTATCAGGAGAATATATTTTGCGAGGAGGTCGATGATGCGTTGATGACCTCTTTACAAATCATGTTCTCCTAATAACGCAAACGTGAAAATTTTCGAAAATTCGTTTCTTATAATTTATATGATCAGGAGAATATATTGTGCGAAGAGGTCGATGATGCGTTGATGACCTCTTTACAAATCATGTTCTCCTAATAACGCAAACGTGAAAATTTTCGAAAATTCGTTTCTTATTATTTTATATTATCAGGAGAATATATTTTGCGAGGAGGTCGAAGATGCGTTGATGACCTCTTTACAAATCATGTTCTCCTAATAACGCAAGCGTGAACATTTTCGAAAATTCGTTTCTTATTATTTTATATTATCAGGAGAATATATTTTGCGAGGAGGTCGAAGATGCGTTGATGACCTCTTTACAAATCATGTTCTCCTAATAACGCAAGCGTGAAAATTTTCGAAAATTCGTTTCTTATTATTTTATATTATCAGGAGAATATATTTTGCGAGGAGGTCGATAATGCGTTGATGACCTCTTTACAAATCATGTTCTCCTAATAACGCATTTAAAAAAAAAAAAAAAAAAAAAAAATTTCGCGAACAATTAATGTTCGAAATAATTTACGCATTGCCATCCGCGTTTTGTGGGCTCTTAATGCTCTTTACTTAATTATCATGTTGATAAATACATAGAGCCGTATTATTTACCAATTTATTTTGAAAAATATTTATTTCATCTTTGAATATTACAGTATCTGTCGCGATTGAATAATTTATTTATTATCAATTTACACACATAAGTATTTAATTGTTATATAGCACTGGTGCTACCGGCATTTCGTGGACATAGCACGGAACAAAACCAGGAATTGTGTAATTATATATTACCCTCTGAGAACATTCATGGACCTTGACTTTGTAGTTCATGTCCATGTTTTGAATGTCCATAGAGGGAGTATCACTTTTGGGGTCACCTAAAAGCAAGCCGTGACATCTCTCAGTCTTCTCTCTGCACCGCATATGTTTATATTTGTCATCTGAGATTTCTGCTGACTATTGACAGAGAGAAACCTCATTTATATAAAAAAAAATTTGTTTTAATATTCAAAAGCGTCACAGCACTCGTGTTATCGGCATTTCGCGCATGTAGCCCGGAACAGAACCAAAAATTGTGCATTATATATTACCCTTTGAGAAGATTCATAGTCGTTGGCTTTGTAGTCCACAGAGGGCGCATTGCCCAGAATTACCTAACCTAAAAGCGAGCCATGCCATGACAGATGACAGCTAACAGCTGACAGATGACAGCTGATAGCATGATATCTTTCACAATCAGTCTTCTCTCTACTGTTTATATTATAAAATACACTTATTTTGTATTTATTTTTTTATCTACGTGCGTTCTTAGTTAATCAAATACATCTATCAAATACAAAATTTATTTCGCACTGTCGCGTCCACAGAATCATCTAAAACGAGTTGAGACGTCTTTTAGGCTTCTCTTCGCTAGTACTCCGACCTCATATATTTATATTTATATACAATTATAAATTAAAGTTAAAATGTTCTGCAGTTGCATAAAGATATTTTTCAATTTTTTTTGTAATTAAATTTTTTAGTTGATAAATATATACTATTGGAGAAATATAATTTACAATAGATTTTTTATTTGTTTATATTATGTCTTACATACCAAGAAATACACGAAGCATGTAAAAAATGTGATCACTGCCATCGTAAAGATACATGCCATGACGATTCGTACATCGAATAAAATCAGGATGAATTGATGATACGTGATGCGCAAAATATAGACATAAATAAATTATTAAAGTCACAGTATATAAACATCAAAATAAAGTATATATCACGTGTATATACTAATAAACTTAATTGCCTATTTACTAGAATCACAGTTACATTCATAATATGTGTAAGTTATTATACATCTCTTGTTATGGCTTTTTACTCGTCGAGCACATGTTGAGCCATTTTATTCGCGCACATGTTGAAATAAATGAATCTAAATATAGATATTCATCTATAAACTAAATATAATATTCGAATCTATGACATGTAATATCATATAATATCCTGATGTTCTCGATAGCGTTGCTAACAATAATACTATTAATCTAATAATACATTTCGATAGAAACGAAGTAATCTTGGTTAAATCTCGATTAAAAATAACTTTACAAGCGCGTGATAATTTATATGACTGTATAGCTTAAAATTTAATACACTGTACATCACTGTTATATCGTGCAGAAATTAATTTGAACTTTTCAACTTGCTCTCGCAACTTTCTCTGTTATTTTTACTTTGCTTCAAGAATGACATTGCGAGTGTTGAGCCAGTCCATGGTTATGATTATGATAGTGAAATGTTATTGAGAAGAGGACCTAAGTTTGAATGCTGCGCACACATGCTCGTGGCACCAAACCTCTTCGATCGCCTTTCATACATAGCAACCATTTATTATCCACCTCTAATATTACTTTCAATTTCTCCCCTTCTGCAAACGAGAGCTGACCAGTATCCGATGGTATCCTGTGAGTGAGAGTGCGAACTTCTCTGCAATCGAGACGCAGAATCATTCGGATATCGTACGGATATTATTCGGATATCGTATGGATCTAAAGAAAGAGAAAAAGAAAAACGAGCTAATACAAAACAAAAAAGATATGAAATATAACAAAGTTACAGTACAGTCCAACTCATATAAACAAAGAATATTTGCAATATAAAACTGGATGCAAAAGATAGATTCTAAAGAATATTAAATATTCACATAAAGCATCAATACTTACTTATGTGAAGATTTTGGAGCTGGCGTTTTCGAAATGGCGGTGAAGGCTGGACGCGGTAAAGAGGTCGAAGCAGCTCGTCTGTGAGGCGATATTACATTCTTATCATTTGTTATTCCATGTGATTTGTAGGGTAACGAACTTGGACGTGCAGTTCGCGTGACGCCTAAGATGTCCTGATCAACGCGACTGGTACGTCGCGTCGTGTTTTTCGTTTTCGTGTCCATAGATCTCTTTGGTGTCGTTTTCGTTGTAGGAAGTGTAGTGGGTTTCTTTAACGAAGGGATTCCTGATATGGGTGACTTAAGTTTCGCAGGAACATTTGCCGCAATATTAAACTGTTTTATTGGTGATGTAAGCAATCTAGGTATCTTCGACTTCCCTAATACTCCAAAAGTTCGAACTGGCGATGAAGGAGTTGTTACTGCAGATTGAATCTTATTGCCTTCCTTGCCAATCATGAATTCCCATTTTTCCTGAAGTTTTTTGAATTTTGTTTCGTTAGAAAGAACATCATCGTCACTTGGTTTAAAATCGGGATTTAATAGCTTCGGTTGTTGTAACTGCTTGTTTGCTTTTCTGTTTAGAGAAGAATGTTCCAGGCTGTCTGTATAATCTTCAGAATCTTCGGAAGTAAATTTATCTAATGTGTAAAATGTTTTCGGACTTAAGGCGCTGAAATGCTTTTTTGGGTTCTGAAAGTCATCTTTATGCGCAACATATTTGTCATCTATGTTGTAAGCAATGCGAGACTTTGGCCGTGTTTTTTTCGGACTGAAAGCCATTCCGCAGAATTCCGGTTTCTCATCCTTGAAGTCTTTCGAAGTTAAATCGGCATTTCTAAAGCTCATGGCCTAATAAAATTATATCATATGAGTGCACGCAATATCAAATAAAAAAAACCTTGGTGATAAGTTTTCTCAAATATACGTACATTCATGGTATAATTATTCATATTTCCAAAACTATTCTGCAATTGACGATATTGATAAAGAAGATCCAAATGGAATGGACAAAATGCAAGTGGATTTAAAATATATAACAATGAATCGACAATTTCTCGGACATTAGCATTCACTAAAGCCGCAACGAATAAACTATTGTTAGTGTAATGTTTCCGTAGAATTGATTCACGTGTACATAGATATGCAAACCACGCATCTAGAGCTCTTAGACTGAAAGAAAAACAAATATAAATATTAATATAAAAATTTCTCATGTTTTAATCAAATTAAAAATAATATAATATATGTAAATGAGTTACATGACGATTTATATTATGAATAAAATTATTTAAATACGGAAATATGTAAAAAAAAACACTGTAAATTTTAACTTACTTCAACAAACCAAATACAAATGCATGAAATTTTAACATTCCTTCTGTAATAATATCTTCACCATTAATTTTTTGTACCAATTCATTCAAGGTTTTCGTAAGAGGTCCTTGTTGAGAACTAGCTTCCACAATCTGCCAAACACTATTAGTAATTGGTCCAAATGTGGAGTTTAAATAGGGTTTTAAACCATCTGACATTATAGTGTATAAAGCTGGACACAAGGTACTCAAACAGATTTGTGCACACTCATTTCTTTCGTTATAATTGGGACGACTGTGATTAGAATCGGCATTCCAATATTTTAATAAAAGATCTACTGCTCTATTTACAGACGATACCATTTCTAGAAAAAAAATAAGTTATATTTATGAAATCTAAAATATTTTTACTTAATTATATTGAATAAAATATAGGCCCGTACTTCTCTTTTCCTCAAATTCTACCAATTTATTTTCAACAGCTTGATCCTGGTTTTGATCATTTACAATATTGAAATTATTTAGCTGAAATTAATAAAAAGTTTTTATATAATAATTATACATATATAAATACATATATAAATTAGAAGAAAAATAGCTGTTTGTGCTAATATTAGCTTAGTATTTTACCTCTGCATCTAGATGCTTTTTTTTTTGGTTTACGGCAAAACTGACAGTTTTTCTCTGTGATTCTCCTACGTCGACATCTCTAACGAGTGGATCTTTATTCATTTTCAAAGCTAAAAATTTCCTTACATGCGATCTCACTTTAACTTCAGCATTGTCGATATCTCCCTCGCTTTGTGACGAAATTGCACTATGTTTTAGATATTCTTCCAATTGCTTGATATCATCATCATTATGCTGAGAAATTTCCGATTCCATGTTCGTATTATTTGTAATCTCATTTAATTTCTCTGCAATAATCATTATCAAATATTAAACAAATTTTAATTAAATATAAAGTTAAATATGTTTTTAAATAAATATAACAATATATCATCAAAATTAAGAAAAATGCCGCGCGATTTTTTTCTAGTCTTACCTTTAAAACATCTCTCCGCTTCTGTCTCGTCGACATCCTTCTCGGAATCTATCGCTCTTCCGCAGTATAATAATTGTAAATCATTGTTCATATAGTATGGCTCTTGTAAAGACATCCTCTTGTTTACCTCTGTGGATAGTTCCTCCGATTGCTCGCCTACATCACCCATCTCAAACATGCTATATCGTTTATTCGCAAGCATTTTATTTTTCCGTAAAATACTTCTAGGCAACGGCGGTCGTGGTGGTACTCTACCGTTATTAAAACCAGGTTCGCCTTCACCCTGCAACAACGATGCTGATCGCTTCGGAAGAGATGGGCAAGTTTGTCTCGTTTGATTGAGCATATGCATCTTCTTGTCATTATTCACCAGACTAGTTTCTGAACTAATACTATCATATCGATATAAATACAATGGATTGACTGCGTTGTTCAATAACGGTGGCTGATTTGTCGAAGAATCGGTTAAAATCGTCGATGATCCTCTATATCCGGAAGATGGTTGCGTCGCGGTACTGCTCGTTGACGAAGTATTAGTCGGTACAATTTCGCTGATAGGTCCAATTTTGTGACGCATTGGAGGAGATAAACAGAACAAGGGTCGCTTAACTTCTTCGTTGATATTAATATACTTTGATACTTCTGGTACATCGTGCAAGATCTTTTTGTATTCATATGGCAAGAGAAACGTCAACGACTCCCAATCCTTTATATGTGCGAACCCACGTTGTCGCAACGCGTCAATATCGTTGCATGAAAATGGCTTACTCGAATGAATGGTACGTTTCCATTCCATGTTGTTTTTGTCGAATGTGTGTGGCTTCAATGCTAAATTATTGATTTCAATATCCTTAAGTTTAAGAAACGACAAATCAGGTAATGTGTAATTAGGATACACAATATAAACTGGTTTCTTATTTACTATTGTTTCTTGCAAAAATGGTTCATTTTTATCCTTGACTGTGGTGAAAATTAAGGAGGTTTGAATAGCATTGTCTTCCATGTCTGCGTTTGCTTGTATACCCGTTGTTCGAAGTATCGGTTGCTTTTTGTCAATTAAACCGATGTTCTGTTGATGTTCAGAAGACTCGTTAATTATATCAATACTTTGTTGACCACTTGTGCAGGCTGATTTGGATGTACTTTCCGAAAACTCTTCGATTGATGTGGATGACATCATTTCAATTTTATCATTTTTGCACCGCGATGCACATTTTAGAGTGTTCAAAATTTCTTTCTGGTTTTCCATATCACGATTATTAGTGATATCGCGTCTGATCCAATTGATAGAAAAATCATTTTCAGACACGCGATGATCACAAACATTATCTTGCCGTTGTATTTGAGTATTCGTATTGGTTGCGCTGTCGTTACTATCATTGTTGCAGCTAGCGGAATCTGACTGATCTAAAGTAAAACTCATTCCTTCCACACTCATGCTTTTTTGCTTCATGAAGAGCCTGACAAGGCTTAAATTTTGTAGTTTTTTCGTACCAGCATTCTCCGCATTGTCGAAGCTTTCCGCATTTGTCGAACAATTTACAGATCCAGAATTATGCAGTCTTTGCATATGATTGTTTGATTCGGTGGAATCAACCTGCATTGAGGCAACACTTGTAATCATTTACAAAATTACATAAAATATAATGATTAAAAATAGATATTTGTACTTACGTGGAAGTTAACGGGTATATTAGCATGCTGAAACTTTTGAATGCGAGAAAAATCCGGTAAACTTCGACTTCGTTTACTCATTCCACCAAGTGTCAAATTAACAGCATTCTGTGCGATATCTGGTATCATGTTATTGTTACCAGAAGGATGTCGAGTTATTGCTTTATTCATGGAGGAATGTTTCAAATTACTCCATGTCGTGTATATCTTTGAGTCTGAGCATGCCATTGATAAGTCCAATATAGTTTTCATATCTTTCTGTTTATCATAGAATACATCTGATGATTCATACGTTTTATGTTTATCTAGAAATAATAATATAGATTGATTAATTAAGAACTAATTAAATAATAGGTTGACTAATTAAGAAAATAATTAAAAGAAAATTAAGTAAAAAGAAATTTCTTAATGAGTTAAATTATATTCTAGATTTTCAAAATTAATTTATATCAGCCTTTATGCAGTGCACATTACCATGACTTTCAAAATCTTGGGATCCATCCGAATACATAGTAATGCTACCCTCAAAAGCGATAGTATAATTATTTTTATTATTTGTTTGACAAGTAAGCAACATGTCTTCGCAGTCCAGTGAATCCACGCTGTAACTACCACCTGATGGTAGCATTGATGTTTCCTTTACTGGGGAAAATAGCAACGACGACTTGCATATGGATATTGTATCAGTGGTAGAACATGCGGAATCCTCTCCCTTTTAAATATATAATAGTATGTCATTTCAATACATATTAATTAAATGTTAATTATAAATAAAATTTCCTTTTATAGGTCTTGTAAAAATGATTAATAAATTACTTTAATTAATATTATATTTATTAGTTAGTTTTCTAACATTAGAAATTAATAAAATTTTGATTCAAATTTGTTAATTTTAATATTATGTTTGTATCCATATAAGAAAAAGTAAGCAATCTGATATTAGATTATATTAAATATTATTTTAAATGTTATGTATATTAAATTGTTTATGCAGAGTATCTACTCAAATTTTGTAAAAAAATATCCTAAAAATTTCTCAATCTTCCAGATATTTTTGTTCAAAATTCTAAGTAAAGACAAAAATAAGATTTTAAAGATTTCTCTGTGACTTTCTAATATAAGTTTTTTTAATGCATTTTCTAATGCTTTTCATTCATACAAAAGAAAAAAAGGCACTTAAATTTCAAGTAATTTACAAATACTCAGAAAAAAAATGAATAGATTTCATAAAATATTTTTTACTCATATAACATTTTTATTTTTTATCACTAAAATCACAATGTATTGCATATTGAATATTTTGTCCAAATATTGATGTAAACAGAAATAGATATATATTTATAATATATTTCAAATATATAATTCACAACTGTGTTTATCGGTAAAATTCTCGATTGTTTAATATAAGAGCAAAATTATCAGAAATTTTTTAAAAATTCCATTAAAATCTTACGCGATTTCTTCAATTTTTTCAGAATTTTTCACAAAAGAAATTCTTGAAAATTCAAATTTGTCTTTTTCCACAAAAGAAATTCTTGAAAATTTCAGGTTTTCCATATTTTTCCAGAGAGTAGACACTATGTTAAATTAAAAATTATCAACATGGAAAAAGTTTTTCACATTGATTGGATTTCTATTTTTGATAGCCATTATCATACCTGGCTACTAGTATGTGGACTGATAGAAGAACCAACGTCAAGCTTTTCCATGACAGATCCAGATATACTGGCATATTGTTCCCTTTGATAGTTAAACTGTAATGATAATGAAACACATTCCAGATTAAAAATATTATTTAAAAAATTTATAAATAAAACAAGACACAAATTACACAAAACTATATTCTTATTCTTATCATATAATGTAAAAGTTTGCATAAACTGTCATAAATTTATAATGCAGGAATGAGATAATTAACTTTACAATTTGCATAATACATATTCCTACATCTCACATCAATATCAGCTTATGCTTATCGTTAGCTTAAGTGGTAAGTTTGTAATAATTATAATTAACTAAATTTATTCTATATTAAATTGTTACTTCAGAATGTTGAGCTGGTTCTGTACACATGACAGGTAGAGCTGTAAGCAAAGTATGTATGTCTGCTGTTCGAAAACTCTCCATATCAATTTCTGCCAGATTAGCGTCCAAATTACGAGCAAGATCATCATAATAACCTAGATCCTTAGAGGAGTAAGACACAGAAAGTGATGAAATAACACTAGGATGGATATGTAGTCCTCCACCATCTCTATATCTAGAAATTATACAAACATATAAATATATTTTAAGCATACGATGATATCAAGATAAATACAAGAATCTTAAATTAATTACCCATAATCGATAAACCATTGATATTCAACATTATCCTGAACAAATTCCGAGCCAACCAAATCCTGTTGGATGGAATCAGTTGCTGGATTAGAGTTACAATCAGACCCTGGAGTTTGTGGCTCTTCCATTATTGCTGTGCCTTCTTGTGCAACTGAAAAAAATAAGAAAAATATGAAAAAAATTTGTACTTATATAAACATACATGAATAAGTATTAATATCATTTTTATATTTGTATAATAAAATATCATAGGGATGTAATTAATATGTATAAAAGTCATTTCCTATATAAAATGCTTGATTAAATTGTCGAAATTACGATTAAAAAAATATAAAATGACGAAAGTATTCGTCAAATATGCAAGAAAAGTCATTTGAGAACTTACAGAAAATTGTTTATATTTTGCAATTTTCATCAACAACGTAATAATGCGACGAAAACTTGCCAAGAAACCCACATCGTAATAAAATAAATCTCGACAGCTCGTTTCGTGTCATAAAAGTAGTAGAAAAATATGAAAAATCGCACATCACAATTTCATAATACTCACGAAATGCTAGTTTTCTTTCTCTTTTCTCTGAGTCAGATCAGAAATCTGACTCATAGGATAGAATAGCATTGAATTGACCAATCAGGATAAAGAAATCTTTGCTCCTTTTGTCCTGATTGGTCAATTAATTAAACATTATTTTACTCCAAAGAATATCTCCGAACGCATTCTTTTTTATTAATTTCGAAAAAATAAATCGATTATTGTAAGTTGTTGTCTGACAAACTTTATTGAATAATATAATGGATAGTTACTGTAGCAAAAATTTTCTAAATCTTATAAATTTTCTAATCAATCGATACATTTGACAACTCGTCATATGACAAATGTAATGACATTCTAAGGTGATATTCATAGTTTGTTCTTATTTCAAGATCATCTTAAGTAATGTTTTAAGATACTGACCTGTGATTGGTTTATAATATCTTAAGATATTATAAACCAATCACAGATCAGTATCTTAAGATATTATAAACCAATCTTAAGATATTATAAACCAATCACAAATCAGTATTTTAAAACCAATCACAGTACTTAAAACGATTTTAAATATAAGAACGATCTTTGAATATCAGTTTAAAAAATCAATATTAGTAATATCGACCTAAGACCAGGAGGATAGACTTTTGCATGGAGCACTTTGCATTAAGCAGAGGAAAATTGATTGGTTCATTTTGTTTCTTGTACATATACTTATGAACTAATCAATTTCCTCATGTTTATGATTATGCATTCATGCAAAATCTGTGCCAAAGAAAACAGACGAATATAAAAGCATAGTTCTATATATTTGAATGTCATACGAGCTTACTTAGTAGTAAGTATCCCAGCTACTTGATTTACTAAAGAGCACTGACTCATACATTAATAAATATATGATACATGCAGATACACAAATTGCATCTGACATATCATATTTATTATTATTAACGTAAGTTTAAAAAAAATATATAATTTCTTTAATGTGATGTAATTAGTGACTATTATCAAATAATTGGTCTAAAACCGATATGAAAGAATTTTTAGATTTGATTCAATTCACATTTTACAAAAAAAAGTACACTTAGAGAATATATTTTAAATTATTATTTAAAATTATTATTAAAATATATTAATTATTAAATATATATTGTTAAATATATTATTAAAATATTATTTAAAAATCATGCATGCAAAGCTAAACATGAAAAATCGAAAATGAGTAAAACATAGTTTTGGAATGTAATTCTTGATTTGTTCAAGTCTTTCTTTATAAGGATTTGTTCAAGTCTTTCTTTATAAGGATTTGTTAAGTTTTGCATGCATGCTGCTCATTTAGGAAATATATGTATAATTCTATAAAATTTGTCAAGTTTAGAGAATGATAAAAATATTTCACTTGTGCATATAAATATTTTACATTTTCTTTCAATTCAAAATTATTTCACTTATGTATGTACATTAATGTAAAATCTAAATTTTTGTTAAATTAAAAAATACATAGATTATTCCGCTCACATCAGAAAAAAAAATATAATTTACAATCACAATATAATTATTTAATTGTAAAATTATATTACACAGATGCATACATGCACAGATAAAATATTTACGCTTCCTAAACTGAATAAATTTAATTGTATAATTATAGCATTTGCGAGCAACAAATATTATATTAATTTAATTATGTAATTATAGCATTTGCGTGCACTCCATCAGCATCCTATGGCATTCTTACGTTTTCGCGAGATACATTTATCTTCGCAGGATTGCCAACAGTGCTTATGCCTGGGTATAGAACTCCTGTGTTGCTTGCATCGTTTACACTGCCTGTTGCAAGTAGGAGGCAATGGCCACGTCAGCGGTGGTGAGCACATTCGGCCCACGGAAAACTCTGCTATCTTCATGATGATGCACAATAACAGCACTAACATTATTCGTTGACAAAATACGTCAGAATTCGCACAGCTGAATGCCGTTTATTATAATAGCATTTCTGTCCATGTGTATATCGAATCACTGAATGGAGTAATATATGTTACATGTGATGATAGAGTCTATGATAACGTCGATAACGATGATTTGTTATCGCAATTTCGGAGCACAATGATGCATCATGTAACTTTTATACTTCTTCAATGTGCTGCGATTTTTAATGTTTGACGTAAAACGTTTTTTTTTCATTTACGTAATTCTAGATTTTATTATTGTTTATTATGTATACTCTTTTCGCGATATATATTTCGAAAAAGGTAATTTGAACAATCATTTATTAAAAAGAATAATCAACAAATTTGATCTGATAAACAAAATACGTAATAAAATTTAAAGAATAAATCTATATAAATTTAAAGAATAAATTTATATAAATTTAAAGGATAACTCTATATAAATTTCAAGAATATAATCTAATTATATAGAATATGATTGTAAATTAATGAAATGTAATTTTAAAAATAACTATTTAGCAACAGAACTAGTGTAGTGTAGCTTAATTTTTTATAAATTTACGTATCATTTTTCCGTAATTAAACATATGCATATTTATTGTTGATAAACATTGCCAAAAGCATTGAGGAAATGTCTAAAACAATTATTTTTACGAGAAAAAAATGTTTCTGTGCATGTACAAAAAATGTTTCTACTGTAGGTATGTAGATATTTATTTTATCTCTACTGTGTAGGTATGCAGATATTTATTTTTTATATTATCGATAAAATAATCATTTGGGACAAGAAACATTTATATTTATTATTCTTGAAACATAAAATCTGTATATTTTCAATAATAAAACAATAATTGAACAAATGAAACAATAATTGAACAATAATTGAACAAATTAAAAAGTATTATTAAGATATTTCGTTCAATTATACCTGATAGAAACTAAAACTGCTGAAAACATCAGTATTCTTTAATTACTTTTAGACTCATATTAAACCCATTTAATCCATTTAAGTTTTAGTCACGAAAATTTATTTCACTCGGTTGATTATTTTTATAGTCATCTCAATAATTTTATTTATATATATTTAAAAAACAGATTATACATCAAATAATACGAATCTCTAAAAATAACTATGAAGTACAAAAGACTTTGCAATTTTAGGAACATTATAAAAGTGCTTTAAATATTTTTTTATATATTTTATATTGTTCAGGAAACAAAAGGTTTTTTCAGATTAAAATTAAATAGTTCTCGTGACTAATCGACAGGCGAGATTATCATGTATAAAACCGCACAATATAAAAACACACACACGTACCAATCGTTGTAAAACGTTATTCACGCACATACGTACATTCACAGTTTTTGCACAGTTATTTAAAAGAGAACCTAATTTTTAGAACTATTTATCCGATTAATTAAAGCACGAAAAACTTGGAAAATTCATGTTAAACGCATACTCCTCCCTGCATAAAGCACAGAGAGCAATCGGTAATTTCACCGATTAAACCGATGCAATTCAATAGTTGTCGATTTTTCATTGCCGGTTTTTCATCAAGCACGCTTGAGAGTCATGTCTTTAAAAAAAAATCCCACGTGCAATCGAGCAAAATTATTTTTCTTCGATGAAAATTCTAAATTAGACTGCTCTCTTACACGATCTGCATCTTACTGGAGGATGCTTGCACACGGCACCACACGACGCGAAGTTTGATCTCTATTAATAAATGGTCGTACTGCCTCGTATAGAGCAGAGAAAAGAGAGAGATAGAGAGAGAGAAATAATAGAAAAAGACAGAAAAAGAATGCAGAGAGAGAGAACATCGTACACACAAGAGAACGATGCCTGATGCTTCGATTTCATGCACGCGTAAATGTTTGCGTGAATCAAATCTGCAGCAGATTACAAATGCTTTGATGACGCTTGATAACATCTGCTCCGTGTCAAAAAATGCTGATCAATACATCAATTCATTCATTGAAAGTGCATAAAAATCAGAAACAGAACGCGAATTCCAGAACTTTTTATTTCAATGAAGAAAGATCGACGTAGCATTTTCATGCGAGGTCATTTTTGACATATAAGAAAGAATCTTACACCAAGAATGTAAAAAGTATTTTTATTAAAAAGCTGAGATGAAAAATATATGAATATATGAATAATAATTGTAAATAAAATAATTTTTGATAACGCGAGTTTCGATTTTTTCGAATAAATCTTAAGCTTAATTCTTGCACGCGATATCACATTTAAACTCTTATATAGTTTATTGCAATAAAATTATGTGATTCGAAAAGATGCAAAAAAATGCAAGAAAAGATGTAAGAAAATTTCTTTTTTATAAAATATTTTTTAAATTAAATATACAATTCTAAAAAATTTTTAACTTCTATCATTATAACTTCTTTATCAAATTTATAACGAATTTTTTTGTTATACAAACGCTTGATTCTTTCTCTAGTCCAATACATAATTCCTAATTATCGTATTCAGTTGGGTTGTACTATTATGTAGTGTTTTATGTCGTGTCCAATGAACAAGAATTGCCTTGGTCTAATTTTATATTCGAAGGAATAAAATGAATGAGATCAAACTTTAGTACACTGAAATTTTGTAACAATGTGTTTTAACAGATAATAATTATGAGATCCGAAACAATAGGCCGAAAAATATTTATTATTGTAAATAATTTATTAGAATTTATTAGAAATAATAGCAATGAAATGAAGAATATGTTTTATATAAGCCAAATAAAAGAAAAGCTAAAAGTTAAAAATTATATTATTATCGTAAATGAATAATCAATAAATAAAGCTATAACTCAGGTAGCAAATACATATCACTTTGACGTCAAAATTTGGTCATTTTAGATAAAAAATAATGTGATATAATGATGTAAAAATGACGGACTAATTGATAATATTTCAAGATTTTTAAAAAATGTGATTTTATGATCATTTTTTATCTATTAGTGACATTTTAATGACGCCTCAGGTAGCAAGATGACGTCAGATGATGTATTAATAATGTTTTAATGACGTCTCTAACGTCAATACATCATTAAAATGTCTTTAGACGTCATCTGCTATCTCGATCATGAATCTTTTCCTCTAGTGTAAACTCGTGAAAAATTTCATTATCGAATATTGGAAAATTTAATGAAACTTTTCACAAGTTTACGCTAGGGCAAAAGATAAAGCTCTGAGATAAAGCCCTGAGATAATTGTGAAAAGAACATCAAAATTATACAGAAAATTATTTATTTGACAAACAAGGGTTATTATAAATACATTTATGTTTTGTATTTGTTTATCAATCTTCAAAGAAAAGTACATATAATATAATAAATATGTAAGTATTATTTTATTAAATATTTTATATTTTTATTAAATCAAATTATATATATTTTTTTCTTAAAAACTATATGTTTTCTCATCAATTGATCCTCATTACTGTGTATAAAATTATTGAGTAAAATGATCAAAAATGAATATTTTGTGGAATATTTTATAGTTTTTTCATATAAAATTATTTCAAGTTTCATAATAAAAGAACTCGAAAGTACTTAATAGAAAAATGCTTTATTATTGAAAATCTCTCGAGGTAAGCTGAAAATAGCCACAAAAAAGCCATAAAATATGGATGTCTTCATTTAAAAAATCCAGGATGAATTTCCTATAATCTCAACGGACACCATCCAAAATCTAATTAATATTCTCTTATTTTCTTTTCCTCTTAGAACCAAACAAATTTATTTAAAATGTTTTCTTCTAAAACATACGGTTTTTGAGATATTTGAGCGGATAAATTAAAATGAACTATACAACTCTCCAATTATATACATCATATATAAAATAATAATATAATTTTCATATTGCAAATTTATCATACTTGAACTTTGAGATACCTTGCAATACATGCAAACACACACATACACAGTTTTTTTTCGAGTTATGCAAGAAAACCAATAAAGAAAATTTTTCACTTACCAATTTTATTTTCGTTACCATAAACGGTATCCGTGGCGATATTTAAAACACCTAAAAATAAAATATTTATCATATAAATATTTATTATACGTAACATTAAACTTCTGCATTAAAACTATTTATTATTTAGATAATTTCACCTACATATATCCAAATTATTTGTATTTTTCTTCGATATATAATAAAATTATTAAAAAAGTAGAGAAAAATCAGTAGTTAAAAATTAAAATAAATAATGTATTAAATATTATGAAAAAAAAAATAAATCTATACGGATTGATAAGATTAAAATTGTTTGAGTTTTGACGACAATAATTTTCAGATAACATGATTCAATGATAATCAGTATGAAATATTTTCCATCTCACAAAGTTTTCATAATTAATATATTATACTTAATACATTAATTATGAATAAATTAGATGTGATTCTATAAGTTAAAATAAGAAATTATCGAAATATGGAAAATTGTGATTAAAAGTTCAAAACGATGTATCTTTCTTTCATTTTGATCCTTAATATTATTCGATCACATAAAAATATAGCTCGTGTATCGTTAATATTGACTTTCAAGTATAAAAGTCAAGTATAAAAATTTATTGTGTATAAAAGTATAAAAATTTATTGTGTACAGACATACACACACTCAATTTTTGATATAAATAAAATATATGGAAGTAAATATGTACATGTGCGTGCGTTTATCTTTACATCAATTGATTCCGCTCAGCATTCTGTGTATAAAAGTATTGAAGTTACGATAATCTAAAAATATTCCTATCTTTTTTCCTCTTTCAAATCCTACAACTTTTGTTCGGAATATTCTTCTTTAAAAATGCATTCCTATCTTCTTTTTAATATAGAATATCTTGTAAATTAATGAAATATCTCATAAAAAATATTCACATTTTTCAATTATTCTGTCTTAATACTTTTACACAAAATAATGAAAAAAATCAATTGGCGTAAAGAAAATACATAGTTGTTCTTAAGAGGAAATATGAATTTTTGCAAAGAAGAACTACATATTTTTTCTTAAGAATAATTATATGTTTTCTTTATATCAATTGATTCTTCTTATTATTTTGTGCATAAAATTAATCATAGAAATATAAAATAACCGAAAAATATGAATATTTTATTAAATAGTTCCATAATTTATGTGAAATTATTAACTTCAAACGTAAAATACTTCATAAGTTATATTCAATTTCTGACTATTTTACTTTTACAACTTTTACGCAGAACGTTGTGTTAATAGTATATACTTTAATTTATTAAATATATACTTTTATATATTTTTAGGGAAAAATTTTATTGGCTGTTTCGTATTCGATTGTCATTAACGTAATAGACACACTTTGTTTTTTCTCATATCATGAACTAATGTAGATAATTGATCATTTTCATTATCTGTAAACTGAGCGTGAAAACTGAATGTGATTTCATTTATTAATCATTAATACACCGTTAAAAAGTATATTCAATTCGATATTTTAAAATGTGTGCATGCATTTATTATATATCGCAATTAACGTTTGATCTAAATTTTGCATGGTCAAAATGTTCAAAATTAATGAGCATTACGAATGCATAATGTGCAACCAGCTGTCATCATGTAATCAAATGAAAAAATGAATAATAGAGAATTCGAATTTGGAAATTACGCTACAACTAAAATTTTAAAAACAAACACACATTTTACCATTTCTTTAAATTGATCTAGCTTATTATACGCTCAAAAAAAATATTTTGCTACTGCAAGTAGGTTTCTAGGTGTCACGACAAAAATTTGTCACTATTTTTTGTATCTGCTAAAGAATATTATGTTTAACATGTAAAATTATAGCAGCAAATTCTAGTAATACTTTTAAATAAATTTAAGCTAGATTGCCACATATTTAATCATTGCATTGGATAAATATGATTTTCTCTATAGAATGATGTAAGAAATAACCAGAACGATGTAAGAAACACTTTGTTTACATATTGTCAAACTTTGTTTGACAATATGACAAATGTAACAAATACAAATAGCGTGAATAGTGTGAATAGGCGTCAGAAAGATTTTTTTTTAATTTCACCATCAGTTTTAAATTCTATCTCTGTTATTTAGATTAATTAAGTACAAAACATATGCGATATCATAGTATTTGCTAGTCATTTATGTATCTCAATTAATATTTCGCACCTAAAAATTGCTATAATTGTAAGACTATTTTTTTTAAGTATATGAAACGCAATTTAAGGAAAAATCTTCTGTGAAGTAAAAGAAATTTTTAACAAATTTAAGAATACTTTATTCTCATTCACAGAAATTTTGAATGTATGTGTGTGTATCCGCAACATAATTTGATAAAATTATCTTCTAAAAAATTTAAAGCACATTAAAAATACAAAAAGATAAAATATAATTTAGAAGCAAAATTTACAATTATTAAAAATTAAATATTATATTAAGTTAAAATTTGCGTACAAAAATTTTCTATGTAAATTTAGAATTCCTTTCCTACTAAAAGAATTAACATATGTAATTTCTTATTTTTATATCTTTTTGTTTTATATATTTTTAAACACAATTTGTTAAATTGAATAATATTATGGAATTGAATTGTTGCAAATATTTTCATATGCCATATATTACAAAATATTTCGTTGCATTTCTTGATTGCAGTATTTCGCAGTTTCTCAAAAGTACAACGAACTACTGGAGAACGAACGATTCTAAAGGGTATCTCTTCATCGATTTTATGGGACTTTCGAGGTCAATGATATATTACACTTGTTAATGATTCGATGACGAAGAGAGGGTATTACTTTTTTTACGCGAATGCACGTATCCAGCGACAATTGCAATCTCGCACAAAAGATAAAAAAAAGAACGCAGAAACAACCAGAGATAGCTTGCGTCGCATTGTGACCAGTCAATATTAGAAGCTACTAATATACTCACGTTCATGACGAAGAGCCAGCTGATAGCCATACTAACACTCGCACCCTCGCGTATATTAGTTAAGACATCGCGATCAATTTTTAATAGCACATCTTAATGAACAATTGTCTCCGCGTTATTGACCGATTATGGAGTCTTATGCGATGTAACACTTTTGTAAACGTATATTCTGAATCACTGGAATCGAGCAAAACCCCTCCCTAATCGCAACAGCCCTCGTGCAACTGCGAGCGCGCATGTCCTTCGAGAGCAGACCGTATAACGAATTGTTAACGAGAAAAGGGGATGTTGTCTCTTTTCACTTAAGACTCCTTCTGCGAAGGCGAAAACAATTGTCGAATTAAAAAATTCAATTTACTTTCAATATTATTTAATGCATTTATGCCATATATGGCAATACTTATGTAATTAAAATACTAAATTATTTCTTTCGAACATTATGATTAGAAATGTTATTTTCAATAAAATACGGTTTTTGTGTAAAAAAAATAAGCATCGTTTTAAAAATTTTTTTTTTCAAATATTGAAAATCTTTACATTTTGATTATTGCAAATTAATTTTTTCCATTATTTTTGATTATTTATATAATAGATTTTAACTAACTGCTACTATTTAAAATGTAGATCATATTCTAATTGATTACATAGTTATTATGTTATTATTATTTTTAATTAGGCAAATTCTTCAAAAGCAAATTAAAATTAAATTTGAGTGAATTATATGTCTTTAATATCTTTATATAAATACAACAGTTTCTTTCGTTCAATTTTTAAAAATGTTTATTATATTAAAATTTCATTTTTTATATAATAAAATTTTAATATAACATAATAACAAACTAAAGTTTTTAAATTTTAAATTTTTCTTTTAAAATTTTTGGATTAATGAGATTTTTTGCGATTAAAATAATATTAAAGGACACAATTCGAGTAATTTTTAATTGAATGTATAATAAAGATTTTTATTATATCCAATTAAAAATTACTCTAATTGTGTCCTTTAATATTATTTTAATCGCAAAAAATCTTATACATCTAATTAAAAATTCTCCGCAAATTATATTCGATATAATATATGTCATATTCAATCTAATTCGTAAAAATCTCATTAATCCATTGAAATTATTTTTGAAAAAAGATAAATTAAAAATATAAGAATTTTAATTTCTTTGTTATATTAACAAAAAACATTAAAAACAAAAATATATTTTAATAAATAGAGAAACTAAATTTTCCTTTTTAACGAAAAGAAAAACGTTTTTTTTCAGCTAGACTTCTTATTTAAAAAGGACGGTTTTTTACGGAAAAATATAAATCAAAAGAATTTTTACTTAAGCAAAAAGTATTTTATTAACAAAAAATTCATTAAAATGGAAATATTTAATTTCTCAATATTATTAGAATATTAATGATTAATTTATAGGATATCAATAAATTTGACCAGATAATTCTTGCTTGCTATTTTTTAAAATTAGAATAATTATTAGAAAGTTGCTAGAATTGTTACTCACTACTTATAAAAATACTTGCTTATCAAAAAGCTATATCTTAAAAAAAATAAAAGATTGATTTAATATAATTATAAATAGATACAATTATTTTATTTTGGTAAAAAGTGTTTATTTATAGATACAACGCGATTCACACACCTTTGTGACTGATGTGTAGCTTTAATCCTGTATTCAATATATAAAGTTTGAAGATATTATAAGTTAAACTGTATGATTTCTTTGGCACAATCGCATTGATTATTGTATAATTTTTAATCTATAGAACATTTTATATATAATATATAATCCTATTTATAGAGAGAGGTATATATATCTTTATAAAAAATATAAATTTTTCACAATGATACATAAACAATGCACAAGCACAATACTTCAAGACAATACTACATATTTATAGAAAAATAGTCTATTTATACTAAGTACTTAATTTATAGTATAAGTATTTAATATTATATAATAATTCTTATCATATAGTTGTTATATATATGATAGTTGTTGTATATATAAGTATTGTTTTATTAACTGTTTTTCTTTTTCAGATGTCTCTTTTCAATTATGCAAAATACTTATACAACTTTATTAATTATTCTGTAAACATATAATGTGGGAATATAATAAACCAATTATTAACTTATAAATTTTTAGCATTACAATAATCATATTAAAAATTATTATATTATAGATGTAAAAGAATTTAATTATTTAATTGAATTGATGTTATTTTTACAAATTGTAATTATAGAATTGGAATATGCAATTAATTGATAGACTATAAACCTAAAAATAAGATTTATGCAATCAAACAAATAGTAAACATAGCTGAAAATTTAGCTTAGGTAAAACTTAAGGAATAAAAAATAGAAATAAAAATGTAATCAAAAGCATGGTAATTATTAATGACGCTTGACAAATAAAATATATATAGCAAATATGTGTAGCTTACAAGTAATATTATATAAGGAATGCGTGACGTCTACTGTTCCAATATTAATTACAGAATAGCTTTCTGAAAGAGAAACACTATTTGTGATAATAAATTACATGATCAAATTTTCTTAACGACTAAATGCAAGAAATAAATATATTTAATAACAAAAACATACACTATTAAACATATCGTCTATTTTTTGGAGTTTTATGACATCTTCGTCTTCCGAAAATTGCAATGATACAAATGATTACTATCGCTACAAGAACTGAGCTGACAGTCCATACTGCTTTGCTAGTGTTAATTTGATGTGTGTTATCTTGTGTATCGTCGAAAGCATCAAGCGTTAATGATTTATTCAAAGAAGTTTTGTTCGAGGAGTTTAAGTCAGAATTATTTAGCTTATCTTCTCGAATATACATAGAAGATTTAGTTTCTAAAGATTTTTCTACTTTTGCCTGCATGTTTTTCGCATTACTTGTTATTTTATTTGGTGATGACGTAGCTTTTGTTACTGTACTGATTACAGTATTAGTTGGTTGTGGTGTCACAGTAGTAGGAGCATTAATCTCTTGCAAAACATCTTTTTCTAATTCTTGAAGTTCTTTATCTGCTATTGCTCCAGATTTATATTTGAACTCTTTTTCATTTTCTTCGATAAATTCTTCCAGCGGTGTAAAGTAAGAAATAAGAGCATCTACAGATACATCATCTATATTAATGAATTTGTCCAGAATATCTTGCCAATGAAGGGCTCCACCCTGTTGAATCATTTTTCTATGCACAAACATAAAAATATTAATATAAAAACTTTTTCATAAAAACTTTTTCGTATTAAATATAAATATATTCTCAATATCTCACGTCATTCTCATATTAAATTAACTTACATTATATTGCCATTTATTAATTTTCCATCAATTTCACTATATCTAACTTCAGTCGAATCTACAGTATATTCATATAATAGAAAAGATACCATTATGCCGAGAATTTTGCTGTAATAAATTTTTTATTATTATTATGGAAATATAGTACAAAATTATTATATTTCTTTGCATTACATATGCACATACACATACATATGATATACTTACGGAAGATATGGTTTATTCATAATAATATGATTGTCATCTAAGAAAGTGGGATTATCTTTATTATTAGAAGAGATTCCTTCGTATTCTTCCCTGTATACATACAATTATGTTCATGTATTATAATTATATATAATTATAAACTGTAAATTTTGGATTGTGTAAATATTATAATACCTGTATTTCCACCATGATGATACCAAGTTTGCAGGATCAGTAATATTTTCTTGAATTGCATTTAATCTCCACAGATCAGCAGCGTAATAATATGCTAATCGTGGAAGTACATTCAAGGCGGTGAGCATTAAAGATACAATCATCCGTTGCTCATTATCATTAGTACCATTCATCAAATGAGTTTGATTCAACCATGCAGGACTCACTGATAATATTCCAAATAATGTAGATATGCCTTCTTCTAAACCTATAAGACCAAATATTTTTAATATTGAATTATTTTAACGTTCCAAACAATTTCATATTGACATGTATACATATGTTTACATTCAAATATTTCTTTACCTGAATATCTGTTAATTGTATTAAGAATAGGAGTGCTTTCTATAATCATTTGATTAAATAGAATTTTCCCCATATCTTCGTGAGCTCTCAAGAAATTGCTCATGGTGGCTTTCGAACAAGTAGACACTCTAAAATAATAATTGAATTTTTTGTAAAGTATTGCTAAATTATAAAGACTATAATAATACTCGTATTCAAATTTTTGCTACAATCGCGTATAAAATATACAAAAAAGACAGCTGCATAAGATCCAAGATATAATATCTTTTTCTATCAGTTAATTTTTGATAGTCAGTTTTTCATAGTTTAGAATCCCAACAAGGATTCAGGATATTAAATAGATATTTGAAATTGGGTAGATAAATGAGAGAAATTATCTGTATTATTTCTTACTGGAGAAAAATTAAAATTTAATTTTTACATAAATTATATATAAATTTTTTAGGAATTAAATATAATTTATTTTGTTTTATTATGTTGATATTAGATGTTCCATATTGATTCAATTGTTAGTGCTATAATTATAAACAACGATAATATGTATATTATATTATCCCAGATAGCATCGAGTCTAAAAAATGTCTAAAAAGATAACATTTTTTATAAAGATATCTTTTAGTGAGAACATAGTTATAAATATAGTTGTAGTGATGCAAGAATGATTAATATACATTATATGTTTCACTAAAACTTATAATATTAAATTATTATAATTTTGATCACTAAAAGATGATTGTAAACATTTTTTTAATTGTCTTTAAAATTTCTTTTAGATATTTTTCAATCGTTTTAATTACATATATATATGGAATTAAAATTTAATAAATTTATGGCGTTATATACTAATGTTATATAACAAAATATAACATACTAGTATTATAACAAAACTAAATATTACAAATAATATTGTATAAGTATTATTAGTAAGTTATAATTCTCCATTTTTAATTAATATATATTTCTACATAGCACGGTTACAGAAACATTATATAAATATTTCAATGTAAAAATGGAATATATCATATACATTGTGAATAATTAACAATACTCAATGTAATTAAATAAATAATAAATTAATAAATTTAGTTAATTCATAAAATTAAAAATGTTATTTATATAGAAATTAGACTCTATTTTATATCTTAAATAAATAATGAACAGATAATTTTCACTCTTTGGACATTTATCTTTCTTTGTTCGATTTCTAAACAAACAGTTTAATATCTTTCCCGTCTTGAGATTTTATCAAAAATTAAACTGATAGAAATAATTATTATATTTCTAATCTTGCTACTAGTTGCTTACTACTTGCTCTTTGTGAATTTTATGTAATTTTCATGATTACAAATACAAGATAAATATAAATAGTTAATAAAACATACACAAATAAACGGTATATTTTTTAAATATTTTTATTTTTAAAATATATTAACACAAGAAAAAGAAAACACTTTTTAAATGTTCAAAATTGCGTAATTTTCAAAACGCTAGAACTTTGACGAAAAATTATCGTACACAAAAAATTTAAAACATTAAGTTATTAGTGATAAGCATTATTAAAAATATATATATGTATGTAGTTAGTCTTTTAAGATTGTAACTTGGCTAAAATAATAGAAAAATTTAAGAAAAAAGTGTTTCATATATAGGCAAAATATTGCAATTATTTCATAGTTTCCGAGAAAAATTTGTTTATCATGAATGTTACAAATATGTAATTTTAAAAAAATAAGACATTATCCTCTTTTATGATTTAAAACTAAGAAGAAAATAGCATTTTAAAGCCAAAAGCTATTTTTTTTTATTTTTATCTTCTTAGTTTTAAATTATAAAAGAGGACATAGTTTTATTTTAAAATTAAAACGAAAACTTTAGTACAAATTTCAAGCTTTAAAATGCTATTTTTTTCTTTGTGAAGGTTTTTCACCAAATCTCAAGTTTGAAAATTGCATAATTTTGAGTGTTTGGAAGTATATTTCTTATCTTTTTATTCTCAGTATTGCATACTAAAAACGATAATTTCATTAATATCGAAATCAAGGCGTGCAGATTCGAAAAGGAACAATAAAAGTAAAAAAAACTGTTCATTATTCATTATTCATTATCAAAAAAATATATCAAAGTTACTTTTTCATTATAGATGAAATTTCTAACATTAACATATCAGTTATTGAAAAAAGTAACTGACGTTAATTGTAAAGCGTTATTTTTTTATATATATACATACCTCATTGTACCATCATGACAGAAATTTAATAATCTAGAAGGACAACTTTGGTTGAATTCGCTTTTATCCCAAAATTCTGCTTGTGGAACTTGTTTCAATAATATGGAGCCCAATTTGGATGCAGTCTTATACAGAGATTTTCCAACATATTTCTATAATTTTAATTTAATAAAAAATTTTATATCTTACAATAATAATTACAATAATAATTATAATCTATCAATTTAATATAACATGAAATAGTAATATCTCTACCTTAGTCCAAAGATTCTTTTTAATATCATAGATTAATTCTGAATGCGGTAACACATCTGATGATACATCTGTCCAGTCATATCTTTGTAAGCCACCTTTCAGATAAAATCATACAAATTCAAAGATTAAAAATTCTAAGATTCTAAGATTTAGCAACTGTTTGTTCATCATTTTTATCATATATTTTTAATGTTCTTTTTTATATCTTTTTTATTATATATGATATTTTATATTATAAAATGATATTAATAAAAATGTGAGCTTTAAATCGATAGTTTTGATTAACTTGTTTTGCAGTGAATATTATATACATATATATTCCAATATTATATACACATTATTTATTTTATTTCTTTTGAAAATGAAAACAATCCAAGTTATTTGCATTTAATGTTATATGTAAGGAAAAATATCAAATAAAATTCATTATCATAAATAATTAGCATAAATAATATCATAAATATCATAAATAAAATTCATTATCATAAATAATTATCTTACCAAGTAAGTGAGCAGGAAGTGTGTCATTTATAGCAAACTCATACTTTTGAGCTAAGTTCATGCTGATGAATTTTACGATCTTCTTATAAAGATTATTGATTCGACTCCATTCATTATTTATTTTATCATACCCATCAGAATATCCTGACAGCATTTCCCAATATTCTTCAACAGTTTTGGCACCTATAATCAAATATTTAAATACTATGTATATTCAAGATTTACTAAGCATTATACTTTTCATACAATTTTTACACAATTACATAATTATTCATGCAATATTCATAATTATTTACGTAATATTCTAATCAATACTAACCATTTTCTTTTGCAGCCTTAGTAACAAGTTGCAAATTGTTTGAATAATTTGTAACTAATGGTATTAATTGACGATACCAATTATTCCAGACAGTTTGTTTATCCTCAAATTTTCCACTATGAGAGAGAAAATATTCCACATCTAAATTCATACAATTATAAATATTATATTAATATGTACAATTTATAAATTAAAACAAAATCTTTATATGCACGGAATATATATAGTAGAATATATGTAACAGAAATTATTAGTGAAATTTTACATTCTTACATTTTATATAAGTAGTTAATCAAATTATAGTAAAATCATAATAAAATATACCTTCTCGTGAATAGTTATGTGATTTATTTGTATGACTAATGATTGGTTGCAGTTCCATAATACCAGCAAAATGTATAAGCTGTAAGATAGTTTAACACATTTTAAAGTTTATTATGTACTGAAATTAAAAATTATAAAAGCTCAAAGTCTCTTACTTTTTCCCAATCTTTGTCTCTCAACAGTATATCACCTGGTTTTTTAATTATATCATATTTATATTGAAGAGATTGATCGAGTCGTTCTTTTGTATCCTCTATTTTATTAATTGCCTCATTTTTCCACGTTTTGATAGACTTTGAATCATTATATTGTTGCATTTCCTAAAAAAAAAAAAAAATAGTTAAACAAATTTAATTTACAAAAAAACAAGATATGTACATGATACACATATAATTAAATACATATATAATTAAATAAGTGCAAATTTGATAGTATGTTATATATTTACCCATATTGATAATGTTTTATTCGAAGGTGAAGTAATGAATGACCATTGAACATTGGCAGTACTATAACATGCATCTTCATAATCCAATTCGATTAATTGTAAAAAAGCTTTGATTTCATCTTTTAAGAGATTGTCATTCAGCGGAGCAGTGGTTACACAGACAATAAGATTAAAAATGATCCAGTTCCATTTCGATAGCATCCCTTTAACCTGTGAATTAAATGCAATTTTTAAATAATCAGAACACAAGCATTTTATTTAGCAGAAAAAGCAAGAATATGATATGTTAATTATTTATTAACGATATTCGATGTCATAAATTTTTTACATGCATACCTAAACAGGCCCAAATCGAGAGAAATCTTGCCAAAGATTTGTCTTATAAATTAGTGTCAGCAAAAAAGGTTATAAATTTAGTAGAGCTGTTATTACCATAGACTTCTATATATCTACTAGACTATTAACACGATCATATTGCAGTGAGATGCGAAACAAAGGCAGCCATTTATATTTTGGGCAGAATTTTAAACCAGATATACCAGTTAAAATTTGATGACATCACTTGACAAGGCATGATTATAGACACGTGTACATATATGAAGTAAACACTCATGTAGTATAAGTTTATATATGCATATAAAAGAATAAAAATGCCAATAATTTATAACATACTTGGCTGTTTAAGTAGATATTCTTAAGGAGAAATATCGAATTTTTTTCAGTAAGCATATAACCTATTTTTCTTATTCTTTTTAGAAACTTTAACTAGACTTTTCTATCAGATAAAATGTAATTTTTTACTTAAACTAAATTTTTATATATTGTTAAATATAATCAAATATTTATAATAATACTTCACATGCAATACTATCAATGCTATATACATTAATTATTTATAAATCAACTTTCACATGAAATATTGCAGCTTTCCCTTTAAAAGTAAGTGGCGATTGATAGCTTCGTTGAATGAATTAAAAAAGAAAATTGGATTCCAAATTAATATCATATAATCTGTAATGAACATTTTACTACAAATGATTATTTGAAATGTTCAAAGACGCAGAAGCATATTTAAAGACAACAATATTTTTTATATTTCTTTCATCGTAAAAAGCAATAAAAGAAATCAATGAAAAATCAGGCAAATGGATAATGAAAATAAGGAAAATCAGATAGATATAGAATAGAGATAATGAAAATAAAGAAAATGAGATGGATAATATAGAATAGAGATCATAAAGATAATAAACAAAAATAACATATCTCATGAGAGAAATTCTACAAATATTCACATTGAGATACACAGTACAATTTTTCTGACAATAACTTGAACAGACATTTAACAAAATCTCCTAGATTTGGAAGCGATTGAGAAGTAAACTGATGTGTAACTGTGGTGTAATGATAATGAAACATGAATATAATTCGCTAAATATTCACTCATCCATTATTAATAAATTATTAATAAATTAATTCTCTACATATGTTCTTAAAGGAAAAAGAAAAAAAATATCAGACATTAAATTTTACTTTCTTTACAATTTTTGTGTATTTAAAATGAAGTAAATACATTTTAATTTCGGAGCAAAAAGAGAATAAAAGATAGAAAATGTAAAAAAGATGCAAATAAAATAGATTTATCGTGTATTTACCTTTAATAAAATCGAACGTCGTTTCGCTCGATTTTCGTTTATACACTGTCAAAAACAGTATGACACAAAGTGTGAATGAGTCAGAATTCTCTCTCTCTTTCTCAACAAAGAGGTATCAACTGTATAGAGATTGAACTAATCATCTGTATAGAGATTGAACTGATTATCTTACCGCGAAAGATTGTCTCACGCTGATCAAAGTTCATTAAGAAGGAATCCACCGAAAGCGGACTCGTGTAATAGATCAGTAGTATATAATTAAGCGTTATATGAACATGCTAGGACTTTGATATCACGCAGTACACGTCTACAATATAACTGACTAATCATGTCTTGGCCAAGTTGTGATCGATCGAAATTCCATCGTATCATGCCACATTTTCAACGTCAGTGCATGACTATGCGTATCTGTGACATTTACTATTACTCATTCTTTCGTCATTTATGATGTATATCAAAGAAGACCGAGAGCTTTGATTTGACTTAGACTGGCCAACCTCATGTTTTTTTTTTCACAAAATACGTCTATATCTAGATCATGGTCTTTTACTCTGAGACCGTGATCTAAATTCTAAAGTATTTGTATAATCAAATCAAAGAAATCTGCGAGATCTTATATGCTTTTCAGTTGTTGAAATAGCGTCACCTGTATTTTGAAGCCTGGGAATTACAGATTCTCTTTTCCTTTGACAAAAGACCGGTCCATGATCGTATTAGAACTGTAGATCAAAAGTATAAAGACATTATATAGATTTATCAAGTTTTATTAGTTAAGCGTAATCTTGTTTTATTTTAGTACATGTTATAGAGAGCAATATATTATCGAAATATTTCTATCGAAATTATTAAAATCATTTTATTTATATTCTTTTATTGATATTTGAATATCTTGAAGAATATTAGGGTAAACATAAATTATTCAATTTTCCTGTCTTTTGTAGAAGTCAGAGAAGCTTGGTAAATACCTTTTAAGTAATTACGTAATAAATAAACGGACTGTTTGTATAATAAATTGATGAACAATTAACATGTAATAAGAGCTTAAGCCGAAACATTACGTGACCATAACACAAACAGTTGCACTGCTTTTCTGCTGATGCAAACACTGCTATCGGTGTATCAGTTTTGTTGTTAATTTTTAAGGATAAAATGTAGATGTTATAATCACTTATATTGCCTTATGCTAAGGAATTTTTAACTATATTAAACGCGATTAATGAGGAATTGGTATCTAATCAGAACATGAATAAACAGATATCATTCTTTTAAAAACTACTGACAATTTAAAATGAAAAATCGTAAATATTTTTATTACTTAAATTTATAAAGATCTTGTGCTAAAATATTTTGCTTTACAAATTTTATATATATATATATATATATATATATATATATATACACTCAATTTAAATTTTATAAATGTGTGCATATATATTGTACGTACGCATATGCGCACGTGCATGTCGATGCAGGGAGAATTAAGAATTATAAACAATATTTATATCATCCCATGTACTTATTAATTTAATTATATCCTTTTATATATATTGGCATTGTTATATTACACGTAAAGTGAGTCACAATATCGTACAATTATTGTACAAATTAAGTATGATGTAAAGTTCCACAATTTCTATATCATACCTTGTATAATTATTTTGAAAATCAAATGTAAAATGATCAATGCAGTCATTGCAATCGATGAGTTTACTTTGAAAGTACCTTGTAAGAAATTTACGATGTTGCGAAAAATATAAAGTAAATATATAAGCAGATATAGTTGTATTGAGAAAATATTAAAATGGAGATTAAATACAAATCAACAATAATTCCAATAAAGTAGTACTAAGAGTATAATGCCTGACGTGTAATGAATCCATATATTATTTAATAAAACAAATTATTAATAAAATGCATAATCGTATGTTGCATGTGGCACAATTTAGTCGATAATGCAAATTAAAAATCGAATAGGACTATTCATCAATATTATCGGGATCCACATCATCAGGTAGCATAGAATATTTGTTTGAAGCTACAAAATTCTGCAAGAAAAAGATATTCATTAATATATTAATAGTTTTACATATTAATAGTTATATAATTATTAATAGTTTTATATAATAATTAAATGTTCTCACCGGAGCTTGTTCATCTTTAGCCTTTGGCATTCTGCTAATTTCATCCTTCTCTTTGTCTTTACGGTCTCTATGATTAACAAAGTAAATAAAGTATAAATAAACGCAAAATAGATTTTAGATATAAATTCATAAGTATCATTGTTTATCAATACTTTTCCACCGCACGAGCATCTTTTTCAGCGAATTTATGATGTACTTTAAGTGTTGTCGGCTCAGGACGTGAAGTTGGCGATGTTTTGGATTCATTTTCTTCTATTTTACAAATATATTTCACATAAGTCACATTTATTAGAACTTTTTCTTAAAGAATTAAAAACAAAGATTTCATAAATATCTGAAAAATAATGTTTACCAGAACGTGCTGAAGCAAGTTGAGTTCGCGGCGCGGATCTCTCAACTCGAGTACCTCTATCTTCCTCCGATCGCCAAGTCGGTCGACCTCTTTCTTTGTCATCGCGTCCTTCCTACAAATCATTATTTAGTGCGTGTTAAATCATTTTTTAAATATTCCAAATATATTACTTTATGTTCAAATTGAAACACTTACGCCATTACGTCGACCTGAAATACCATCTTTACGTTCTTTGTTGTCCCTGGAAGAAAAATATTAAAATTTTTAATAAAAGTAAAAGACTGAGTGCTCTTTTATATGTAAATTTACAGTAAAATAAATAACTTTTTCAGTCTAAAGCGAATAATTTTTCAATATAGGACAAAAGCAGAAAATATTTTGAAAATTGCTATAAAATATTCTTATTACAACTCAATTGCTATGCATTATTGTATTTAGCTTTTAATATACATTATGCAGTATACATTAATACATCCAACTGAATTCGTTATATACATGAAGTGCAGCTATGCATATCAGTCTGTGGTTTGCTAATTATGACAGAGAGAGCATTAATATTGGTGAAGATATATATGAAGAAGTTCAAAAGTTACTCAAGACAAAATTATCAAGTTCTATTGTACCAAAAACATGATAACATAATATCTTAATATGAAATAATGAGATTTGATGATTAGAAAAATCAGCAAATAAAAATCACATGAGACTTCAAAATAATTAATAATAAATAAAAAACTATGGCTAAAATTTTGTGCACTTAGGGATGGCAAAATGACTAATGGTAAAGATATTTTCATAAATCGAATGCCTTTGACATGCAAAATTATTCCAGAATTTCATTAATTCAATCAAGAATATATTTTTGTTTATCCATAATGAATCATAAGAACAGTTTAAAATGATGATTAAATATGAGTTCAAACATCAATATATTATCATATATTAAACTATTGAATAAAAACCCTTTAAACTTCTTATGATTCATTATGAATATACAGTAGCGCGCACGAGGACTGTGTATCACACAGGATGATACCGAAATTCCAGCCAGACTGTAATCTAGTAGAAAACTTAATATTCTAAACAGTTTCCTATAAATACATACACACAATTTATATAAATATGCATGCACGTTTATGTTTTATTAGTGGCCATTATTCCATGGCATAGTAGAAAATCATTGCATTCATTTTCGAGATTTGGATTTAGTCACAAGTAAAAAATAGCGCGGACGCTACATATACGCTTGAGACGAAGCCAACGAAATTCTCTTCTTGTCTAGCGATTATATTAATAGCATAAATTAAATAAGAATTATATTAGCAATATCGAAAAATGGATATAGATAAATAATTCCAAATCTCAAAAGTGAATGTAATGGCGTTGTGTAAGAAATTTAATTGTTGCATTAAAAGAAAGAAATGTCGATCGTTTTAGGCTCCAATTTTAGGATCTTATCTATATAATTATTACATACATCTCTTCTCGGGACCGTGATTCGGCATAAGATTTGGCAAGACGTTCTTCTATTTCTCGTTCACGAGCAGTAGTATCTACAGGTTTCGCAGCGCCAAAAATATTAACTGCCGGTACAGACGTAGGAGCTGGAGTTCGTTGAGTTGATTCCGATCCTGTTGTTGATTTCGATTCCACCGAACTATCTTTAGTTTGATCTTCCGAAGTTGCAGTAGATTCCACTGGTTTCGTGCGAGGCTGCAGTTGCAGTTTCGGTCTTTGTCGCGGCTCGGCTAAATTATTATAATTAAATTGAGATATAAATAACTCAATTAAAAATAAAACATATTTATTGATGTATCATATTCTGTATAATTGTATGCTTACGTTTCGTATCTTGTCGGCGATCCCAATCGGAATCGCCATAATTGCGACGGGGTCCAAAACTGCTACTTTTGTCCCCGTCTCGATCTTTACTTCTTCCTCTATCGCTAAAACGAGTCCAGTCTCTATCTTTACTGTCATCTCTGAAGCCACTTCTTTCTTTAAATCCTTTATCATTGTTGTCTCTTTCGCGCCATGCACCAGGCTTATTATCATAATCATGTCCTATTGAACACAAAAATATTTTTATTGTAAAATTATTCTCCTGAAGAATAATTTTTATTTAAATTTGTAAATATGCAATTTAGAAAGAGTATACATACTTTCTCTATCATCTCGCCGATCTCTATTGTCAAATCGATCTTTATCATATCGACTGCGATAAGAATCTTCATCCAGCTCTTCACGCGGTCCGCTTCTCCAATCGCCAGATGTACGCTCTGGATCATCGTAATTATCCCTACGATTGTCTCTGCCCATTCTACCGCCTCGACGATCATCATTACTACTGTTTGAAACTTCAATTCTTACTCGTCTCGTCTTTATAGTCTATAAAAAAAAAATATTTTTAATAATTTCAATAGTTCACAAATTATGTCGCTAATAAGTATCATTAAGTATTATTTACTTACTGTGTTTGTCATAGAAAGAGCATCAATTAGACTTTGGCGATCTTCGAATTCGACATACCCATAGCCCCTAATTTTATTTGCATCTTTCGGTAAACGCATATTAGAAATCTGTGAAAAAAGATAAATAAGTTGTAATTAATTTGTATAAAAATAAATTATTATATTTTCATATTTGATAATCAAATTAATTAAAGAAACTTATGTAAACAAAATCTCATATTAATTAAAATATTTGTAAAAATCGACCTTCATTTCTGCAAAAAATTCAGCTAAATCAGCTTCATCTACATCGTAAGGCAGATTGCTTATATAGGCTACATATGGAGGACTTGTAGGGATATTTTCTTCATCAATTCCAGGTCCTCGTGCAGCTCGAGGAGCTGTTGGTAAAATAACTGGATCTTTGCTGCTTCTTGATGAGTATCCTTCTGTAATATTTAAAAAAGTTGATGTAATAAGGAAAAATAATTTTATATGTTACAATATACGCTACTATACAGAATATCCAATAATAATTATATCATCTCTTGTGTGCAAATAGATCGGGTTAAATAGAAACGTTCTCTATTTGCGATTTTCGCAGTAATTAATGAGAAATTAATTAAAAACGATCGATTAAATTAGGCGAGTATTAGCAGACAATCCATTGTTATAATATTATTAGGCGCAGGAGCGTTTCGCCGTTCACACATACATTATCTTTTGTAGAGTACTCCTCATATGAGCTTCCTCGAGTGCCTAAATATTAAAATATTATATAACAATAGAAAAATCACCTATCTGCATAACTCGTTAATCTGAAAAACCCGTTATCTGCATAAATGGAACGATTATTACCGCCTCTTATATTAATACAAATACGCCCCTTATATTAATACATATCCTGTATATTAATGCAATATCTTGTATATTAATACAAATTTATTGTCATGTAGAAGTTATATAGCATTCAAATATTTTATGCTTTGTTATAAAATAAAATAATTTTTATGTATCTTACTTGTATATGTATATGATGTGTATATACATATATGTACATGTATGTGTGTGTGTACGTACGTATAAAGATAGAACTATAAATTATAAATTATAATTTAGTATTCTTGATGTATATTGAGATAGCAAAATGCTAAGTGTAGTGTATCAGCAAAATAATTTTGCAACAGAGAGTATACTGCATTTTTATTATGCTTAATTTATGGCAGCATGCTGATATAGTATAACAGCGAAAATACAGCCAAAGTCCAACATTATTTATTGTTACATTGTGAAAGGAAATGTGTAGCACCTATATCAAATACTAATAATATTAAATATTGATGAAAATGCAGCAAAATGTGGTTTACTTCGAGAGCTTTTCAAAATAATAAAGTATTTTAATATAATAAAAATATAAATATAAATATAATAAAATATTTTTTTATTAAGTACTTTTCGAGTTATAAGACTTGAAATAATTTCTTAATTTCGTATAATCTATAAAATATCTCATAAAATATTCATTTTTCGATAATCTATCTCGACACTTTTATGCACAAAATAATGAGATAAATCAATTAATGTAACGGAAACACATAATTGTTTTTAAGAAAAAATATGTAATTTATAATTAATAATTACATACTTTTTCTTAAAAACATCTGTCTTTTTTACACTAATTGATTCCTTTTATTATTTTATGTATAAAAGTATTGAATGTCATCCAATGAATGAATATTTTATAGTTTACATAAAATTAAGAAATTATTTTAGTTTCTAATTCGTGCGCGACATTTTAACAAAAAAATAATTTATTAAGCACTTTTTGAAAATGTTTTGAAAAGCTCTGGAAGTAAGCTACAAAAATATGTAATAAAAAATAGCGAGTTCCAAAAAATAAAGTTGACTTTCACATGACCTTGGTATGTTCACCCATGATCAAATCAATGGTACCATCTTATGTCCCCATTGAAGTAATAAAATCTTTATAGAAAACATTTTTTAAAATAACCACTTTCTTAGTTTTTAAATGAATGGTACAGATAGTCTAGGATACTTTGTACGTATAACAAATGTTATATCAGTTGTATTCTATATAATATAAATAATTAGAAGTTTAATAATTAATAAAATAATTAAATTTAATAAGATAAAGAAAGATAATTTTTTTATTCGTTTATAAAACTTAGATTTATTTATCATTTGAACTCTTTTATTTTTTTGCATCTTAAATATCAAATTGACAACCTTCTATTAATTCATATACAATTTCCAAACAGTTAGTTTGATATTCTAAATCTTCTATTGGAATTATATCATAAATTAAGCTGATAAAAACAAATATTATCCTTTTAATCTCATTAATTACAGTCTTCATATTTACTCATAAGAAAAAGTTGAATACAAGAGATATTGTGTGGTGGGAGAAAGAACTATAATCCAATATTACTATATTTTACATCAATATTTCTCTACCATTTTCTTTAACAGACCCTGCTGTTTTTGTTATATTTTTATTGCTATTTTTTGAGACAATAATGCATGAATTGAATTTTTTTGCTGCATCTGTGCCGATGCTGAGATAGCAAATTATACTTGATTGCTGCTACAGTTCTGCCTATATTATACAATGCATAACTTGCAATATATAATCTTAGCAGACTTGATTACCAAGATAAATGCAGAAATATTTATTTAATAATATTTAATAACAAAAGATATAACTTTTACCATTTATCACATGAAAATGACTTATCATTACCGCAACAAATTAATTGATTTTCTGAAACAGCAGAACTGGGATTCTCTTGGCTTACCATGATCATCCTCTACATCATCAACCCAATTCGAAGATTTCAGCGGTATATTAGGGGTCGGCCCACTTCCTTCAGCCAAGAACGACCACAGGTCGACAGTCACACCCTTCTTCTTCTTACCCTTTTTTCCTACAAAACACGCAAATTATCATTAGGAAATATCATTACACTTCACCCGAATGCACCATAGAGCTTGTATAATAAAAGCATGGTGAAAGGGGAACCACGTCACGCGTAGTTTGGTTAGGTGCAAACGTGCGAGGCAAAAGAGTCAATACGAATAATGCTATGGAATTATTTTGCTTCTGGAAAATCGCCCTTCACCGAAAATTATCATTGCGCGAAATAAAATGATACCTGCAGACATGATAAAGGTCGAAAATCGACGGAAATGCGTTTCAGTCTCTCAGAGTACGTGAACCGCACGACCAACCTTATGACCAGTGAAACATAAAATACATCTGTACGAGATGCATATGCGTTCCAAAATTCAACCTACGGACTTCTCTTCACAAGGACCAATCAACGCGTTAAGCCGTCTTACACTGCCAATCAGAAGAGCCGGCCGGCAAATTGCTTCGCTCTGATTGGTCCATCTCAACCGCAACTAAGCCTGCAACCTGTAGCTGACAAGCAGTGTGTAAACGGTTCTTAGACAGGCAGAAAATGAAAATTACAACTACCAGCGCGAGTTCTGATTGGCTCCTGCTTTTCTGTCAAAATATCAATGCGCCTTAATTCGACCTTGTGGCGAGATATGTTAGGAAGTTCTGCAATAAAGAACAAACCTTGAACATTATTCAATCATCGAATTATTGGAAGCTGCGAGAAACCGGTAGCTTTTTTTTAAATAATATCAGATATTTGGTATGAATAAAAATTCTTTTATGCTATTTCAGCATAAACTGTTATAAATCATTCGAAGTCATTTCATAATTTTTGTTTTCGCGACAGATAAGTGTGCGTGTTTAACCTAACTTGACGAAAACACAAACTTTGTGACCACGTGAATTGAATATTATTCGACTCAATTGAAATTAATGAATGAAATTCTTAACTTTTCATCGTTTTTTTCGTAAATTAATCTACCCAAACATCAAATAGATTAGAAATATATATATATATATATATTTTTTTTTGTTCAGAAAAAATGCAAGTTTGATATATATACACAAAATTATATAAATTATATATATACAATATAATAAACAAAATGTCAGGAACATTTTTAATACTTGCTGGACAAAGATCTGCATATAAATGGTATGTAATACACAACAATGATAGATAATTATTTTAGATTATATTGTTCAGCTTTACTCATCAGTGTTAATTTGTTAGTATTTTTATTTAGTAATTATTAAACTGGATTAATGAATGTTTTATATGTACATATCAGTGTTTAACGATAATTATTTTATTATAGGCTTAAACATTGTCGTATATCATATTTATATAAGGATGTAAGGATTAAAGACTCACGTGTTCATAGTATAGCACAATACTGTATTTCTGTGAAAGATAAAGATGACTTATCTAAGGTATATTTAAAGACATAATTTTATAGAAAAGATTTTAAAGATAATTTTTATCAAAAAATTTTTAAACAAAAAAATTATTCCTTTTGTTTTAATATTCTAGGTAAAGGACTTTAAATATGAAAATGTAGCAAATGCAAACAATTTAAATTCAAATATTAAATTAAAGGAAAAGGTAAGCAATATATAATCAATTATAATAAAATTTTAATTATTAAAAATAACAGCAAAAATTTGAATTTGCAGCAAACTAACAATAAACTAGAAGATATGCAACTCTATGATAAACTTGAACATCAAAGAAATAATAAGGAATTCTTAAAAAGTACGTAATAAAAAATTTTTTATATTTAAGATATGTTTAAAAATTTTTGTTTTTAAATTTATTCTAGAATCTAATATAAATAATCTATATATAAATGAAAGTTAAATGATAAAAGTAAAGCATTTTTATAGTTTAAATAGCACAATATAGAATTTTATTTTCCTAGTACTTTTTTAAGTCCACAAAAATATGTATATATATATATATATATATATATATATATATATCAAATATATATTTTTGTGGATTTAAAAAATAAATTTATAAAAATATATTTTATATTTATTTATAGCTGTATAATTTATTTTTAGCTATATATTTTTTTAATCTATTTTACTAAATAAAATGATTGAAAATTTTAGAATTGGACAGATTGTATCCAAATCCAAAGTCTTCTATAACAAGTATTTATGCAATAATCAGCCATGAATTGAAAGACAATACAGTACTAACTTCCCATTTTGCAAATTTAACTGTAAAAAATTCTAAATTCTGGCAAAATACTTTGACTGTCAAATGGCCAGAAACTTTGTCTTTTAAAAGTATTAGTAAAACCAAAGGAATAGCTTTTAAAAATTCAGCCTTGAAGTGTTTGCAATGGCTAGAAATGAATGGTAAATTGAAAAACGGTAAACCAATCATTTATCAAATCAAAGATGTAAAGAACATGCAGTTAAAGCCTGTTGATTTAAGTGTTACTTCTGAACTTTTGTACAAGATGACAGACTTAATTGAAACTTATGAAACGGTAACATTTTGCATTATAATTTTTAATGTATGAGTAAATAATTATAATTTGTGTAATATTTGAGAATTTTTATATGTGCAATGGTAATGTCTAGAAAATACGGAACCTGACAATACAAGAAAGCAATTCCAATAATGTTACATACAATCTATTACATGACAACATATCTCAGCCTCACCCGATTCTTGGAGAAATGAATTACACAGATATTGACAATCGCAACAAAATATTAAAACAAAGATTACTTGAAAAACATACCAATGAAGATGTTAGTCTACCGATCACTGAATTCAGGTACAGTAAATGTACAATTTATTTTATATTTATATGTATGTACAATATTTGATATATACATTTTCTTAAATTATTTATTTTATAGGGATGAAATTCTCTCTAAATTAGAAAACAATCAAGTTTTATTGATAGAAGGCGATACTGGTTGTGGCAAGACTACTCAAGTTCCTCAATTTATAATGGATAATTTTGCACAGAATGAAAATGCCACCGATTGTAATATATTAGTATCACAACCACGTAGAATCTCTGCAATCTCTCTGGCAGATCGTATCGCACATGAAAGAGGAGAAAAAGTGGGAGATGTTGTGGGTTTTCAAGTGAGATTAGAACAAGTATTACCAAGGGGACTCGGTGGGATACTTTTTTGCACTACAGGTATATTACTGAGAAAATTGCAGAGCAATCCCAATTTAGAAGGATGTTCGCACGTCATTTTGGACGAGGCGCACGAACGTCATATCGACACCGACATGCTAATGATTCTACTCAAGAGAGCTCTGAAACAAAATCCCAATTTGAAAGTTCTGATTATGTCGGCGACTATAAATGCGCACATGTTTCAAAAATACTTTAATTGCGCCGCTGTTAAAGTACCGGGTAGGCTATATCCCGTAAAAATGCATTTCCTAGAAGATATCGCTACTCTACCAAATATCCAAAAATATCGAATATTTGATCGTTACATAAATGACGACGAAAGACTTTCAGTTGATTTTGGAAAAGTAGTACAAGTTATAAGATGGATCTCTCATAATAAACCACCCGGTGCCATTTTGTGCTTCTTACCTGGATGGAATGAAATCACAAAAGTGCAGAATATGCTCGAGTATTTTCCGCTTGAAACGGAAAAACAACTGATTTTACCGATCCATTCCAAAGTATCACACAATGAGCAGCGCAAGATTTTCGAACATATATCCGCGGACACCCGAAAGATTATCTTGGCTACGGATATTGCTGAAACTGGCATCACTGTTAGTGATGTAATTTATGTTATAGATTCTGCCATACGAAAGGAATCGCGATGGGACGAGAATAAAGATTTACTGTGTATAAGCAATCGTTGGGTCTCTCAAGCAAACATTCATCAGAGGTAATTATAGAGAAGAAATTTTTACACTGTAATAGTAAGTTATATTATTTGCATATCTGATCAAAGAAGTATAAATGTGTCTTTAAAATTGCGGTTTTATCTATAAAAAAAATAATATTTTAAAAATATATTTTTATAAATATATTTATAAAATATATTTATAAAAATATATTTATATTAAAATAATAATTTTTTTTCTAATGCAGAAAAGGAAGAGCCGGGCGTGTTAAACCTGGTGAAAGTTATCATTTGATTACAAAAGCAGAATATCAAAAATTGGAACCGCATCCAATCCCGCAAGTGTTGTGCAATCCTCTGGAAAAAGTAGTTCTCGATACTAAAACGTACACAAACGAAACGGCGGAAAATTTTCTGAGTAACTTATTGGAACCGCCTAAACCAGTTTCAATACGGAAGGCAGTAGAGAATTTAATAAATCTCGGAGTATTGGATGACGAGGAGAATCTTACAGCATTGGGTAGACGAATAGCATTATTCCCGACACATCCTAAATTTAGTAAAGCATTGGTGTATTCCTCCATTTTCAAGTAAGTTTATTAAATAATAATGTATCTATGTATGTGTTATCATTTGTATCAAAATCACATTATCTTTCTATGTTAATTTTCCATATTAATAATGAATATTTTTTGTTTCATGATAGCTGCATACATCCTATTGTAACGATAACTAGTGTATTCTCTGGTGAAAGTAATCTCTTTTATGGTGTATTAGATCACAAGTCAGAAATCAGGACAAATAAAAAATTGTATCATCCATCCAGTGACCATATTGCATTGGCATGGATATATAAGCAATGGTGCAAACATAATACCATTAGTACACATTTAATACCAAAGTTTTGTAAACAAATGAGAATTCGACAGAACAGAATGGAAGTACTAAATCGTAAGTAATATTATTATAAATTACAACTTTTTGTTTAATGATTGCTTTGGGGGTTTATACAATTCAATATTTCAATTTATATATCGATGAATTTTAAATGATAAATTTTACCTGATATCACAATTTTGCAGAGATACGAAATACGTTTATTCATCAACTGATTCATTGTCGTTTATTGAACAAAAATTGTACGTATGATAATTTTAATGATGTAACAAATAAGTATGAGAATAATGACGAACTGGTACAAGCTCTATTATATTCTGCTACGCAGCAATTGATAGAACATAAAGATATAGGATTCAAAAATGGAATCCTGAGAAAAGGCGTCAATGAACTCCGAATTCAGTAAGCAAATTCTATTTAATATATATATATATATATATATATATATATATATATATATATATATCTAATCGTAAATTTAAATCAACACGCGAATTTTAATAATCTCCCTTGCCCCTTTATTTTTTACAGTCGTGCTCTAGCTGTTATTTCGGGAGAAAGTGTTAATTATAAGCGAAAAGATTGGCCAACTCCTTACTTGACGTATTTTAATGGTGCGCATTGCGAAATGAGACGCAGTATAGTTGTTCGTGAAACAAGCATGTTATCACCTCTATCAGTATTACTTTTTAGTCAAGGAGACATTCAATGTTACGAGGTAATTAAATAATTGTGTGTGTAATAGATATTTTATAACTCATAATTTGTCTTGGATTTCAGCAAAATGATGGCAGAATAGAAATTACAATCAAAATTAATCAATCGCAAACTTTAAGATTTTCTTGTGACAATGAGTAAGTATTTATTTGTATATCTTTATACGTTTTTCCTTTAGTGTGTATATCCCAATTTGTTTAAATTTTTGTAAGATTCCTTTTTTCTTATTAAATTTCGTATTTATTTTTTCTAGGACTGCTAATGTGCTCTTAGAATTTAGAAATATTATGTGGTCATTAGTACAGTACTCATTGGAAAAACAAGGAATTAATGACTACACTAATCTTAATACAAAGCAAATATTTGAATATAAAGACAAATTACTCGAAATTGTTTCAGAAATTCTGTGCAAATCATCTGAGTCCATAGAAAATGACAAAGTATCTATGGCTTAAATGTATGTAATATACATTGTATATAAATAAAATTAATAATAAAAATAATTGCAAAGTTGTAAGTAATACTATTTTTATTAATAAAAAGTTATTTGTCTTATACTTTATCATTATGTGTATATATATTAGAAATCATGTATAAATATGAATAGTCTTATTATACATATATAAAATATATTAGAAACAGTAATGCTTATATGTAAAAGATAAATATATAATAGTAATACTTATATGTAAAAGATAAATAGTTTTAAGTTGTGCAATTGGTAAAAAAATTATATTGAATTTTTTTACTTTAAATTCAGTTTAATTAATTTCATGCATATTTATATTTAAATTGCGCAATTAAAATTGTCGACAAAATTGCTCAATATACACACATGTGTAATTAAAGAGACATTTCAACGTGTAATATTTTTGCAATATTTTCCTTTCGATTTAGTTCAATATTTTTGTATTCATATTTTCATTATAACATGATCGAATGACAAGTATAAATAGTGAGAAAATAAAACAAAAGAGAAAATATAAGAAACTTGATGATTGCTAGGTTTAATATCATTTACTTTTACTTTATTTGTAGGTATGTAAATGTCTAAAAAATACAGTATATAATACCAGTGTAATGAAGTTTATATCTCTAGGCTAGAGATTGTTAAGAAAAAAAATTAAAATAGAAAGATATAATCAGACAAAAATGACATTAACATTCTAAGAATTATGATCATAAAACAAAGGTAAAAGAGAGACATATGTATTCTTCAGTATAGGAAGAATGTGGAGAAAATATACATTTTAACAAATATATAAAGTATTTAATTAGACATTCTGCATCTTTTTCCCATTAACAATTTTTATTATAAAATATTAAGAATTTGTTACAAACATTATGTACAATCACAATATGATGCTTTTTGTAACTACGATAACAACATTGTTTCGATTAAATTATATGAGATATTCAACAAATATATAATTATATAACACGATAAAAAAGTCGAGACACATACATTGTTTGATATTTCATTAACGAATACGTAGTTTTCTCAAATACCTCTTTAATGATATATATTTTATTTTGTTTAAAGCGCTTTTTTTTGATGCACCCAAAACCTACCGACACCAGCTTACCCTCGCCAAAATGTTCGAGCAATTATCAAAATTTGTTCCCATGAAATCTCTTTTATGCTACATTACGATCGTTGTAAATATTTGAAGTGTACAGAACTTAATTTGTGGATGTAAAAGATTTTCAAAAAAAAAAAAGAAAATTATTTGTAAATAATAATTAATAATAAATTTTTATAGAAATATATATTTTTTTATAAGAGAAATATATGTTGACACGTGCACATTTAATTGCAAATTCTGAAGTCATAATATAGAAGCTGAGGCAATAACTTTATCCACTTGGAGTATCTATACTATTTTTAGAGATATGACAAAATTATAATCATGAAAGTTATATTGTACCAAGAGGACCATAATATTAGTAATATTTTTCAGCTGGATAAAATTATTACTTAATCTTGTATACATTTCAGGTGGATGAAGTTATTACTTAATCTTGTATAGATTTTTGCATAATATGTACATGTACAGATATATGTCGTTTTTATTAGGTTTTAATAACATTAGATTTTAATAAATTAATTTATATGATTCAGGAAATGGATAAACTAATATAACATTCTTTGTTGGATGTTCTGGAACTCTCAGAAATATTTACGATCGTAACGGCATACTCTTATATAAATATGTGTACTACTTTTGTATAAATATTCTATAAAATATATTTTTTTATAATGAAACAATATCGCATATTGCGTCTGCAACTGATATATTAAATAGCATATATAAATACATTTAACAGTATATATTAAAATCTATCTCGAATATTTACATTTGGCAGGTACATGGAAGCATGCGCTTCTGCTATTATAACAATTTTATTAAAGTATACAGAAATATATATTATATATGTATATAATTTAGTTTATTAATTTAATATATTAATTTAATATAAATATATAATTATTAAATATATAAAACTTTAAAAAAGATAATTAACATAAAAATATATAACTTTGCAAAAAATAAATCTATATTTTTAATTTATATAAAATTATTTTAAATACTAACGACAAACATATCTTAAGTACGAGAGTTGTCAACAATAGAAAAATATGAAATATCTTGACATATTCACTTCAGATAATTTCGTAATGTATGATACGATATATCCCGAAAAGCGAATATGTTAAATTAATAAATTATAAATTAATAAATTAAAAATTAATAAATTATGTCCTATAAAATATATAGTCCCTGTAGTCCTATAGTATTACACATGGTTTTCTTCTCATCTGTGTATTCACTATTTATAAGCAAAAAAAACGATGAAATATCAGTCATATTATAAATTAATTTCTAAAAAATTGTAATAATTGTAATAATAACTGATAGAAAAAGAGAGCTGAAACAATAACAATAATTGTCAGCAATTAGCAATAATATATTATCTGGAAAATACATAGGATATTAATACCTTTTTGGCAAGATATCATTGCTTATTTACAATGCTTATTCTTTCATATATTATCTTTTTCGAAAGAATAAATCTTTTTCCTAAAACATCTCATGAATATGTAATGTTTAATCAAAATGTTTATATAACAAAAAGATGTATTTTATTAATTAATTTTATTTAATATTTGTGCTGTCATTATTCTTGTAGAAGAGATATCTTTGCATATTTTGTAATTTATTGCTTTGGAATAATTCTACTCTATCAATATATCCGTGCGAACTACTTACTTATTAATTTATGATTTGTGCAGTTTTTTTTCTTTACGAACTAATATTGCACTTCCGGCCTCTAGCATATCGATTTTAGATTACCATAACTGATAATTTCGATAGCAAAAGTTGCAGTTCGCTTTAAAAAAAATGCATAAATAAACTTAAATTTTTATCATTGTCTAAAATAAAAACGCTATCACCTTAGATTCATTCCACACGGCTTGTCTAATTCATTATATAACTATTATACATATAAAAAATAATAAATAAATAGAAATAAATATATAATATAATATATGTATTATAGTTTTTAAAATTATTTTACGAATATAATTAGTCACTATATATTACAAATATTGTAAACTTCTAAAGTCTTCTTTTGTGTTGTTTCATTAATTTTTTTAAATAAATATTAACACTAGATATGTGTGAGTGTGTGTGTTGATATAAAAAATATCTTGGAGAGAGAGAGAGAGAGAGAGAGAGAGAGAGCGCTTTCGTAATAATTTATACTTGAAAATATATTAGTATAAAAAATAGTAAAAGCGCACAGAAGACTCTCAATTTTTTAGTCTTGTGAAATGAGCAACAAGAATGTATCAATTACCCGCTTGATGAACTTTTAAGCGCATAGCGCTTTCTATTGTATTATAATACTCTTACAAAACTATTATAAACTATCTGTTTTAATTAATTAATTTAAATTAATTTCTCTATACTGGCCTTAGAATTTTCCTGTAAAGTTGATGTGACTATATAAAGTTTATATTTCGATTTACGAAAATTCAAAAGTTTAATAATGCTAATGCATTTTATCATCCTGTTAATATTAAATTCAATATTAGATTTATTCTATCTACCGTAGAAAATGGCAAAAGTTTTTGATTTTTACTTACGCCCTAAAAATAATGTTACATCCATAATGTAAATGTGGCATTGATAAAAACAAAGATAATGTTGATGAGAAGTTGCTCTATGAGTTGTTCTAATTTCTACGATTTGATATTCTTATTAGAAAATTGCGATGATTATATCATCTGCAAGTCTGCGAACAACGGGAAAATATGCCGAATGCTTTTTACAATGATTTTAAAATATTATAAATAATATAAATAATATGTAACGTTTATAAATAATATTTTTAACGTATACCTAATATTGTTTACCTAATATTGTTTCATCATCTCTATCTGATGGAAACATCGTCATCGCATCATATATTTCAACAAAAATTGAGTATTCTAATTTTAAAGGATCAATCTACTCTAGAAGCAATATAAAAAATTGATTTTCAGAAATTTTGTTTAAAGAATATTAGAAATTGAAACTTTTTAGAGTTTTTGTTGAAGTTGAAATGGTACACGTCAGTAAATTTAAATCTTGAATATTTAATTTTTAATATGACCTATGTGTTCAAAAATACATGGTTCAATCTGTTCTTCGTATAATTATTTAAAATGAAAAAATCAATCTAGTTTTAATCTGTAGAATATTTTTGGGATACTAAAATTATTTTACAATAAGATATTTCAATTTTGCTGAAATTTCAAAAAATATTAAATATTCATTTTTTAAATTCTAACTAGACAATGTTCCAAAAATATCCTATTAGAATAAAAGAGATCGAATCTTTTCATTTCATAATTATACTAGAAATAGTTACACTGAGTTTTTAAACACATTATGCGCAGAAATTCATATTTAACAAAAAAATAAAATAAAATAAAATATCCAAGATTAAAAAATACTACATACTTTAAAGATTGATAAAAATATGTATGAAAAACGCTGAAAAGTTCAACTTCTAATATTCTTAAAAAAAATTCTACAATTATCAATTACTTATACTGCTGAGTAAACTCTTAATAGATCTTCCGGCGGATCTTTGAAGAATTTTCCATCTACTTAAAATGTGAAGGCACTTCAGTTATGATATCAAACTGCATTGGCTGTTACAGGGCGGCAGGACGGTGACGAGGCTCTCAGTCTCGCTGTCACTAGCGCTGAAATTGGCTCTCTCCAGGACCATCGTGGCCTCGTTCCTCGCGTTGGAAAACTGATAATACGGAAAAGGATTCTTCCCGTCCAGGTCTACACCAGAGTCGGCGCTCTTGGACATCTCCGACAGTTTGCGAAAGTTGCCGAAGAATACGCTGTCAGTGCCAATGCTTTCAGCACCGCTCTCACTTTCGGCACCATCGCACACCGACTCGGTCTCGTCGGTCTCCTCGGATACGCTGCTCACTTCGTGTCGCAATAATCGCTTGCGAGAGCCGTTGCTGTCGGTGCTACTGAGATAGCCGCTGTCTTCAACCTTGACGTGGCCGCGTCGATTGTCCGCCACCAGCGGTATCATCATGTTGCTCGCACTGGAATCGCAACTCCTCGAGAGACCCATCATCAATTGTCGCGTTCTGGAACCGTTCTGCGCTCTGCTGATTAATCTGTCTTGATCTCCCCGGCGATGTCCATCGATGCTCCACGATCGAGTCCTAGTCTTCGCGGAGCTTCTGTGATGCGAGAAACTTGTGGCAGGCCTCTCCTCTTCGACGTTAATCTGGTCTTCATAAAACCTGTACCTGTCTTCGGAATCTTCGACCTCGATTCGCGTCTCGCATGGACAATCCCTGCAGCCATTCGTCACGGTATGGTCGTCTATCATCTCGTCGAGGAACGTCAACCCCATTAAAGCGACGTCTTTCTCACTATAAGACTCGTACTCGGTCGCCATGTCGTCGACAAGTTGAATTTGTGACGCGCAGAGACACGTCTGGTTCCCTACATGATATTCGTTGAGTTTCGGGACAGGAGCGCCGTTGCTGGCCGTAGGGTCACCCGCTTCGACAGGTCTCCTGTCCCAGACGTTTTTTGACGGCGATGGCGGCGGCGGCAGTAAAAGTTTCGCGTCCTCGACGCGTCGCGGTGGCTTCGGTCGTTGATAGATCTCTTCCGTGGGCGGCAATGGTACCACGTCCGGCTGATTATGCGGTTTCCGCTGTCTTTTCGCTTGTCTACTATCTGGCGTCAGGTACTTGCACTTCTTCCACGATAGAATATCATCACTCGAATCGCCGTTTATTCGACATTTGGAATCGTGACTATGACCTTGTGTGATCGAGTGCGATTCCTTCACATTCGATTTAAGCTTCGCCTCGTAAATTTCTCGCAGACTCCCATGACAGCAGCGTTGTCGCGCTGCGGAGGAACTATCGTCGCGGAAACTGCCCTTGCTCCTCAGCAGGATTTGTGCCGGTCGCTCCAACGAGTCTACAAAAACCTCGTTAACCATATCTGTCTGTTCGTATTGCATGTCGTCATTGATTCGAAGCTTCATCGGCTTCCGATCAAGAGTATCCGGCTCGTACTCGGACTCATCAAGCTTAACATAATTCTCAGGTGAGTCTTGCACTCTGATGGTCAAATGGCCCGGATTCTCCGGCTCGTACTGGATCTCCGGACCACTGTCGTCGCTGCAGGCGGGACTGGCATAACCGTCATTCACGTAGACCTCACTTACCAGCGAATACGCTTCCGATCGCTGATTGCTGATCAGTTCTGGTAAGCTGTTGTAGCAGTTTCTTTGGATAAGGATCTGGTTATTAAGTTTCGACAGGGTCATCTCACCGGTACGAGTATTGATGACGGCGTTTTGCATCGTCAATTCTTCGTCCATGGGCAACGCCGTCGACAGAGCCGGACTCGATTGATTGTCCGTTGACTGATCGGGCGATGTCGATGATTTGCTGCTACATTTGGAACGCTCGAGACTGTCCACTTCATAATTCCCGATTGTCGCGCAATCGGTTGACTTCACGTGATGATGATCCAACGCTTTTACATCCACCATCTCGCGTATCACGGCGTCCATGATACGTTTCGCGGTGTTCTTCGCACCAGGTAGTTCGTTGATCATGTCCGGAAGTTCCTTTTTCCTCAATGGTGGTGCGCTCGGCGCCTTCGACTTCCTCGATCTCTTCGGAGCGGAATTGTTCTGCAGCTGTAATTTCGGTTTCTCGGATTTTTCAGTGTTACTGGACGACGATCTTTCCGTCTTCGCCGATTTCTCGTCTTCGCTCTTGCTATTCTTATCGTCCTTCGCGCTCTCCTTTATCTCATTTTCTATGGCTGCGCTCTCCTCCATCTGCTTGATAAAGGAATTCTCGATGGCTTTGCGGACTTTGGCGTTTATCGCGTCATCGCCAGCGGTGAATTGAAACGGCGTTCCGTTCATGCGCTTGCCGCGACCGTAACGATCGTACTCGGACTTGTCGAACATGGACCTGGTCGATCGCCTGGACACGCTATGACGGTCGTCGTTCCCGAGAATCTCACTTTTAACAGTGATATTCTGGAAGGTCTTCAACATCGGCGGATTGTCCTTCCACGATGATATCGATTTGCCGGCGAGACTCGCGCGATCGTCCGGATCGACAAAGTCGCGTCTCGCCAACTGTTTCAGATACTCCAAGTTCCTGGCGAATGTCCGCGCGTTCTCCTGGAAATTCCTGCGCGTGTCCTCGGCGTCTCGCCAGCTGTGTCGTGGCGGCCGCACGTCTTCCAGCCAGGCACGCACTTTACTTTCACCATGGGTCGGCAAATCCGGCACAGGGAGCGCGGGCAGCTGTCGAGGGGAATCGCTGCTACATCCGGGACACCCGGTGCATCGTTGGGATCTGCGCGATTTCGCGACCGAACCATCCTGAGCGGAGTTTGGCGTCACCCTCTGCTGATGTTTGCTCGACTTTGCCGACTCGCATCGCTCGGAATTGCTCTCTTCTTCCGGAATACCTATGTGTCAGATACCATTGTCAGTAATGATGAAATGAAAAAGGAAAAAGTTAATTATTCTTAATTATAAGTCGTGAAAGATACATAATTTTCAGAAGCCTATCTCATGAGATATTCCTAATCATTTTCTTTTAAAGTATCTTCTAATATCTTACATTTCTAATATATATTCCTAATCAATATATATTCCTAATTATTTAATATATCTTATATTTCTAATATATATTCCTAATCATTTTCTTTTAAAATATCTTTTAATATATCTTATATTTGTTAAAGATTGCTCTATTTTTTTCATTTATTTAGGACATGATATCTGTTTTTTTCAAGACTCACCGTTGAGAGTAGGAACGAATCTTTTCGCAGCCATCTTGTGCTTGGCGATGGAAATAACTTCTCGGATTTTGAGCAGGAACTCGATAGCGGCCGGAGGTGGGGCCTAAAAAAATGCCAGGCTGCTTTCAAATTATCTTGTCGCTGGTCAAATAGACGTAGACGAATCGAATAGACCTCGGAGGTGCCATTGATAAAACATCGAGTTTGAAAACGTTAAACCCGCGAATGGAAAATAAGCAACTTTCCTTCACCATTCCACTAAGCAACTCACCAGCAATAGCTGTCGATCGAAGTACGCGGGATTGAAGTATAGCTTCCTCCGTTGAGCACCTGGAAGAACCGGTACATCCTGCTGATGCGGGTTGTCAGCCGTCTCCACGACCCGTACATCCTCTTCCGGCAGCCTCTCGCCCAGAATAGAACCCGAAGAGAAGAGCCCTTCCGATTGCTCCAGATACACGCAGTGTGGATGAACGATCGCGGACGTTATCTGCTGGAAGAGGTATATCTACTGTCAATCGAGAGATTCGCAAGTCGGGTAGCTTTTTATACTTCATATACTTTGAAAGGGAACCTCGCAAAATTATGAATCCGATCTTCTCTCGCACTGAATTCTTCAAATTCGCGCGATTAATCGATATCGATCGATTCGAAATTATCTAAAGACTGATTCTTCGAATGAAACGCGACCACATTTCGACTGTTTGAGGAAAGAAAGAATCGTGCCAGGTGGTAGCGGTTCGCAGAACGCACTGAAATCACGTAGTGCGTGATACTCCGACAAGCGGTACGGTGTAAAAGTGGGATGCACCTCGCCTAGTTGGGATGGCACGGACTAACGGAGCGCAAAACTAATGCGCTAATTGGATGCGTTATTAAACGCGCGCGGTGATCCGGCGAAGATGAATGGTATCTGCACTCGAGAGAGAGATGCCGCGAATCCCGAAGAGATAACCGAATAATTTCGTCTGCATTTCAATAAACACGTAACATCTCCTCGACGTGTACAAGCTACCGTCCAATTACGCGATAGAACAAATCTATCTACAATCTCCTCCTGGCACTTCTCTTAATTAAAATTGCTCGTGATTCTCGATTGTGTAAAAAACAAATATATTTATGTATGAATATACTTTTATTGTGTACTTTGCAGAGCAATTCTTTCGGATAAAATAATTGCTCGAGGTGAAACAAGGTGGGAAAAAAAATTGACAGCTTACTTACGTTCTCGAAACCCTGTTCGTTATCGCTGGGTGGCAGATCATCGCCCAAATCACTCTCGGTAAGTCCGCTATTCGTGTCGCTCTCAAAGTGTCTCGTAGCGGCCAGCAACGGATTATTCTTGACCAATCCACCGCCATCTCGACCGCCGTCGAGAGTGATGTTCGCCTCCTCGATGGATTTTCTCTTCGCCCTTCTGCTGTGTAAATATAACGATACGCTGGCTACGTATATGAGAGCTAAGATAACGGAAGAGAGACCAATGGCGATGTATTCCGTAGCTGATAGACCTTGAGACACTTGGGATGTCGATGCGAACATCACTTCGCGGACGTCTGTCATGGGAAAGAAAAGTATTTTTAGCACGGATCATTTCTTAAAAAGTCTGAATCATCGCTTAAAGTATCTTCATTAATAAATAATCGCAGTATTTATTCGATCATAAATAATAAAAAATTAAATCATGTGAATCCGACTTTTATTTCAGGAAATGAGAGTAAATTTTAAGAACACATATAAAATATATTGGAAGAGGATTTCAGATGGGCCGTAAAAAATACCCTAAAATAAAAGGACACTCGGGGAGACCAACTAAGTATTGGAAAGGAAGGTGGACTTTTATCTTTCAAGAAAAGAAAGCAACCGATGGCAGAAGGCCATGTTGAAAGACAAGACAAAATAAGAAGAAGAGAAATTATAAGAGACCCTTCCAGCAAATAAAATGAGAAATATTCGAGAAATATTAATGTAACGTTTCATAAAATGTACTCATAAATACGTACTATTTTTGGACGGTGAACCAGCCACTCTAAAGGCCACGCACGGTGTAAAAACGCCGCTGAACGTCGACTTGGGTGACGCGTCTCTGCAGACTAATTTGGCCGTCACGACTCGTCCTTCAGCAGCATCTCTTAATCCGGCCTCGCCGATCCACTAGAATAATCGATCAAAATAGTAACGATGGTGTAAATTCGAAGATTACGTCACACGAGCTTCGAACACATTATTCCGCATTTATCGCGAGATGGGTTCGCGTGTTCGATATATATAAAATACAGAAGGAAGTAGTAAAACCAGTCAAGTGTATAAAATGAAAATTAGATCGAATTAGGAAATTCTCTCTTTTCCCCTCGAGCGCGAGCTAATTACGGTAATTGAAGGCACCATCGGCGCCGTTGAAGCTTCCCGTTTTGCATCATTACCAATCGGTGTCGCAGCTGATACCGAATCGGCAATCTTGGCTCAGCTTGGTGTCATAAATGTCATACTTCTCTCCTGGACCAGCTATCATCCGTCGCTATTTACGCGACTAATTACGATCTTGCGCTGTAATGACGGAGTAATAAGTCATGTGAAAAATTCCCACCGACCTGGAGGAATGTCCTGCCCTCGTCCCGGAACAATCTGAAGGGCGGCTCGGTGTCGGAAAGGTTCCTCAGTTCGGACCATCCCACCCTCCCCAATTGCTGGGCACCGGCGATCCCGCATACAGGAGTGGTCACACCTAGTTTCGGAAGGTAATTTATGTCCGTGTTAAGAGCGATCGTCAGCGAGCGAAACGAGGCGAGGGATAATGAGCGAAATGAACGCCAACGGGGCTCTTCTCCGGAGAGAAGCGCGTAAAGAGAATTTTTATGAAGGCTGTACTCTAGACTTTCGTGTTTCGCTTCTTCTCTTGAAAATGGAGAGAAAAAATATGCAACTGCTATCGATTTGCTTTACTTCTCTCCTTTTAATGCCAGTTACATTTTGTTTTGCACACAAAATTAAATGATGTTTTGTTTGTGTTGAATATAATTCAATTTTATTACGAGTCTCAGTCTAGTACGAAAAATTGATGACTGATTTTTTGAAAATTGTTTTGAAGAATATTTGAAATTGATCATTTTCATGTTTTCATTATATTTTTATTCATATTTAATTAGTACATACACAGAAAAAAAGGACATCTTATTTTGAATTTCTTATTTTGAAAATATATTTAGTTTTAACATGGAAATCTCGAAATGAAATTATATTGCGTTAATTAAAGAAAAATATAATTGCTCGAATAATGCTTACTTGAATGAAATCATTTTATATAGTTCAATCAAATATATTCCTATGATTTAAGATTTCCTTGAATGGAAAAGAAACAATGTTAGATAGAAAATAACATTTTTAAATCAAGGATTATAATTTTCTTAAAGTAGAATTAGATAATTAGATATTCTTGAAGTGACAATTACAATATTAAAATAAGACTAGAATATTGTTGAAATTTAAAATTATTAAATTCTTCTAAGAAGATTATCAATTGTTGTGTATATACGAAACAATGAACGCGTTAATTTAAGTATATAAGTTTTGATTTGACACTTATTATTTTCTGTATTGATTTTTTAAAATTATGATATTCTGTTTTTTTCATGTAATTGTCTAAAATAAAGAAATTCAATCTAGGTTTTTATTTCGTAAGATTTTTTGAAATACTGAACATAATTTCAGAAAAAAATAAAAAAAATAAATAGTGTCAGTTTAAAGCAGTGGTTCGTATTGAATAAAAAATGCTAATATCTAAGACTTAAAAATATTAATTGTTTAAATATAAATAATAATGTAAAACACCAAAAAGATCAATATTTAATATTCTTCATAAAAATTTTAAAAAAGTTATTAATTGAAAAATAACAAAGTGGTGTCATTTAAAAATTAGATATTTCAATTTGCTGAAATTTCATCTATTACTTGAAAATCAAAATATTGAATAAACAAGCTAAATATTCGTGATTTAAAAATACTGATTTATTGTTTAAACATCAATAAAATAAAAAAAATCTAAAAAAAAGATCAATTTCTAATATTTTTGAGAAGAAATTTCCTAACATTTATTAATTTTTCATACTGCTAGAGTAATCTGGATTTTTAATTTATTCTTATACAGTAAAAGAATATTTATCCCGTCGAACTACATAATTAGTGCTCAAGCTGCAGAATCGTTTAGTAAGAATTTACCTTCAAAGCGAATCTCTGCTTGCGGATATATTATCTGTCCTCGCTGTGGAAGGAAGACATACGGTACTCTCTCCACGTAACCGTTGTTGCTGACAAATCCCGCAACGTTGCACTCTAAAAATATAAAAAAAATATAAGATTTTTTTCAGCAACTATAAAAAAGTACTCGTGCAAATTATAATAAACTTTTATGCCATCTATTGCATCAATTAATAAAATAGATTGTTAGAACAATCGTGGAGTGCTTAAGCCTTAATACATGAATATCAATTTGTTCAGTCTTTATTTTTGAAAGAAGATATATAAGTATGATATATCTTATATCGAGAAATTAAATAAAATTGATAAAACACCAAATAAATCTTTTATTAATAAATGTTTTTAATTTATTATGTTTTAATTTATTATGTTTTATTATGTTTTAATTTATTAATAAAACATCAAATAAATCTTGCATGCAATTCGTTGACGCAGTGGCAAGGAATAGAATAAGAAAATAGAATAGATTATACAAATCATAATTGAACAAAAAAGTTTGTAAACTCTCGAAACAAATATTTTTCGTAAAAATACAGAATTAAGGTGTCTCTGACGATGATGATTACTTTTTTCTGCGCAATCGTGCATGTTCATTTTACCCAACAATTTTGGCGAGACAGCTTATAATTTAGGGCAAAATATCGTCCCCGGCCAAATAGCCGTGCGTTTTGCTCATTTGAATAAATTGCGCGAGAGTATCTTCAGCTTATACCGAAAATCTCGCGGACCCCGGGGAAAAACACGAATGCGAATTCCGCGAGAGGGATATCGCGCAAAATGTATCGAGCATTTCTTTTTTTTTCAACAGAGAGAAAAATCACGGTCAGGAGACAGCATAACAAGGTGTCTTTGAAAAGGTGCACTATAATCAGCTTATTATCGAATTTTTATAATAGCAGTTGCATGCAAGGGCACTTTGCATGTAAGGGAACGCGGTAATCTTCGCTTCGAAATAGAAAAGAAATATTTGCCATTTTTCCGTCAATCTCTCTCTTTCTAAAAAAAAATTGATTATATTCTTTGATGAAAAATATTTAAAAAATTATTATTCTTTTTAAATATTAAAAAACTTGAGAGAGATTTCGCTTCAAGTCACAATCATTGCGTAGTCAGAATCTATTGTCAGAAAAATTGAAATGATAGCATTCTACTTACATGTAACATAAAAACAATATTTAATATTATATTTAATATTTAATATTATATTTAATATTTAATATTATATTTAATATTTAATATTATATTTAATATTCGCAATATAAGGCAGAAAAATTTTATATGATATTTATTCGCATTGTGAAATACAGCCTCATGCATAGTCGCATCTGTGACTTTATATTAAGTTCGACTTCGCAGAAAAGGGAGATGCTAATCGACGAGTATTTATTACCAGTCTCTCAAAAGTCCGAGTTCACAAATTCGGTTAACCGCATATTTGATTATGCAAACGCCTTCCTCGAATTAATCTTCGGTATCGATGCTCGTCGCGAAACGAACATAAAATTCAATACCCTCCAATTTCGCGCGGCGCGTAATGTTTGGCGAGTGGTTGTGTATGTTTTTGCAATTTCTAATTTACATTGTACATTATTGGATAAAGAGCGCGATAAATCGGTGAGTTCCCGACGAGTAAGGTCTATCGGATTTAATTATACAGCATGGCGAGAGGTAAAGGAACGTTCGGAGAACCTGTTCGATGGTCGAACGGAGTCCGTTTGCGCGCTGCGAATTTATATTCTCCATATTAAAGCCCCGTAACCGGCCGCCGATCATTTATGAATTATATATCGGCGTTTTCGCACGAGTGACGATGTCCGAAAATGTCCATGTCGGACAATAACTTTTCGCACAATTGCAGTCGCTGTCGCGATAACGCGCACTTATTTTACGAAGATGTTTCGCGACGTATTATTTAAATTTTCTCTACTCCTTGCTCGAGGATAACTTAATTCCACGAAATACACATCATAAATTGTCCTTTGCAATTTACGTGCATATAATGCACATAGGACATGTATATAAAATATATATTATATATATATATATATATATGAGCGGAAAAACAAAATGTTTTTCCAATGAAAACTCTTATCAACTATTTAAAAAAAAATAATTCAAAATTTTTATGTAATTTATATATTTTATAGATCTTCTTAAATAAAATGAACTTTTATTTGAGCTTCTTAAATAAACTTTTATTCGAAACATTATTTTATAACTGCATCATTTAAAAAAAATAATCGAGTGAAAACATTTAAAATTTTCTTTTTTTCCCTCTCTCTTTTTCTTCTTTCCAAATTAAACATGTAAATGATAAATCAAAATATAATTAAATATGTAAGAGATAAAAAAAATATGAAAAATATATTTCAATATATTTGATATATTCAAAATAAAAAAAAATGAAAAAATTTATAAAATAAACTAAAAAGATCAAAATCTTGGGAATAGAAAAGTGTCGATTTCGCAAGAAACAATGACAGAATAAAAGCAATAAAGAAAAATGATTTATGAAGTCCCTATCGAATAAATTCTCTAAATTATTCCTTTCTGAATAATAATATATTTTAAATTATTTTTTTAAATAAAAAAATTAGCATGATTAAATAGATAGAAAACTGACTAAGAGAAGTTAAGTCTAATTAATAGCAACAGTCGCGATTCTCGATTTACGGCTACTTACACTCCCGTATTCTACGGGGTCGGATAACGATCAGCTGATTAACGATCGTCGAGTTCGCTCCACGCGAGCAAGGGTCAGCAACTGCGAATCCTGATCGCATTTGAACTCTGACCCTTCCGGCATAAGACGACGACGAATCTACCAAACTAGATGTGGCGTCCGGTTCTCTATGGACCGGGTGATAGATAATGTCATCTCGCTGACCCACGATCGCGCTAGGCCTCGATAAGGCTCAGTTGCTTGCAGTCAGTCGTGCATACAGATCCCGTATACTTTCCGTATTTTTTTTGCGATGTTTCTCGCATGTTTCTCTCCACCAATATTGAAATAATTAATTAGAGGTTGTATATGTCGGTGACCATTAGGAAGTTGATGAAACTAAATAGCTGTTATTTTATAGCGAGTTGACGGAATGATATAAATTAAACGCACACATTTGTAGAAAAAGACCGTTATTTTTATTATCGCATGACGCAAAAGGTGTACATTTCCTACGAATTTGTAAAGATAAACATGATGAAAAGGGCCGAAAATTCGATTTAATGATATCTATTTTCGAAATGGAACGACCATTTGAATTTGCATAGCCAACGAGGCGTTAAATTAAAATTAATGAGTTTTAGGTATATAATCCTACTCGATGTAATCCTCATGAAATTAATAGGGAGAAAGTTATAATTTAGTTTCAGCAATTTTCTGAATAATTATCCAATCGAATTTCCGACTCTTTGTCATTATGTTTAAAAAATTCACAAATATATATTTCTCTTGAACTATAAACTAATGTTAAAAAAATTATTTTATTTACTCACTATAAAATAATAGTTACTCACAGTTTTAGTAACTTTCTAACAATATATACGATATGGTTGATGAATTAATACACGCGAGTTCGCATATGATTGTAACAAATTATAAGAGGTCTGTGTGTAATTCTGTATCTAAAACGTAATAAGTAGAAGAATATCGCAGCGTTAAATACCGGTATCATGAATAATCATAATGTCATAACTTATTAATTAGTATTGAAATACAGCGTACTTAGGCATATCTCAAAATTATCATTTTATGTCTTCATATAATATTTAATAATCATATAATATTTTTAAATATAATAATATATTTTTTCATAAATATTTCTTATTAATACAATAAAGAAAATTAAAAAGTTAATCCATTTTAATCCATTAAAATTGTTTTTAAAAAAATAAAAAAGAATTAGTTTTTAATTTATCAAATGTTTACATTCGTTAATTACGAATGAATGTAGGAAACCGATTATAAGACATTTAATGATAGTACAGATGTTATAAAAAAATGCATATATGTGTGAGAAAAAAAAATAAAATTATGAAAAAATGTTTATAAAATAAAACATTTAGTTTTCTTTTACATCTCGAGTTATTGAGATCTCTGAAGTAATATAAAAATATATATATGAATAATGTGTGTATATGAAACTACATATAATGTTAACTATATCGAAGCAGATTTTACTGCTCGATGACACGCGGCGATAATCATGGGATAATCAGCAAATTAGTTTAACATACTTGGTTTAACGTACTTGGTTAGCGAGATTCTTCTGCGTTTCCTGATGATAATTGCGAACTTGAGCGTGCAATGTATTACGCATCTGCGTAAGATCATCGATTATAAACCGGTGACAGCAGACGAGAAAACACTGAAGAATAAACGAACTGGACGTTTTCTTAACGACCCATTCAAATCTTGGCATTCCGTTGGAACGCGCCTCGAACTCAACCAATTTCGCGATCGTGCAATTTCGCTAAAGCCGTAAATTATCTTCCGCGGAGAATCAATTTAATGATTCTCTGAATTTCCGTAATAATCTGCAGCCGAGCCTCGTCGAATGTACATGATAACGCGGAGAAATTCCAGCATTACGTTTTCAATCTGCAAACATCCCTGATGTATCCCGACTTCTGACGCATCATGCGTCACGAAAGAATCCTAACTATGTAACTACGGCAAATCATTATCATTCAAGCTGACGAACGCCAGCTTCCGGCTACCGATCGGCCTTGACACCTGTTGCTGGAATTGACACATGAGAAAGATTGCGGTGTCATTCGTTTAATCGAGTCGCGAAATCTCCAAGTATCTTTTGATGAAGTAATACTTGGAGGGTATCTTCTCCTATTATCGTTGAAAAAAATATAGACATTTTTTCTCAAGCACAAAGATTTAATTATTGCCCTTGAAAGTAATATCCAAAAGTTAAGTTAACAAACTGAGAATTTTTTCTAGATCACTTGCGACATCACATTGCTTTTCCTTCAGTAACTTTTTACAAATGCAAAGAAACGGACCTGAAGCTCGCTTCTGCGACAGGGAAGATAAAGCAAGCTGTCAAAGTTAAGAACGTCCA